GATATATAATACGAGGGAATAAGGGAGATGATTAATTGTTATTTACTCGATAATTGACGGTTAGTGCGTTTTATCTCACGAAACGGAACGTGCAATGTCGCGGATACTTCGTCACATTAGATCGGAATTTTTTATATTTACCCGTTTCCCTTCGCCGATGATTGGTCGTCGGATAACAACTGTGGCGCGAAAATTCAACGAGAGCGAGAATGGCGGAATGCGAACGGCTATTACGAAGTGCAGTAATCTCGGGAATGCACGCGGCGCCGCTTGCCAAGTCTTACCATGACGTTGTAATACTCGGTTCGTCCGTTTTGTGCACTGTTTCGTCGATCCGTCGGTGTCCACGCGCGCATCTGTTCCGTCTCGTCTGAAAAGGGTCAACCATTGCCCGGAATTATGTCGACGGCTAATATCGCACCCTCGAATTGACGTTTCGAATCGTGATATCCTAAAATTTACATTTGCAATTAATTATTAATTTCCCTTCTTTACTGCCACAATTGAAAATCAAAGCAGACCGCCTCCGAAGCTTCTTTTGTGAGAGAAATGGCTCGGGACGAATCAATGAAGGGTAAAGTATTGAGTTTTTAAACGTAAAATGTAAATTTTCTCGAATTATTGGCGTGTTAATTCCCAAAAAACGAAGATGCATCATTATATTAAGGATACAATATTATCGGAATGATATATATGAATGCGCGATTCATTCTGGAAATCTGGAAAAATGGTTCTTATAAATTTTAATGGAGTCTATCTTGAGCTGACTCTTAAAATTAAGATCGTCGTTAACTTACATTCGAAAATTTCTCTTGAATTTGTATCTTTTTAAACGTTGCGGCCTGTTTACCTGGCATTTTTCGGGATGGCATGAGTTACCAGCCAGGCGTATCGTATTTCCATCGCCTGGCTGGAGCTGACACAATCGGACAATTTGTTTCACAATTGCGGCTTGAACGATGGCAAGCGACCAATTACGCGGCTCTTACATCGCCACAGTGATATCGTGTCATTCTGACGTTTATCCTTGCACTTGGCAAGTAGTTTTTCAGCGTACGTTACGCGAGACCGATTCACACTTCCTTAGACAATTGTTCGGGCATCCATGCTGTCTTTTGATCGGGTCTAGTGCGCGTTATCTTTACTTCATTTGCGAGATAATTAAAAATTACAAGGGAAATTTAGACCGTTAGCGAAATTTAGCTCACACATAATGATCGTGTGAGCTCGCGTAAAATTAAAATATTATCTTTTCTTTCACGAAGTTATTCATAAGATTGCCGTGGAATTATTTTTGTCTCTCTCAACTGTATATTGGAAAATAAGTCATGAAGTTCGATTATTATAGTAGGATTATTTTTACGTGCGTTTAAATAGTTCGAAATTAGATAGATTTCGCTGAATTAAAACGGGTAATATTGTTAGTGCGAGACTAACGATTAATGCAAGGATTGCTAATATTAATATCATTCATCGGTAAATTTCAGACGTGACGAATCCAAGTCGAAATTTTACCTCTATATTAAATGTTCAAAGGTCTTCTATTGTGCTTCTTTGATGCAAATGACAAGTTATTTTCGTTTTTTCCTTTGCATTACTTAATGTAGAATTTTTAATTTCTTTTCAGGAGGTCTAAATTTCCCTTGTAATATTAAAGGAGCACTAACAGATTTCACATAAGGATATATAATAAGAAATTATTTATCTCCACTTGAAGACTAAATATAAGATTAAGTAGACTTAACGTAGGATCCAAATTTGGACTCGGGAATTCATATCGATCGAAACACCGAAGCGTTTGCTGCACATTATCGAGAAAAATCACACGACATCACACGAGGGAACAACGACCCTTGTCACCGTCACTTGCGTCAGTTCACGTGACGTCAGGATATATCGTGACGTGAAAGTCACCCGGTCGTCGCGTAGCTGGCGATCGTCTAAGCGAATCGACACTTCTGGCACTCGCGGGCGTCGGCGACGCCTCCGGTCTGAAAGGCACGATTGTCCGGACGCTCGAACATATTACATCCGACAGCTTGTATCGCGACCCAAATGTACACGCTTCCACGGTTAGATGCCAAACATAATAACCGATTACCAAGATAACTGGCCCATCTATTTCCGAGCCAAGAGCCGCATTAATAATAGTGGCCTTACGTCACCCCCGTCGCGGCGCGGCCTTGGGCTCGCGCGGAAAATATGCTCGTGGTTTCCGTGGAAACCCACCGGCTAATATGGCCGCTAATGATTTGTCATTCGGCTGCGAGGGTGGCGTGCGGTCCCGCCCGCCGAAAATAGGCCCCCCTGCGGGGGCCCCTCGTAAATTACGAGGTCCTTTCGACGGCAGCGCTTGAGGAAAAGCAGGCACATCGCTCATTCGCACGAGCGAGCGAGCGAGCATGCCGAGCATCTCGTTACGCGGAATTATTATTAGACCAGGGCGCGAAAATAATTCTCGCGATTCACATCTTGGATCGCGCGCGCGGAGCGTCTCATCGATTTTCGCGCGCGAGCTTTTCCCCGCTGACGCCGTGGCGGCGTGTCGCACGTGCGGTTGTTATTATTAATATTTATGCGTAATGCCGCAGTGACGAATAACTGTAGCCGCGGTTGTTTCGCGCTCGCCTAGCGACAACGGTGGATAAATTTCGCTGGCGATCGCGTAACTTCTTTATAAGAGCGGAAAAGTGAAAAGTTTCACGTAGATACATTGGCGACTACGGAACTTTCTGAACACTGGGAAAATGTGGGAACTCTTCATTCTTCATGCTCCTAGGGAAAAGTGATTGCAGCCAAAGTATAAATTTTTTATGAAGTTTCTCTCTCTCTCATTTCACGAAAGAATAATTTCGAGAAACACGATCGCAACGGTATGGTTGCTCCGTCAAATAACGTGGTTCTCGGAAAGCTTACCTTTGCCGCCCCCGGAAACGCTCTGAAAATATATACAGACGCTCGACAAAATACCACCGGGCGCGCGTGTGTACGCGATAAACCGGCGGAACGGTACGGCACGTACGAACGTTATTTACCGGACGGTATTATTATTTCGGAGGAATCCGCGCGCGCCTTCGCGGCTCACCGGACGCCAAGAAGACGCGAGGTTCGGCTCAGCCTGCCGCGGAAACACATGACGCATGACGGTCGCACTTCCTCGGATTATGTAAGCGCTCATATTTTGATATTTATCGCGGCGCGATAAATCATTTCCGGAGATTTTTTCGCTGTCGCGACTCGGCTACCGCCTCGTTTCCTCCTGTTTCGTGGCGAGACTGATTATTTCAGCATCCAGGTCGGCGTTGATTCCAAGCCGAATATCTCGCTGCGACGCTGAAAGAAGCGCATGATCAATTTGGAGACAAATAAAGCTATTAATTGTTCTCTCCTCGACGTCCTTGCGACTTTACTCGTGTCTTATGCTCGTGCGATCTGAGATGTGAATCTCGAGCGAGGCTGAGCAGCTCGAAGTGCGTCTGGCTGATCTCCTCTCATCGCGTTCTGTAATCTTATTATTATAAGTAGAAGATCGAGGACTCAGAGTTGCACACGCTTCGCTCCTCCAGGATGAACGCTAGCTAGCGCGTGTAGGAGCCTCGTCCCGCGGTGCCACGGTCGTGCAAGGCAACGCTAAAGAAGGCTAAGTATAGGCAGTCGCGTAAAAATAGTCATGGTTGAGGCAACTACAGATGACAACGTCTCAGGCTGCCAAGGTTTACTGAACCATAGTCTCTGACGAGACTGGCAATACAATCGGGACGCCGGTGTCCAGAAAAAATTAAAGTCCCGAAATTGGGAAAATCTGGAAATTTGAGAAATTTTGAAAATAACGCGCGAAATATTTATGTAAAGAGAAAGAAAGGTATTTTTGCAAAGAAAGATGTTTTTATTATAAAACTTACAAAAGTCTGTGCACAAGTGTTACAATGCAATGAAGAAAGATTATGAGATAGATGGAACAATTTAATTTTTTTATGCTAGTGCTAATTTATAATATCTTAAATTTACCTTTAAATTTGGTAAATTTTGGGATATTATAAATTAGGTATTAAATTGTTCCATCTATTTCATAATCTTTCTTCATTGCACTATATTTGCATTGCACTAATTCTTGTGCACAGACTTTTATAAGTCCTATAATAAAAAAACTTCTCTTGATTATAAATCATTAAAACTGCCTAATATTTAAATTTTTCCTTTCTGAAAAAAGATGCTTTTTCATATTTATTTTTGGTATCGTGAAGAAAAAAGATATTTATTTAACGTGACTTAAAATTGATATGTTAACCCTCTTACTGCTAGGTCCATCTACGCGGTATACGAGAAGACTGCCAGGGCAGGATTTAATATGTAAACATACGGAGCCGATGCATCGGCCCGTGGCAGTTCTCGCATACGTGCCGCGTATACGAAAAATCAGCCTGCTGGCAGCCAAAGGGTTAATTAAAAATTCTCGTACGTTATTTTTCTGGACAATACGTGATCATTGTCTCGGCGAATTTTGAACTCTAAACATTACACAGAAAAAATAATTTGCTGGCACAGCAAATTTTATGCTATCACAACACAATTCAGTTACTATATAGATAGCAAAACAGCTTATTAAGAATATTAATTACCATTCGCTGGATTATTTTGCTGAATCTATAAATTAATTTTTTATATAAACAAATTAGTAAAATGTAGAAAAATAATATTTCGTTCCAACAGCAAATTAACATGTCCTAAGGACAAATTCATTCAGCAGAATATTTTCTAGTCTGGCAATATTCTGGGAAAACTGTTTCTGTTCTAACTACGAATATTTTATTAATTTGGTTATGTCAATTAAATTTTATTGCTGTCGCAACGAAAATGCAGTAGCAACGACGTCGTTTCGCTACAACGGTAAAATGATTTTTCTCCGTGTAAAAACGAGACAACAAATGACACAGTTTTCTTTTATTTTTGACATTCGTCATATTATAATTCGTCGTATTTTTTTTCTTTTTCATTTTTAGTATTCCCAGAAGAATTCTACGGGGATAATCATTGGCGACGGTGGACGTCGGGCTGAGGAAGGAGCCGCGGTGAAAACAGGTTGGATGGTGCCGCGGGTCGGCGCTGTTTGAACCGACGAGCAGGTGAAGGTCGGGGGGACAGATTTCTCTCTTCCCTGCGATTGCACGAACGGCAGTTTCGTCGTCGGCGTAGAGACAGGTGCGAAGGCGTGCCTCCACAATGGGGGTCGCCGACGACTTCGCGCCCAGCTTTACCCAAAAGCCGCAGCTGCGGCAGGAAGACGACGGCAACCGGCTGATATTCGAATGTCAGCTAGTGAGCTCGCCGAAGCCCGAGATCGCCTGGTTCCGCGGCGAGACCGAGCTCAGCCAGGATGATAGAACCAACTTCAAGATGCAGAGCGTCGGGACCAACAAGTTCCTGGTGGTGCTTGAGCTCGACGACGTCATTGAGACCGACGCCGGCCTCTATAAGGTCAAGGCGAAGAATAAGATGGGCGAGGTCGCCGCTTCCATTAATCTCAACTTCAGTCGTGAGTACTCATTCATTGATTGTCGCTTCTGTAGTTGTGTTCGATTTTACAAATCGAAGACATCAGTTTGCTCTTGAGATTATCTTAAGATAATACCTAGCTAATGAAACGACTTTCTTAGAACAATCATCTGTAAAACCCATTTATAAAACCGAACGCAGTTTGTCTAATTAGATATTTCTCGATTAATGTAGGGATTTGGATCGACATTTGTACGTCAAAAGAGAAGCGAGTGAGAAAAGCCAATTTCAAATTTACGAATTTTAATGCGTAAACTGCAATTCAGGGCCAAATTGAATGAAAACCGAAATGGATCGACAATTTGAAGTAGGAATTTGAACTACAAGATTTAGTTAACAGTGAAAGGCTAACGAAATTGAAACATCGTTATATGTATGATATATATGTTTTTTCAACTGTCATAAAGTTGATTTAATTGCACAATTTGAGTAATTCTACACTTGGAAAATCAAATAAATCAAGCGATAAACGCGACTAATAATATGTTGGGCCAGCTTTATAATCGTGAATTGAACCGTGAATTGAATCGTGAAAGTTTGAATTTGTTTCGCACAAGGAAGAAATTAAATTAACACTAAAAATTTTCCAAAAGAATCAGGATAATTAATTCATCTTATACAATCTTTAAATTGAATTTGTTTAAACAGATACAAGTGATTCAACTGACCTTTCGTTTTAGTGTAGGAGAATCGCGTTATATCATTATTTAATTAGCCAATTCGGTCTTTGTTCGGCCACTGTCTGGTTTATTCTACTTGCGGCCGATTCATGTTTGTCTGTATCTACTTCTAACTTTAGAAGCGCGGAAAGAGAATACTAATCAAATCATTGAGTTGCTTGAATGGACCTACGCGGTCGATTTAGTATTAAATATAATAAATACAGTACTAAAGATAATAAACGCAATATTAAAATGAACGAAACTGACTATTTTACTTTCGTGTGAATAGATAGCGGATAGTAATTTTTCGTTGAATTTGACTTTGAATTAAATTAGAATTTCGTTGGATGAAAAATTTCGACTTGAGATTTGAGCGTCGAGAATTTACTGAAAATTTCTCTACTTTGTTTTCTTTTCTCAATTAACATTTCGCCGTTATATTTTTCTAGCAATGGATGAGCCTAGAGAGAAGTAAGTCCGTGCAGTTTGTACAGAGCAGAAAAGTTTCGTTTGTCGCTTCTCTAGGCTCTACTCGATTAACTCGTTTGACGCTTCACGCTTACGCTACACTAACGCGTTTTTCTTACCTCGTTCATCGAACATTTCGTTTTCCATATTTTTTGCGCTTACTTCCGTTGTCTTTTTTTTTTATTTATGATTTTAGCCGCCGAGAAACCCGCGAGGAAGGGGTGAGTACATCGCTATGATGTGTTTTACGAATGAAATGATAATTAACTTAAATGCAAGAACGTCTGAGTGAGGCTTCCACGATCTGTTCTCACATGTGGCGATCGTGCGAACTTCGATCATTAATAAATGTATTTGACGTTATCGATAAGAATGAATGTACACTTGTATCTTTATATGTGTTTAACAATAATAACAACAACTAATGCGTGTGTAAATATATTTAATCAATAAATTGTGAACGTAATAATAAGCCGCATAATTATTCATTGAGGATGGAAATATCGAAGGAAATAAATATCAGAATACGTTCCGTTGCGTATTTCCATTCTTCAATCTAACTCATCATTCTCCGCAAGTTCTCGCAAATTGAGACAGAAAGACCTCTCTTCGTTGAAAGAAAAATAATTCCTCCGTCGAAGCGTTTCTCTTGATACTCGAATCTTCGCGGGAGGAAGAGTCGGCTGCTGCGAGCTGGTCGCTGAGTAAACTTCGGAAGCCCGAAAAGCACGAAGATGAAGTAGCGCGCGTTTGTGAACACGCGAGAGTTATGTAATATTCGAGATCCATTCAGCGCGCTATTTACTGTTATCCCGCTATCTTTCCCGATAACGTTGGAGTGTACGTTAAATGCGCCCGACCGAGAATAAACGGTCGCGGTATGCCCGCTATTTTCGGTCGCGTTCGCGCCGCGTCCGATAGAAATTGCGACCACCGCCGTGTACCTCTTAGTTCTCTCTCTCTCTCTCTCTTCTTCTCTCTTTCCGTCTCTCTCTTTCTCTATACGATCGACTTCTCACCGATCTATCCACCCACGCATAGAACCACGAACGCGAAACGTGGATGGAAATAGAATTAAGGTCTTCTAGTTTTGGACCGCGCTCGTGCCTCGCGCGATCCGACCACAAAGTGGTGGATTATTTCGGACGCTGTCTCTCGCGAGAGAGCCGCCACTAAATCTCACCCGAACCACGATCTGTATCGTGGTTCTAGCTCGACAGAAAGNGGTAAAGGGGGGGGGGGGAGAATCGGTTGAAACCTAGTTGATTAGCATATATGTAGGAGATTACAGTTAAGTGACGTTAATGAGGCCGACTGACGGAAGAATGAACTCGCGGATGAGCATTTAGGAAAATAAGGAAGATTATATATAAAAGTAAAATATTGCTGGAAGTGATAATTTGAGAAATGTTTATCTTGACACAACGTACATTATATTGCAGAGGAATATAGGATATATTCGTACAGAAGGGAAAATTCATTAAATTCATCAAAAGGTTTATCAAAAGAAAGATTCATTAAATTTTTGTTGAAAGAAAATTCACGAATTAGTGAAGGAAAGATGTGAGCAGTGATACAAATTTCCACGATTTTTGTGTTTGCATAATTTTATGCAGCTCTCTGTAATTTTATTTTACCAGGTTCTATAGCACGGTCCATTTTAATTCTTGACGAATTGAAATGCTTTATTATGACAAATTTTTGATAAATTTGTGATAAGTTCTTTATGGAATTTACGATAAATTTTCGTCATGTCGCTAATTTGTAATGGAAAAACATCGAGCGAAGAGGAGGGGTCACTCTGGTAATTGCAAAGTTTTATTAAATAGTTCACAAAAAATTCCATCTGTCCGCGGTTTAATGACAATAATAATAATTGGACTATCGAACGCTAAATCAATCGCGAAATTGGTGCGCGCGATCTCGCCGCTACTTACACGAGCGGAAAACATTTATCAGCCCTCGAATTTCACGCGACTTTAATGATTTTCGAAGATAATTTGAAACTGGGTCGAAAGCACTCGGCGAGCTCTTTCGACGCAGTCGGCAGCGACGACGATACGATGAGATGCTGTATTTTCGGATCGCATCGACAGACGTGATTCCCGTGAATTTCTAAAAGTAACACGAGCCTTTCCGCTTCCACGCGTCTCCCGAAACGTCGCTGTTTGCGCTCCATTTGCAAAGAGAAAAAAAGGAAAATTCGTCGGTTGTCCGACAGGTACGAGAAACGATTTTCTCGGGAGCGCGTCGCGTATCGAATTACTCTGCGCGCCACCCACGAAGTTCTGTATGTATGCGTGAATTCGAGAATCCCGGTTCGAATTTCCCGACGACGAGAGAGGAATTCCGCGGAATTCGACGACTGTCGATCGCGAAGGAAACGAATCGGCCGACAACGACGACAGTTGACGAGAAAGCGAAAGTCGAGGGAAAACAGCTGCAGCCTACTTCCTCGCTAAACTTAGCCACATCATACACCGGTACGCAGGCTAATGCACTTATGGCCCATGCGGGACGCATGAGTGTTAAGCACATGTCTCTCGTCCTGCTTCTCAATTTGCGAGGATAAACAGCGATGATCGTGTTTATCCTCCGACTGGAATCTTGCGACGCCGCTGTGTAGGCGGATTTCGAGGAAACACTCGTCCGAATAGTCGCGAGAGCTTCCTGCCTATCCCACAAACTGTATTCTTACAAAAAAATATTTGTATTTATAAAAAAATTCCCAAAGATTGAAGATCGAATTCAGATAGTCGGCTGAAAATTATTAATACGAACGCTTGATTAATTTTCATCATACCAAGCCGTCTTTGTCTTTTTTAAAGAGATGAGAAGACAAGTACACGTATAAAAGTCGCAGAGAAACAGAGAGAAGGAGAACTTGCATTGAAATAACTTTAGACTTCCAAATAATACTTAAGGGTCGACGGAAGTATCGCTAAGCGCCGACGGAGAATAGTATCGGTTACGGTAGTAAAGTATTTACTCGTGTTTTGAAGTAGCTGTTAACTGTCGGGTTACCATCAGAACGAGCTGTAGAACATGCCTTCTCTCGTCAGGAAACGTCGGCTAAACAAAACAAGAGTTATTTCGAGCGAGCAATCCGCGAAAGTCACGATAAATCCCGTAACACCGCTCTCAGCCGCTGCGCAAAGCGGCACTTATATTCGCCTTGCCAAACATCATTGATCGTCTCTTTCCTTCACTTTCGCTTATCTGATACTTCAGGAAGATCGATGGAAATCCATTGTCCGAATAATTGGGATAAGCGAAAGTAGAGTGTACTAATTATTTAATCCCGCACTTACCTGATACAATTCGCTCTCCTTATGTTTTTTTGTCAACATGTTATCTCCTAATTCACACTAACTACTTTGTGTGTGTGTGTGTGCGCGCGCGAGCATGCGATTTGTCATCGAAATGAGTGATTATTGTTGTGGTGTTTTCGTGTGGAAGAAAAGTCAGTGAGGAAAAGGTGCGACACTTTTACTTCAATAAATTTTGCAGCGCGTTCGCATCCTACAAGAAAGAATTTGTGATTTTTCGGTTTTTACTCTCAGAGAATAAATTTTTGTAAGTCTCAGAGAATAAATTTTCTTGTTAGATATCAGATGCGTTCTGAAGTTCATCGAGGTAAAAGAGTCGTAATCTTTTTTTCATTGCGTATATATTAATTGGCGGAATAACCTTAAGACGCAATGTAACTAAATATAATTAAGATTTTCTAACCGTACGCATTATTGATTTACTGTTTATTAATCATTCAAAGAAGAGCGGGAACGATGTATTAAAATTGTCACTGGAATAGCTTTGCGTTAATAATCGGAAAAGAATATATATGATTATAAAATACTAGTAAACTTAATTACATTGACAAGAGGATAACTAACTTTTAATATCCTAAATTTTGCTGAACTTTTGATATACTATAGTACACTTTTCCCATTAATACACTATAAAATAATTTGCTAGTGCGCAATAATTTATGAGAAATTTAATGTTTAAAGTTTTTTATGTAATATATATATATTGAGTTTGTAGAAGCTGATATCAAATAGCGAGAGTGATCGAGTGAATAAGGCAGCCAATTAAAACTTGCTTCTCCTGATTTTTTTTGCAATTTTTTTTGAAATATGCGATCAAGTGAATTATTAGTAAATGTATTAGAATTAAAAAAATACCATTTTATGATTATTTGCATACTTTTATACCAACAACTGCAGGAAAAGTATTGATTTGCTATTCAATAAAAAAATAAAAATTATTTGGAAATTTTGCGCTACAAAATTTATTTTTGTATTACATAAAATAAAAATGGCATAACAATTTACGTTAATTGTCGTTACCCGAATTTTATTCAAAATACAATTTTTTACATTTATACATTCGAATAATAATTTCAAGAAAATATTATCGAGGAATATTATCAAATATTGTCAAGAAAATTATTTAAAACAAAGCGCTGATTTATACTAAGTGTATTTAATTCATTTTAAATAAAATTCGAGCAACGACGACTAATGTAATTGTTAACTGTTGTTTTATGTAATACAAAAATAAATAAATTTTGTAGTGCAACTAGTTCCTTTGTAAGTGTTAAGATTATTTGCCGCGGTAAGTGTGTAATATCGCGGTGCGATCGAGATCAGTTTGATTTCGAAAATCTATTCTCGGTGCACTTGCCAAAGCACCGAGCGCCTCTTGTGCGGCGAAAACTCGAGGCTAATTTTAGAATTTTCGAAATTCTTTCGAAATTCACGCGCAAACCTGTCTTTCGGTTCGTTAACACATTAAGGGTCGCACCGGAAGCGGATGTACACGGAAGGATACGACACTGCGCGATCTCGGATTCACATTATCCAGTTACTGTTCTCTCGACGATGCGCAACGACGTTGACGCAACCTCTTAATTTTCACGTCGCTCGCGATCCGCGCGGCGATTAACGCGTTAGCGAGCGATAAATTCGCGCGCACCTGGTTCCGACGTTTATTTCGCACTTGCAGACAAATTGACGGCATCGCGCCGACTTTCGCGAAGAAGCCTGCGATTAGGCAAGAGGACGACGGCAAACGGCTGCTCTTCGAATGTCGCATCACAGCCGATCCCACGCCAAAGGTCACATGGTTTCACGATGGGAATATGGTCAAAGATTCGTCAAGGCACAAGGTTCGTCGGTCCCGATCATAAGCGAAGCCACTTCGCTAATTTCGGGATGCAAAAGTCGATGAGAGAAATCATACTATTGAATTATCATTTAATCTAATATCTTACAATATATTTCCATATTTGTACAGTGCCTGGTCGTATTATTAGATGCACTTTAATTTTTTAATAGAATACAGGTTAGGAGAAAAAGAAAAGCTACTACTAATGTTTACTCGATTAGAATAATTTTTGATGTCAATCAGCGCTTTTACCTCTGCAACTTCCTGAGGTATCAAATCATTTGCTTCACCCATCATTTTTGTAAACAATATTAATATTTTTCACGCAAAAATTTATTCTTCTGTTAGTGAACAGGGAATTTGAAGTTTCAAGTCACAAATAAATGAAAATTAAATTAAATATCAATTGATACACTCAAAACTCATGTTTTCGTTATTATCAACAATGTAACTAGTGCGGGTTCATACTTGTTCAAAGTCATTGTAACAGCCAAGTTAAATGATGATATAAAAAATACCTTTTATAGAATAATGATTCCTTAACATAATTCGACCGATAGATGAGCCGAATTATAAAGCTGGCCCTCGGAAATCAATGAATTGTAAAAAATTAAAATGCGTCTAATAATATGGCCAGGGACTGTATATCATGTTCGTTATTAATGTCACATTTGTGTGACGCAATGACCCCTCGCGAGGGTCTAGTGTCACGTACGTATGACGGGAATTTCTTTTCTATGTCCGTATTATCAAACTCATTGTCTATTTTACACAATATATTACGTAAAAGAAAATATAATGTTATTTGTAAAAAGTTCTTTAGATAAATCTGCATAGAGAACGTGATACGTATGGAGAAAACACTACAGATATCATTTAACTAGATATGGTTGCCACAACGAAATATTAATATTATTTTTGGTCTAGACATAGACAAATATTGTAAAAAGCATAATGTTAAGGAAAAGACTTGTTGAATTGTCATAATTTCAATGAGAATATCTCTGCTATATGGATATTACAACCACACAAAATTGGTAATACATCTGCAGGAATTCGGAAATGCATTTTGCATCGGACATTGATGAGACATGTTTCAAATCATGTTAGAATCGTGTTAGAAAGGAAGTTGAATTTTTCAACAGCTCATTTTTTGTCAACACAATGAACTGTTTGAAATAAGCACGTGAAGTTGAAAAACTCATTTTCTCCCTACTAAAGACTGATTTAGGAGAAAAAGTACCACGAGTATATAATCTGGAATGCAGTATGAAGATGTATTCTCATCTATCATTTTTCAACTTACTTTCAACTTTGAGGCAACTTTATGTGAGAATATATTAATAGAACATTACATATCATAAGGATATAGTTGTGACAATTGTATAGATGGACATATGTTAAGCAAATTTTACTACAATATCTATTTAGTTTTATTTTACATCCATTTCTTTTATTAAAAATATTGTAGCAACCATAGCAATTTTCTTCGTGATAGAATATTCTTTTTATATTTATGTAGAATCAGAAGCTGTTCTGATGTTAAATTAGATTCCCAATTCTTTAATTTCTAACTAAGAGGAAAAGTTAAGGGCGATTCGGTTTCGGAGGCTCGTTCGGAAACGTTCGTTGAACCGTTTCAGCTGACCGTCGACAAAGATGGCCACTCATACTTCGCTACCCTGGAAATAAAAAATGTGACCGTCGAGGATGCTGGCAAATATAAGGTCACAGCGAAAAACGAGCTTGGCGAGTCTAATGCTACGATTTCCCTGAATTTCGACAGTAAGTGTTTAGAATTTATGACAATTATAAGTATTTCTTATACTTTAACCAATGATCCGCTTTACACGAATTCAGCATCCTCGTCTGCTTAATTTTTTTTTCATAAATGTACGCTCAGTACGAAATGTACGACTATTAATTTATTTAACGTTGATGTAACATATGTTAACGTGATGTTAACGGTAGCATTAATTTAATTTATATCTTTCAGAGTACAAACCAGTATACTTTACTTCAGTAAAGGTTCGACAATTCTGAGTCTTTGTATTTTCAAGCTTTCTCTTATGGTTTTTGTTGACAATTTTCATAGATTAACAAGTAATTTTTCAACAAACTTTTTTAATTTAGAAACATTTGGAGAAAAAAATAACGAAGACGTTCTCTTATTCAATCTCGAAATGAAAAACAAAGCGGATCATCGGTGCCGTTCCTCAGACTTTCTCTCACATTCTCACTCGGGATGTATATCGATGATCTCTTTCATATTTCCAACTCTCTTCATCTCTGTCTCTCTCAGTCTATCTATGGTCTCTGTCCCATTTATTTGCTTCCTTCATGTCGACTCTATTGCACCAATGTATATCAATCCGCAGTTTATTATTTAATTTTTTCCGTTCTCCATCAGCTGTCCATTCTCTTCAGTCTTCTACTTTCTTCTACTGTTCACTTAGTATATACGGTATCTTTATTTTTTAATGGTTTGTCTCGGTCGAGCGATGAGCACGTATCGATGTCGGCTCGACGCGAGCCACGATATACAGCCCGGTTGATCTTAATCGACTAAACGACATTGCGAGGCGCACTATCGTTTGTCTCTCATGAATTCTGCACCGTAAAATGCATAGAGAGCGGATCAGAATAATATCAACTTATAACAACCGTGTACTGCTGCTTCAATCATGTATTAATTCGAATCACATCTCGCGCGCGCCCGTTCTATACGCTCGAGTCAGCGTCTGGCCAATTCCCTTTCTTAATATATTTCACAATAACAAAAATAATAACTCAATCGGTTTTTTAATAATGTAATATTTTATTAATAATATAAAGTTACACGTCATGATAGAATTGCATAACAATCAGATGGCACCGACAATTTGAAGTGAAAGAGACTTTTAATGACTTATTGTTAATTTATTTAAATTTGATTAAAGGCTGATTATCCAGAAGGATGACATAAATCATGTGTCACGCATGAAACATACATAGCCAGACTCTGGTTCTAATTGTATAACGGTATGCGCGAGATGCGATCGCAGATTAGCCTTACATATTGACGCTTCGTTAGGTTGCTTCGATGACATCTTTTCTCTATTCATACGATCGTGTTTGACGTGTGCAACGTTGACGTGGGGAAGTCCCCTTCATATGGCCGATTTTCGAATGCGCCTATCGAGGGTCGCTTACACATGCACACGCAAATACAATTACACGTGGATTGGAGATGACGGAATTTCTGTGGTGGTGATGGTGGTGGTTAGACCTGCTAACGACGAATATTTCCTTATTTGTGCTGTATTGATATTGCAATTTTTATTCCACACATATATTTTTCCCGAATCTTTCGAGTTTCTTGAAATTCAATTTTGATATTATTATTTACAAATAAAATGCATGATTAAGAAACTAAGTTTATAGTTCTATTAATTACTTGCGTGTAGATATATATTTTCCTAAGGATATTCTAATTTATGTAAAAATAATAATACATTAATGAACGCATTTAAGCACAGTGATCATGTTGAAACTATCCGCATATATTCTCGAAATTATACAGAAGGAAGACTAGCAAATATGGAAATATTCTTTACAGTACATAGTAAATTATCCATGTAGTTAACGACCACGGTTCTAATATTGTATATATATTTACATTTGTCTTTTTGTCACGTGCTTCGCGCTGGTCATTCTCATCGGCTAATTCGTAAGGATTCTTAATGAGTAAAACAGTTTGGGATCGTGTGTTTGATCATACTGTACATATTCATAATAATCGATTAATGTCATGTATTAACGTACATTGTCACAACATCGAAATATATACACACGCGCCCTTTTCGTCTTCCAACAGAGAGGATTTCCCTCTCTCTCAATGATGCATCGCAGTAAATGTCGATTGCCGCGCGGAACGATGAAATTAATATCTTCCGATCGATATGGAATTTTTTCGCGCGTGTCACATGGTCGAGTACACTTTTATACTTTACACCACAAACTCACCCGCAGACTATGTTTGACGAAGGCTTGCCCATAACTGTGTTTCTATTCTCATCTAACCGCCATGCGCGCCGAGCGCGAGCGTGTAACGTTACAAAGAGACGTACGAAGAGAGAAACGGAGCAGGCGACACTTCGAGAACACAATTATACTATACTCCACCAAGCGGTACATTACGAATAGACGGAAGGAGAGTAAAGAAAGCAACCTAATTCACAGGATGGTCGATCGGCAAGGATCGTGATCCTCGAGCGTGTGTTTCTAAGCGTTGGCTACAGCGCGCTTGTTACATGCGGAGACGGTACGAAACGAGACGACCGATGAACGGAGAGATTGAGTTGTAAAGGCTGAGAGTCGAGTTAAATTTCACGTAAATCGGTCGACGGCACTTGCGTGAACAGTAGAGAAAGAGCGTTTGGTCGGTCTGGAAAGTTTCGCAGAAATTATTTCCAAGCCAAATCGATACGTGACTCCCGATCTCGCATCGAACTGTAAAATGCTTCGCGTATTTAAGCCTTTCACTGCTCGATTATTTTGAACGTTTCCGAGATGCAAGGAAATTTTAGGCAGAATCACAAAAAGTATCATCTCGGGGCGATAACGTGAAAAAAAAAAATGGCTAATCCATAATTTAAGTTTCGTTTCTTCTTTGTTTCACTCCGCAACTCGTAAATAATTTAGAGAAAGGCAAGGAAGAAGCGAGGTCTTCATTTTAGTTCAATTTTCATTATTTTGACACTCTCAATTTCTTGTTAGAATTCAATTTATTGCTAAAATTATCCTGATCGAGGATATTTCTCTGTCAGAAATCGCGGATGACGCGCATCTGGGGTCTTATATTAGACATTAGGCAGCGAAAGGATTGAATAGGCAAGCATGGATGTGTATGAACAATTCTCGATCATGTCGATCGTTTGTGCTAACGTAGGCGACGAGGCACCCGTACCGGAAGACGGTATTAAACCGACCTTCACCGAACGACCGGTGATAAGACAATCCGACGACGGTAACACCATCACCTTCGAATGCCGACTTGTCGGCGATCCGAAACCGAGTGTAAAGTGGTAAGATTTGAAAGCGCGACGCGAGCGCGCGTGCGCGCTAGGAAGTACGTCGGAGAGTGTGCCGTTCGTGAGGAAAGGAACTCGACATTAATCAGAAACTACAATTAAATTCAGAAGAGGCAGTTTGTGCAATTGTATTCTGTCAAGTACGAAACATTAGTGTTTTAACTAATATTGCGAATATAATTCGATAAGTAAATTTAAACGAGTAAATTGTTCAATAGAAAATAGAAATTCACACGGGGAAGACAAATTTTGCTAGAACAGCAAAAAGAAACTTATTTAGACAGCAAAAAATGTATTTGGACAGCAGAAGACTTGTTAAAAGTATTAATTGCTCATATATCCAGCAAATAGCAATTAATATTCTTAACAAATCTTTCTGCTGTCCAAACAAACTTTTTACTGTCTAAATATATTTTCTTTTGCTGTCACTATTCACAAACATTTGCTGTTCTAGCATAATTTGTTTTTTCCGTATACAGTAAATCGCTCGATAGAGAAGAGAAATTCGTGGTAAATTATTGGATGAGAAATAGAAACTCGTTATTTGATGGTCGCTTCGATGTCGACGAATTGACGTTTTCTCCGACGGTCCACGTGGCCAATGCAAATCGGTGCATCAGAGACCGCGCACTTTCGAGCGCGCGCTCGCGGCGCGCAATACGTACCAGTCTTCGGGCGGATATTTCGACGTTGGCGGGATCGCAGGTATCACGGTACCGAGGAAGTGAAAGAGGGCGGACGGTTCAACACGTCTCTGGAACTCGATCAGAAGCTGTATCACCTCGCGAGGCTGAGGATCGACAGCGTGGCGAAGGGGGACGCGGGCGAGTACAGGGCCGTGGCGAAGAACAAGCACGGCCAAGGGGTGGCGACGATTAATCTGAACTTCGAGGGTGGCGACAGGCTCAAGTAGGCATCCGAGAGAGGCGACTTTTTCCGCCACGCCGAGCTCTTCCGGTCCGATGGACGCAGCGCGATGGGAACTTACCCGTTTAGAGCCGCGAAATTGGCGCGATCACAGCTCGCAATCTACGAAGTCGAGTGTATCGGATCGATTTCTTTGAAGATTCGCTTCTTTCAACTGAAATTTATTACAGAGAAATGAAGTTGGAGTTAAAATACCGGAAATGAATTCAAATTTATTCGTGATCCTCTTTACTGTAGATTCTTATCGCCAGTACTATCAGAATTCTTTTTGAAATCTGTTACGCTTGATTGTACGTTACAATGAAAAAAATTGTATTCTCTGTTGTATATAGAAACGCTGAAGTCGATGAATATGAAGGATTTTAACGAAATAGAGAATCAACTGGTCAAAACTGGCACGGAAAATAAATTAATCTGAAATCAATGATAGATATTCTCATATATAAGCAAGAATATTATAATCTTCTTAGAAGATTTTTCGTCTCGATTTGATTGAGTTTGTATTGATGCAAGTATTACTTGCACTTAATTCAAAAATAAAAATCTTCCAAGAATATTATAATATTCTTGCTTAAACATGGGAGTATCTATCGTTGACTTAACTGTTTCTTTTCCATGTGATGTAATGTAGACGTTCGTGTACGTGTACTTAGTCAAACATTAGTTCGGCAGACTTGCAACAAAGACATTTTTATAAATGATCGCAATTGTTTCTGGAGACTTGCGTCCTTTATGGGTCTGCAAATGCCTGCGTGTCAGAATGCATCGAAAGTCGCACGCTCTCTCTGAACATGTAACATGTTGAAATAAGTATAAATTTAGCGCAAAAACTATAAGTAGAGATTTTAGCGAATGAAACTCCAAAATAGTCACAAACAAACAAGAGAGCCCGCGATTTCCGGAATTTCGCGAATATCTCTCCTCGTGACATCGCGCCGCGTCTTCAAGAGCACACTCGCGTGGCGTGGCGGGCAGAACGACAGACGAGAAACGGCGTTGCTCCTGCAAGAGTTCGTTCGTCCGCCGGAAAAGAAACGGCATTTCTCGTATCTGACGTGTCGATTTACGCAGAATACCGGACGGTAAGCCGCCGCGCTTCCCGAAGAAGCCAACGATCCGCCAGGAAGGCGACATACTTATCATGGAGTGCATCCTGGAGGCACACCCGGTACCGGACATTACGTGGTACCAGGGTCAGAAAACGATTGCCGACAGCAAACGCGTCAAGATGTCGCGCAAGGCCACCGGCAAGGACACGTACCTGCTCACCCTCGAGATCTCAAACCCGACCAAGGCCGACGGCGGGAATTACCGTTGCAACGCCTTTAACAACTTTGGCGAGAGTAACGCCAACATCTCCCTGAATTTCCAAGGCAAGTCCCCCTCGAAGCATACGGGAGGGCCCTCATTGACGTTCCGATGTTAATCGAACTTGCTAATTGCGCATTGTATATTATCGAATTATCCGAAAATAGAAATTATCGTCTGAAATGAAACATTTTAGAAGTAATCGATTTAAAAGTGCTGTAATTGATTCATTAAAAATAATAATGTTTTTTAACTCAGAAATCTTTTTATAGTACGCAATTATAGCCTCAAGAAAGGAAACTTCAAGTGAGCATTTTTTCAGATAAAAAAAATATTACGTATCTTCGCTTTGTCCAAGATAATAGAAAGAATTTCACTTCTTGTACGTTCGTTCCAAATTAAAATCAATTTAAAAGCTACATTAGCTAGAAAAACATCTACAAGGTATAAATCGCGCTTAAACAATGAGATCCCTCCTGTCGACTTCGTTCGAGACGAATCCCACCGATTCTCCTCGAGTATCCTTCGTACGAAGTGCATTCTATATGACCGCGCGGTAAAGACTGAAAGCTTGATTGTTCTCCGATGAACGATCGCGACGATGACGATGACGGTCCATAAGGTAAGCCACAGTCACAGTCGCGCTACTGCTAACCAATCGTGAAGTCTCTGTTATCTTCGCTTCGTAACTCATTGAGCTGCCAACACGACTAACAGGGCCTATCGGGAGGAGTCGCGGTCGCAGGCTCGATCTTGCGACCGCGACTTCCTTGGCCGACACAGACTACGTCTCCGGTATCATTGACGCACCGGAAATTAGCGTCCTTACGCTCATACGACCATGTCTAACCGCGGATCTTTCCAAGATGCAGAAGAGGGTGCGGGCTTCGCGCCGTCCTTCATCGAGAAACCCCGCATTATCCCGAACGAGAGCGGCACGCTGATCACTATGAAGTGCAAGTGCAAGGCGAACCCGAAACCGGAGGTTACGTGGTTCCGTGGCACCAATGTGGTCAAGGAGTCGTCGAAGATCACGATCAAAACGATGACGGTCGAGGAAGATATCTACGAGCTTGTCATGCAGATCAAGGTGATCCTTCGAGCACTTTTTTTTCAACAAGTTCAATGATGTGATAGTCACCAGTGATCGGTACTATACTATTATCACGTCTCATTAAGTTGTGTAAAAAACATCAAGTTAAAGTCATAGATATATTAGATGTATAAATTAATTCTCGGCCTTTTTGGCATAATTTTGATATTTATTTGTAAAAAAAAATAAGTAATTATCTTCTCTTTAAAGTAACCTCCCTCACTTTCTACACATTTTCGCCATCTCTCAGGCAATCCTGCGAATACCGTCTCGGAAGAAAGATGCTGGCTTTGATCGAATAAAGTCATCGATGCTTTTTTTGAATTCCTTGAGAGATCGAAAGTGCGAATCGGCTAGGTGATACTGTAGCGACCGAAACAGGTGATAGTCTGAGGGGGCCAGATCTGGAGAATATGTTGCATGATGGAAAATTTCCCAACCTAAGTTAACTTTCATGGTCGCTTTTATTGTATTTGGCCGCGCGTTGTCGTGCAGCAAAGTCACCTGTCTATTTCCATTACCGGTAAAAGGTTTCTTTCTCTTCAATCGTGTCACTGAATTTTATCATTTGCTACAAAAGTAACGTTTAGAAGTAATAGTTTCACCGGATTTGAGCATCTCGTAATAAATAACACTTTTGAAATCTCACCGAATACACAACAATTTTTCGAGTGAATGATCGGTTTCGCAGTACTTGTTAATGATTGACCCGGATAAACCCATGATTTTCGTCTCTTAAGATTGTCATATAATATCTATTTTTCCATTTTTCATCCCCAGTCACAATTTTATGCAAAAAGTCCTTTTGTTTAAATCGTGACAGGAGGAACATTGTCGTGTCTTAGCATCGAATTTTGTTTTCACGAGTAAGGTTGTGAGGAACCCAACGACTTCCTTCTGTATTCTTCCGAGCTTCTTTAAACATATAAAAATAGCTGGCTGAGTGACTCCCAGTTCTTCAGCAAGCTCCTTTTGCGTTTGACAAGAATTTTCGTTATGTAGTTCCTCCAATTCTTCATCTTCAATTTTTTTTGGTTGGCGTTCTTCATCCTGGAGATTAAAATTTCCATCCCGGAACTTCTAGAACCACTTTTTACACGTGCTATAGGACAAAGCATTCTCGCCGAAGACCAAACAAATAATTTCTTGTGCTTTTGCAGCATTTTTTTCGCGTAAAGTTTGAATGCGAGAAGGAGGCGGTGCCTCAGGTGCTGCTTTTCGAACGACATTTGCTTTTACTACTGTTTTTTGACGTTATGTCAATAGTATCATCAACTGTTATAATTCGCATTAAAACTTAGCGATGGCGCTTTAAAACGGCTATTCAGTGGCAAAAAATTTCAATTTGAATAGGTGCTGTAGTCGATTTAATGTAGGGGCCGAGAATTAATTTATACATCTAATAAGTGGAGAAGCGCAGTGAAGAAAGTCAGTTTTGATTGGCTGTCTGAATCATATGATCTAGGCTCCTTTTCTTTGTCTACAATGACTAAATTGCAAGTCAATGTGACAGTTGACATGTTATTCGAAGATTAATTTAATTATTTTCAGCTTCGTAGAAGAAAAAATCCAATAAACGGAGAGAAATTAAATTTTTAAAAGTTTAATTTCACAAAATTGATATATCTTTTATATCATTTCTTGAAAACGAGCGTGCCGACAGCACACTGGTCTACTATGCTAGTGATCCTGGGTTTGATTCAAGTAGAAGCCAAAATATTTACGCTTGTGTCTCCTCTCGGAAGGCAATGGCAAACTACCGAGAGTATCCTTGCTAAGAAAAACCTCTCTAAAATAATTTGCCGTTCGGAACCGGTGTTAAATTGTAGGTCCCATATGCGTATGTTATAATCAATGAACGCACCACAGGTATATGAGAGAGATTACTACACTTTTGCAGGAAGCAATAGGATTCATGAAGAAAATATAATTTTTTAGTTCTTCTCGCAGAAATTCGATTTCTCGTGATTTGCATTCCATATATATATATATATATATATATATATATATACATATATATATATATACTTATGTTTTATTTGTAAATTATTTTTCAATTTAGTCATCTTAAATTACATCTTCGCTGATGTATTTTGTTTCATTCACAGGATCCATCAGCACCTGATGGCGGTACCTACAGATGTCACGTGAAGAACGAATACGGCGAGAGCAACGCCAACTTGAACCTGAATATTGAGGCCGAGCCAGAACCGGAAGGAGACGGACCAACTTTCCTAGAGAAGCCACGGATACAGTCGCAGAACAAAGGCAAGCTCGTCATCATGGACTGTAAGGTCAAGGCTAAGCCGAAGCCGCAGATCGTGTGGACTCACGCAGGCCAGGTGGTGAAGGAGTCCTCCAAGATCTCCATCAGTATCGTAAAGGAGAAGGAGGACATCTACTATATTAAACTCACCTTAAATGATCCTGGACCAGACGATTCCGGCCTCTACAAGTGCAATATCAAGAACGAGCTCGGCGAACTCAACGCCAACCTCACGTTGAACGTTGAGAGTGAGTGTGTTGTTTGTTTAATTACCATTGCTCCGGTGCAATGATGTGATTTGATAATTTCATCGAAGTCAAGAATTTCATTATAACTAATTTGTGCGTGTCTCGAGAATTTAGAGCAAATTATTTAAACTTTATGATAATTTAGTTTATTACAATTTAGTTTTTGCAAAGTGCAAGAAATAGTTATGTCTTTAATAACGAATTCCTTAGACGTGGTTCTTGATTAATTACTTCGATAATTGTGATTTCAGTTATACCCGTGATTAAGGAGAAACCAAAGGTAGTGAAGATCGTCAAGAAGAGGACTGTGATAGTCGAGTGTCATGTCCTTTCCAAATTCTCGCCCGACTGCACATGGTTTAAGGAGAATCTGGCCGTTAAAGAAGATAACAGGCATAAGCTGCACGTCGAACAAGTCAGAGAAGTGAGTCTCGTGTTATCGTAAGATATATTTGTATCGTTAATAAAATAAATAATTGATGAAAAGAAATTTTCTTTTAATTTAATTCAGGAAGAGAATTATTTTCTTTTTTTTATAGCTATTATAATGCATCTTGTCGTTATAATGTATGTAATTAGATATTATAAAAATTGTAATTGGAATTAACTCAGTGCAAATTTTGATAGTATTATTTTTGAAAAGTTCTGCTCACAGTTTGAATTTTAATAAGTTGATTTCTTCGAATCTTTCGTAGGGTGAGTTTTCTGTAAAACTCGAAATCGAACAAATGTCGGCAACAGACAAAGGCGTATACAAGTTGGTAGCACGCAACGAAAAGGGCGAAGCTACCTCGCAAGTAGTAGAAGTGACGGAAATCCCAGACCAAGGCGAGAAACCAAAGATCGTTACTGGTCTGAAATCACTTGTAAGTATTTTTGTTTAAAACACGATGTTATTTTTTTTTAATACTTAGCTTAAGAAGAGAAAGACATTATTATGAAAACGTAGCCTATTAAATTAATGATATATTGTTCTTTTCAGACTGTTGAAGAAGGCAAGACGATCGAGCTCATCGCCATCCTCGCAACGCAAGATCGAAAAGTCACTATTACGTGGTACAGGTATGTATGTGTATTAATAAAAAAAATTTACATTTTTTTCTATTAATACGACATTTCTGTAATACGAGATTATAAGAGAGAAGTTTTATATAGATATAAACAAATATTATTTTTTAGTAAATTTACATAATCTAAATTAATATGTTATTTCATAACCGACAATTGTATCTTATTTTTTACCGTGTCATAGATTTTTTTGTAAATTTTCGTGATTATTAACAGTACTTTTTACGGTATGCCAATGCAGAGACTCAACAGTTGTCAAAGCGTCAAAGGATATAATGATCTCTTTCAATGGCTTGGACATGAAATTGACCATCACTTCGGCCTCGACGGAGTTTTCAGGAACGTACAAAGTCGTCGTAAGCAACGAATACGGCCAAGACGAATCGTCGGCCCGACTCATCGTCAAGGTAAGGAATTAAAAAAAACTCCTGAACATTTTAAACATAGATTACGCTGACATAAGTTTTCCTTATTAGTCGTTTCCAATTTTTACATAAATCGTAACATAACAATTTGCAAACAAACTTTAAGTGAAAAATTCCCTAAAATGTTACGTAAAAAGTTGGTATGTTCAATGTAAGTTAATAATCATCCGTTTTCTCGTTATACAAAACCCAAAATATGTATGCCGAACAAGTAAAAAAATAATCTAAATATTCTCCCATGAAAAATTAGGATATATGTTAAATATGAAATGTCACATAATATCCTTTTCAAACATTATTCAATTATTAATAATATTCAATGACTATTCTTCCAACGGTGATTGTTCCCATGGTCATTCCTGAATGAGACACGTTTCCCATTGTCGCATGCAAACCCCTAAATTACAGAAGAAAGAGGAAAAGAAGAAAGACGAGGAGGAGGAAGAAAAGAAGAAGAAGAAGGTGGAAAAGAAGGAGGAAAAGAAAGAGGAGGAGAAAAAGGAGGAGAAGAAGGTGGAAAAGAAAGAAGAGAAGAAGGTCGAGAAGAAGGAAGAGAAGAAGATCGAGAAGAAAGCGGAGAAGAAGGTTGAAGAAAAGAAGGAAGAGAAGGTAGCGGCCGAAACGAGCGGATCGATTGAGATTTTACTTAATTTTCGATTTTTCCTTTTTTTATTGCCCCCATCGCATATTTCTTTGTGATTAACAGTATATTCGTGCATTGATCAATACACTGATACAACTTGATACAGATATAGGAAGATCGATCGTTTCCTAAATTTTATTATGGCATGCCTTTGTTCTTAAATTTGACCTCAATATATTTACTGAAAAATTAAGATATATTTCAAAAAGAAAATATCTTGTATAAAAAGGGAAATTCTTCCCGAAGAGAAAGAAGCTTACTTTGTATTAAACGTGAAAACGATCAATCTTTCGATTCCTCGACGCGACAATTGGCACATTGTTGAAAATTTCTCACGTGTTGCGACACGAAAGGTGTCGGTATGGAGCGACGAAGAGGATGATCAATCAGGGGATTACGAAGAGATGGAAGAGGAGGAGGTAGAAGAGGAGGAAGTGGTGAGTGTAATTGAGTCCAGCATTATCAGCACAGAAGCCATTCTCGAAGAATCGGATTCAGAAATAATCTCTCGCGTCGAGGTACACACATACATAACATATACCGACACTATTACATAAATATCATTTATTTATACTAATTATAATGAAAATTAATAAACGTTAAATTTTTATCAATAATAAAATAATTTTTAACATAAATTGTTGATTTTTGTCGTAAATAGTTATTTTAACATAAATAATTGATTTTTTTATCGTAAGTTATTGATCATAATGTATATTTATATGTGACACTTCTGCTATATGTTTTGTTTATTTTACATAAATTTTTCAAATCTTTCCTTTTTCTTCTCTCTCTCTCTCTCTCTCTCTCTTTCTCTTTATACTTTTTTTCATAGGATAAACAATCTTTTCTTGTTATTTTTTTAAGGATAAGTCCGACATGAAACCGAATGGTATCGACAAACCAGGTGTTGGGAAGGTACGACTTGGTTATTTCTTTTTAATTTTTTACGAAGAACGAAACGAGACATCTTTTTATAAGAACAGTACACCATACTCAGAACACGTTACAACGTGATAATAATTATTCGTTATTTCCGTCATCCTGTTTGCCCCGTTGTGCTCTCGCTTGTATTTATCTTCTATATCACCTTATCCCTTGTAGTTTATGTGTACTATGTGTCCCATAATGCGTAAAGTAAAGCTTATTCTATTAAAAGTAGAATACGTGAATACGCTATTACAATCGTTGCAATAATTTATAATCGAGTTTATATAATCGAGTTATGTACGAGCAATATTGATTAAATCCGTGAAAAAAATCATTTTAGATTTAATAAACCGTGAAGTGAACTGAAAGATCGCGGTATATTCTGTTTCAGAAAATGGAGATCCTGCAGGTGAGTGCGAAATCTCGGATCGATCGGGTTTCGGTAATGTATGCGCTCGAAAAAGTAGCCTTTGGATACGTTGGAACGAACAATTTGCTGCGTTTTATAGCTTTGGCAGAGTATTCCGCCGACATGCGAGATAACGTGTGTTTATGAGCCACCGCAAATGACCTCTTCTAGCTTCTTTTCAGCTCCTTGCGACTGTGAGATTTTGGCTTGTGGTTGCAAAATCACCTTTGCGCGCGATAAATATTCGCCTATCTCATGCTATATACCTTCTGCTCATGCTATTTTCTTTTCCACAGTATCCGCTTAATCTCGGCTTATCCGCTATGTTTCTTCGAATGAGTCTCGTGTGCGCACACTTCTTAAGCAACCGCTGCAATATTTATTTACTCTTGCCTGGGTAAAGAAGATTTTCGAGACTCGTATTTTCTCTTGAATCACAGAAGCTGGTCCTTTACAAAAAAAGAAGAAAATTGCCCAACGTTGAGGTTGAAATTTGCATCCTTCATCTCATCGCACCTATCCGAATTTCTGCACGTTTTGGCTCTTTCTCCTCTTTCGCACTGCGATTTCTGTGGCTCTGCATGAAAGTTCCTTATGAGCGCATTGAATCACTTAAGAGACAGTAAGCGATGACATAAATTGGAGATACGGGTTGTCGACTAAATGTAGACATAATTTTAAGTCACGACCATACCTCCGATTAATGCGCATTTCAAAGTGTTATATGGATTGTTGTTCATGCTTAGGAATCTCGAGAAATCACACCTAAACTCGAGAAAGCCGCGACTCGCAAAGAGTCCATAAGCAGAGTGAGTATCGATTGTCTCCTATATTTTTCTAAGAGAATTGAGCAGTTGGATCGTCGCGAAAGCAAATTTCAATACACGAATTTTCGTATTGCAGGTGCAGGAAATTAAGCAGGAGAGTCGTCGCAGCTCGCTCATTACGGCCGAGGGAAAGGTACGAGATACTATCCTATCCTATTTGGCGCTACAGCTCGAGTTCGAGCCTGGGCCGACTTTTCTGTTTTACATATGCATGTGGTGCGCACCCAGATTGTACACGCTCGCGTACGGTACGAGATACTGCAATATCAAATTTTGTATACGTTTCGAAAGCTACGACCTCATTCTAGCGCTTTGGAATATTCTATGATATACGAAAAATTTTTATGTTATTTTTTTATTATCGCATAGATATTCGATGATGGCACCGCGGCATTACGACGTGTTTCTATTCAGAAGGTATACATGCACACACACACCATACATATTATACAGAACATTGACAGTTTCACAACGCTATTATTTCGATAAATATTCTAGTTAGTTAATTATATCACATGAAATAGTAAATAAATAAATGTGTTCTTATCGTCGTGAAAATCGTCTACTGAAAGAATCGAATCTGTTTTGATTAGCCTTATTTCGGGTTAAAAATGGTTAAAAATATCAGTTTTCGCGTAAATTAAAACATTTGTATGCCATATATGATTTAAATATTATTTTTCAATTAATTTAGATGGAAGAGGAAATCAAGGTAGAAAGCAGGCGATCCTCTATTATAGAAAAGAAGAAAACGACCGTTGAAAAGGTAGGAAAGAGTGTGTCGCTGACTTTCCATTGGTCACACAATGTGCTAACAAACTGTTTCATCGTTAGCTAGTTTGTAAATGTGTTGTTGTAATTTTTACAAAAACAAAGTAAGTATAATGTGAGTGAACCGTCACCTCCTTAAAATCGACGTAAAGAAGGAATTTTTATTTTCTGTGTTAAAAGTTCGATGTTTAATTTTATTGTTTATCAGAGTAACAGCATGTGTTAACACAAGATAGCAGCTTTCTCAAAAAAAAAAAAATAGTTCTATTAGCAGCTTTGATTGTTGTAAAGCTTAAAGTGAGTGGGCAATTTTGTAGAAAAGTCATGAAAATGATGCAATTTTATTTTTAGACGAATTTATCTATATACAATTATATAAGTGATTATCGTATCAATTGCGACTTTACAAGATATAAAGAGTTAATTATATTACTTTAGGACACACCGAAAGATAAGACATACTTGCACGACATACTTACTAAGACACTCGCGTGTAAATCCGACGAAGTACCGAAAGATAAAATATTTCCACGCGAAACACTGACGTATAAAATACGTCCCCAGAAATCTGACGAAGAAATTGAGGTACATAACATTGTAGCTCGTAATTCGCGCAGGGTATACGTTTTACGCTCTCAAAACGTTATTGTTTCTAGGATATTTGGTCGGCTAAGCCAAAAGAATTCGACATTGAATCCAAGAGACACGATAAAGTACGCGAATATGATTATACTAACTATCGCAGATAATTTAAAATTTTAAATAACTGATCGGATAATATAACAAATGTTAAATGTTATTTTAGGATGTACCGAAAGATAAAACATCTTCACACGGCACACGCGACACATCCACACCTAAAACCTATTCACACAAAATCGACGAAGAACCAAAAGATAAAGCACATGTACACAACATACTCACAGATAAAAAATCTCCACGTAAATCTGAAGAAGTGTTAAAGGATAAAATACATCCGCGTGACACGCGCATGGATGAAACGCGTCCGCAAGAATCTGACGAGGAAATCGAGGTACACTCGCATTTCGTCTCTCAGTTAGACACATATTTTATATGTTGATTATTTTTAAAAATATGAATATTTTATAGGACGTTTGGTCAACTAAGCCAAAAGAACGCGACATTGGCTCCGAAAAATACGATAAAGTACGCGAACATTTTATTTTAACAACTACACATATACTTGATAAATATTTTACAAATATACAAAATAAAAATTCGCGAAAAATTATATTCTCTTAAACATAATACCAATTTTTTAATGTAATGTTATTTTAGGACATAATAAAAGACAAAATACACGCACATGGCACACGTACGGCCAAAATACAGCCACAAAAATCTGACGAGGAACCGAAAGACGAAACACGTCTGTCGGATACACCCACAGCTAAAATACAGCCGCGAAAGTACGATGAAGTACCGAAAGACAAAACACGTCCACAAGACACACCCGCAACTAAAACACAGTCACCAAAATCTGATGAAGTGTTGAGAGATCAAACACGTCCACACGATACACCTGCATTTAAGACACGAAAATCGGGCGAAGTATTGAAAGATGAAATGCGTCCGCAAGATACACTTGCAGTCAAAACACAATCACGAAGGTCTATTGATGCACAAAAGGATGAAACATGTCCACGAGATACAACCACAGTTAAAATACAGCCAGGAAAATCTGACAAAGTAGATAAAACACCTTCGCAAGATACACGCACAGCTAAGACACAGCCACGAAAATCTGACGAATTATTGAAAGATAAAACACGTCTACACGACACGCCTATCGAAAAAATACGTCCACGAGAATCCGACGAGGAAATTGAGGTATATAATACCTTGATTGTACAATTTGAATACATTCGTTACATATTTTTAAAAAGTACCAATACATTGATATTAATATCTAAATATTAATATTATTAGGATATTTGGTCGGCTAAGCCGAAAAAGCACGATATTCCTACCAACAAATTGATCAAAGTATGCACGTCTTAATTTATTAAGTCAAATAAATATCATATTCGAACAACGCGCAAATTTTTGTAGAAATAAATAACACTTTAAACACGTCGGTATTTTAGGATTCGTCGAAAGCTACGGATAAACCGTCCCGTCGTCAATCTGACGAAAAGGTCGAGGTACACGTTACACGTTGCACATTACATTACGCTGTATACATTTGTTTATATATTTTTTAACACCAATATACTTTTAGGATATTTGGTCTAGTCGAAAGGAACGTGAGGATAGGTCACACAAACATTACGAGGTATATATTATTATGACGTTATACACATCGCGGAAAGAATCGTTAATACAAAATTGCTTAGAATACAAGAGAACCAAGCTTAGAATACACTTTCAATTTTAATATTATTGTAGGATTCGCCTAAAATTAAAGATAAATTCCCCCGTCGTCAATCTGATGAAAAGGTCGAGGTACACGTTACATGTTAAACATTACATTACACTGTATATATTTTTTTACAAATTTTTTTAACACCAACACTTTTAGGATATTTGGTCCAGTCGGAAGGAGCGTGAGGATAGGTTACACAAAAATTACGAGGTACATGTTATGATGTACACATATTACGGAAAGACTTGTTAATACAAAACTAAGCCGCATTTAAAACACAAGAAAACATTTTAAATGTGATATTATTTTAGGATTCGCCTAAAATTAAAGAGAAATTCCCCCGTCGTCAATCTGATGAAAAGGTCGAGGTACACGTTACATGTTAAACATTACATTACACTGTATATATTTTTTTACAAATTCTTTTAACACCAACACTTTTAGGATATTTGGTCCAGCCGTAAAGAACATGAAGATAAGCCCCACAAAAATTATGAGGTATATATTATACACATTAAAAAGAATTATTATTGCAAAATTAAATCAAACTTAGAACACAGGAAGACGTAATATTTTAAATACGCATTATTGTAGGATTCGCCTAAAATTCAAGACAAATCACCCCGTCGTGAATCTGACGACAAAATCGAGGTACACATTACATGTTCCACATTTCATTGTTCCGTATACATTTGTTTATATATCTTTTAATACTGGGACACTTTTAGGATATTTGGCCTAGTCGCAAGGAACGTAAAGATAAATTACACAAATATTATGAGGTATATTTTGTACACATTGAATTATCTTTACATAATTAAGTTTAGAACACAAAAAGATGCAACATTTTAAATACGATATTATTGTAGGATTCACTCAGAATTAGAAACGTATCACCCCATCGTGAATCTAACGAAAAGATCGAGGTACATATTACACGTTACACATTTTACTGCTCCGTGAACATTTGTTTATGTATTTTTTAACGCTGGAGTTTTTAGGATATTTGGTCCAGTCGTAAGGAGCGTGAAGATAAACCACACAAAAATTATGAGGTATATTTCATACACACACATTGAGAAGAATTATTTTTATATAATTAAACCAAGCTTCGAACAGGCAACATTTTAAGCACGACATTATTATAGGATTCACCCAAAATTAATGACAAATCTCGTCGTCAATCCGACGAAGATATCAAGGTATACACGACACACTGCACACGGTATCGCACCGTATATATATTTTTATATATTTTTTAACGCTTACTTTTAGAACATATGGTCTAATCGGAAGGAACATGAGAGCAGGCCACATAAAATCGACGAGGTACATCACGTAACATTTTACCACGCTTGAGCACATTTTCGAAAATCCTAGAATATTGTAAAAAACATTGTTATTATAGGATACACCGCAAACCAAGAGCATACGACGTGTGTCGAAACCCGACGATCAAAGCGAGGTAGATAACGTGCCTTCGAGTAAACCAAAAGCACGCGAAATCAAAGCTACGCAAAATAACGAGGTAGATAATTATGATGACGAGGTAGATAATATATCCACAGAGTTATTGGTCAAATAATAATACACCGTCGGTTTCTGAGCCGTATATGGGTATCAAAACACTGTTGAAATTTTAGGACAAGTTGTTGGCGCCGAAGTCGAAAGGACACGACGACAAGCGCGTTTTACGCAACGACGAGGTACACGAGCACAAATGATCTAACTTCCACATATTTTATAATTTTCTTCGTAATTTACACTCACATACCTTCGTGAGATACCTTGATACAAAATAGATTGTTATTTCAGGACACATCACGTTCCATAGACACACAACAACCACACAAAACACCATTCGATCAAGATGTCAAAACTTATTATACACATTACAATTACGTTAGTCAGAAAATACCCACGATACTATATAGTGCTAATTTATTTATTTATCTATTTATTTTTAATTGGCTTATTATTTTAGGACATTTGGGCGCCGAAATCCACTGAGAACGAACAGAATTCCGTCACAGTCGATAAGGTACACGTACATGTGTACAGATACATACATACAGCTACATACGTCTAATTACACAAAACGCATAAGTGAGAATTTATTTTTTCACATTTTTAGGATATTCTTTTATCCGTCACGAAACCACAAACACACGAATCCGACGACAATATCGAGGTACATGATTCGCATACGTACATGCGTCGTATTCTTCTTTCTTATTATTTAATTTTTGTGCCGATTGTAACGAAATAATGAGCGTTCGTAGGATATCTGGGCTTCGAGAACTGAGGACGTGCCTAAGCCTATTAGAAGGACGGAGGTACAGAACTCGCGCGAATTGCGAACGTTACGTTTATTTTTATTTTCCACGGTCCTAGGTCGTAATTTATTATCGGTATTTTAGGACTTGCGGATTTCTAAAGTCGCGCCGTATAAGATCGAGGATGGAGTCGAGGTACATATATATTTTACACAAACATGCTCAGAATGTCGTAAGTTTGAGGGCATTTAGTTCCATTCGGTGATTACTAAAATTTGCATACGATATCGACAGGAACCCGCGTTCACAACCGTACCTAAACCTGCAACCAAACCTAGGGGCAGTATTAGCAAACTCAAAGAAAGCACGGTACACACTTTTTACACTTATTCGCATACTTATAATCAGCTGATTATAATTATTTAATACCTAAATATTTATATAACATGCAAAATACGTATAAAGATATATTAATTATGTTATAATATAAATCATGATATGAATGTTAAACTTAACACATTTAAATGTTTATTAAATTTCATACTTAAAAAATATTTTAATGTATAAATACATGATAAATTTTTTTAGGAGGATGATATACCCGAGTATGAAATAAACGAGAACAAGCCAAAGGTACACTCACATATACAGTCGTACACATTTCAATGCGCGTATCATACAAGGTTAATATAAACGCGATATAAGAAAAATTTTTCTTTTTTAATTTTAGATCAGAAACACTGACTCTACACTTGATAAAGAAGAAATGCCCAAGGTATAAGACGAAAACTTTTGTACATTGTCACGCGTGACGCATTTTCCGAAATCAACAGTTTCGTTTCATTATGCCTTTGTGCAATTTTAGAAAAAGCTGTCCACTAGACGCAGGTCGTCTACCAAGTCAGTCGAAGGCTCAGAGGTACAAAACGATCTTCGCTTTCTGTCGATGCTTGTCATTGACTCTTTTTCACTATTTGGTCACATAGTCCTTGATACTCTTCACTTTGTGATAATCTGTAATCTCTAATTCTCAAAACTCTTTCTTTCTTCGCAAATGTTGACATTTTCTCTTAAGTCAACTATGCTTATGATGTACTTTTTTCTATCTCTTTTTCGTAACCAGGTTATTTTCTTCTTGCTCTTTTGCTTTTCTTCTTCTTCATTTTCTTCTTCTTCTTCTTCCTTTTCTTCTTCTCCTTCTTCTTCTTTTTCTTCTAAACTTTGATAGTTTTATTTATTATAAATATTGCCCAGGACCAAGAACCGGTATTGAAACTGAAGAAGAAAAAACCTAAACCTGTGGATGATTCTAAGGTATACGAATCGTCTCACTATTACACATCACAATATAAAGACACAATACAAAATGGTCAGACCTTTTATATTTTCTGCAAACAACAAAATATTTAATTATTTACATTAATTGCAAATATTTGTCATCGCAGACTTGCTGTATGCTTCTAATATATTGTTATTCTGCGTTAATATCGCATTAACATGAAAATTATTTTGCAAGTTATATACTACGATATAAAAGTTGGCATAGAGAGGCATTTATATACATGTCTGTCGAAAATAATATATGTTTCTACGTATCTTTGCTATTCATATTATACCATTTAAATAACGATATACACCTACACAATGTGCCTTATGATGCGTATATTTTTCTAGAAAGAAGAACCGACCACAAAACCGAAAACTCTCGGAAAACCGGAAATGCACAAGGTACAAAACAGGCACACTTTCCTAATGCGAGAATCGATACACATATACTTGAAGCTTTTTATATGATTTCGCAATTTTTTTCAAATATTTGTTCCCTATATTGTTACATCTAACTTTCTCAGAAAAAAAGCATATAATATATTATAATTTAAAGAAATCATTCTACTGCGTTTTAGGAGGAAGTTAAGCCTAAAGCGGAGGAGGCGAAGGTATATACAGAAAAATTATATTGTCATCCGCATACATAACACATTTACCATTTACACTTGAATTTAACACTGACATTAACACCTCGTATACGAGGTTAATTACTGTTAATTAATTACTTAATTACATTTAAACCGACTCGAAGATATAAAAGATTAACACAATATATAAAACAATATATAAAACGTAATACTTTTTTTTCTAAAATCATGTCATAATACAAACATTGGCAGCAGTCATGTTAACAACGTGTCATAGATGTGCGACTTGCATATCCGTTCAAATATGCTTTCGACGTTTTTAGGTGGAACCGAAAGCCAAGACCAAGGTAGAGGAAGTGAAGGTATATTTCGCACATATACTATGTACAATACAATACAATATACTTATATATACATGTAACGGAATGCGATAAATATGACTGAGAATATAGCTGGTAGGACACGATATTAAATATTACTCGTGTACATTTTTAGGAAATGCCGAAGGCTAAGCCTAAACCAGACGAGCCGAAGGTACACGAAACACTTTTATATTACGTTCTCTAATATTGATTTTACTTAGCGATCGGCTCGAACATACTTTAGCACAATTGATACAATAACAGAGATAAACACCTTTATTAAAACTTTGTACATACACTTTTAGGAGGAACCGAAAGCCAAATCCAAAACTGAGGAAGCAAAGGTACACTTATACTCACACTGTCTTGCAACGATGTACACTTACACGAGTAGAATTTGCAATTGGCGAGAGAGAATTCGGGATAAAACGAGATATCAGTAGAAACGTGGCGAATAGGGAACAGTTAAAAAAAACTACTCGTACACTTTTAGGAAACACCAAAGGCCAAGGCCAAGCCAGAGGAGTCGAAGGTACATAAAAGACTTATCATAACATGCATTCCTGTAGTAAATTTTTGGCAGTTAGGTCGCCAACTACTAATAGAAGTAGATGAAAATAGACCGAATTATGCGCTGCAGCGATTGACACATGAAACAAACTTTATTATACGTGTACACTTTTAGGAGGAACTGAAAACTAAATCTAAAACAGAGGAAGTAAAGGTACACTATATTCGCTATACTTGCGTTATTTCACACTACTACACAGATTATTATTACAAAAGTCACTAATTTGATACTCAAACATGACGCATATACTTTCAGCAAACACTGACACTCAAGTCCAAACCGGAAGAAGACAAGGTACACGACATACTCACGATTGTCTTTTTCTTTCACGAATTATATTTTTATATTGACATATTACACTTTACACTTACATATGGACGTACGCGTGAATTTATCACAATTATATGAAAACCGCTATACACTTTTAGATCGAAGGAAAGCCTAAGGTTAAACCAGAAGAAGCCAAGGTAAAAGAAACATTTGTACAAGTAATTGGCGGAAACATACAAAATGCGAAATACAAAACGCGACAGATAGGAATCACAATATACAAGCAAATACGAAACAATTACTAAAGGCTACTCGTACGTTTTTAGGAGGCACCAAAGGCCAAACCTAAACCGGACGAACCAAAGGTACACAAAACATCCGATACATATTGCGTTTGTTAATATCGAAGTCTTTAGATCGCATATCGACAATAACGCATGGAAAAAACGAATTGCTAGAATAGCAAATGTTTATTAATATAATGACAGCAAAAAAAATTAGTTTAGTCAGAAAAAAATTTGTTTGGACAGAAAGATTGGTTAAGAGTATTAATTATCCATATATTCAGAAAATAGCAATTAATAGCTCTTAACAAATTTTTCTGCTGTTCAAATAAATTTTTTGCTGTCTAAACAAATTTTTTTGCTATCACAATATTGACAAAGATATGCTCTTCTAGTAAAATTTGTTTTCTCCGTGCGATCTTTATTATATTTTACACGTACATTTTTTAGGAGGAATCAAAAGCTAAATCTAAAGCAGAGGAAGCGAAGGTACACTTACGTTTTCAAACATTATACACATTTTGAACATGTAGTATACACTTAGTTTGAACATGTAGAGAAATTATTAAGAAAGATTTATGGTCTGTAACACCGATACACGAGAAAAATCGAGATACAACAGGTTTTTCTACTTTTAGAAAGAGGAACCCGTGAAGAAACCTGCAGCTAAGCTAGAAGAACCAAAGGTACACTCTACATATCACGTACATAACATACATAACATACAGAAAATACAGTCTAACACATTTACATGAAGATGTATATTAAAAACGGATATGCGATTTTCATCACGCGTGGGAATAATTTTATGGGATAAAATTCTATAGTAATTGTAATTTTATTTGCAGAAAGAAGAAGAGACCAGAAAGAGCTTGAAATCTGTCAAGGTAATTATGACAGTTTCATGTTTGAGCAGTATTATAATTTATTAAAGAGAAATAATAATTAAAATAATTTATTAAAGAGAATAATAATAATAATTGTTATAATAATAATAATTTAAAAATATTAAAATAATTATAAAAAATTATAATGATAAAATAATTTGTTAAAGAGAAATTAAATTTCTGTATTTTTCTAAAATGTGCTTTTTACGAATGTACTTACTAATGTTACTTTTGTTTGTTTTAGCAACTCGAAGAGGAGAAGAAAACTCTGGAGAAGATCGAGCTTAAGGTATGTTTATTCTTTTCATCACATTTATTTACAATCATTCATAATAATGTTCAATGTATCGTCCTTGGTAGAAATAGAAACAATAACAAAATCAGCCCTGATAGTAATAGAAAATTTTAGTTAGCATCCAATGTAATATTTAATTTATACACTACATTTTTTAATTATACACTATCGTTACAATTTAATTTAATATATTAGAGATTAGAATCTTGCGAGTTCTTTTCGTTTGTTCAAAAGCGTTTCTGAGTTACCACCGGATAAGACATGTCGACTCCCGTCCATCAAAATTTCTTTTCGCAAAAATTATGTTTTTTTTTTGGTAAACAAATTATGTATTAATGCAGCCGAAGGATGCCACCAATGCGAAATCGAAACTCCGAAAATTACCGCCGAAAGAGGAAGTTAAAACGGGAACCTTTCAGGGGATTCAACTTAAGCCAGTCACAAAGGAGCCGAAAGAGGCTCAGCAGGCTGAAAAGAATGGGGTCGCGCTTAAGGTAGCCCTGCTGAAGGGGATCAACGTCGCTCTCTTTCTCTATGCCTCTAAACTTCTTCTCTAAACTTCAATCTGCAGCGCGTAACTTCGCAATGTTAAACACAGCGCACGCGAAATATATCTCTATGCATTCTTGTTTTCGCACTTTATTTCAAGACGTTCCTCACTTCATAATTTTTTAATACAAGTGAAATTAATTCAAGAGCTGAACGTTCTTTCTGAACTCATATATTCTGTAAATAATATCTACACTCTTCGTAAATAATACGTATATTTATATCTCTCGGCACATTTCCAAGTTGTACATTATTGCACTTGTTTTTCTCTCGATATTTTATCGCTAACTTTTCTTTGTACTCGCATCTAATTTTTTTTTTACAACATAACAAGACGCACAAGAGACTGCTGCGTTAAGGACCTTGTCCATCGCAAGGTGTCTCTCTTTCACCTCTGTCATCTCTGTCTCTTCACGTCTCAAGTAGTAGGGTGATGTTCAATGACGTATTAATAACGTCTCAATGATGTTTCTAACGTCAATGATACGTTATTGAAACGTCTTTAGACGTCATCCCGCTACTTGGGATTTTTTTCACTCTGCATGGGGTGAAGAAGATTGCTCTGCATCACTTCAACTATCTGCTCTTTTCGCTGTTTTGATATCTCACAATTTTCATTATGGATTTGTTGAGTCAGAACGATGTTTCTAATAATTAAAGCACACACGTTAATACTGTAATTATTACGTGACATACTATTAAGCACTTGTGTAATAAAATTATCGTGTCTCACCTTAAATTAAATTATCATGCGTTGGTATATTTATTGACGCAGGTAAGATGGCTGTGTATCTATTTGTATGTGTTCTATCTTCTGTGTCGACTTAACTTCACAAGGTTTAAAAGAGAATTTTTCTGCAAAGGGAAGATGAAGTTTTTCCGAAGGGATATCTTTTTGTTGATATTTCCTGTTAGAACAGTCAGAAAAATTCTTGCATATATAGTAACAATCTTTTTAAATACTTTCGGTTCTAATGCGATTGCGTAAATAATCCCTGTGACCTGCACACACATATTACGAAAGTCTGATTCAAATGAAAACTTTAAATATTTTTTTTATAATTTCTTGAACAAAAATAATACAACTGTGTCATTTTTCTAACGTAATCTCCATTGTATTCAAGACAAATTCTCCAGCTCTTACAAAGTGCATGGATTTCTCTAGAAGAAAATTCTTGTGTTGTGTGCGCGGTCATCATCTGTTGCACCTCTTCATCGTATGTGAAAGTCCTTTCATAGCCTCTTTGAGGGGTCTAAAGATGTGGAAATCACTGGAGGCAATGTTTGGTGAATACGGAAGATGTGAAAGACACTCGCAGGTCTTGCAACCATTGCACAGGCAGTATTGTCATGCCATGAGCTTTCTCATTGCTAATAAATTGTCAATTTGCAGAATAGTTCCAGGGTGTTTCGAATTTATATCGCAATTTTAAGGTTTTCATTTGACTCATCCTTGTATATTATCTCTAATACAGAATATGTCCGTGCCTGATCCGTGACAGGATCTATCTACTAACCCTCTTTGTACGATTCTATCTTGCTCACTGATGCATTATTCACACGTAGAAAACCGAGAAAGGCGAAAAACTAGAGGTGAAAAAAATGAAAGCGTCGAAGGCGGCGAAGGAAGCGAATTATGAGCTTCCAGAGATCCCGGATTATGAAAGGGCCGTCCTTGAGAAGCCTCAGGAGTTCGATTTTGGCGATTTTGTGCCTCGTGACAAAACGAAACTTGACAGACCGGCTACGCAGGTGAGGAGGCAATTTAATATCTCGACATATTAACGAATATTCTTGAACAATATGAATCTTGAAAAAATAATTTCTTAAAGAATATAATGAAAATATATTGAATATATATAAAATTTGAATATGAAAAAAACTTAAACTTGCTAAAAGATGTCGTATGTTGTACGAACATTATGATATTGATTATCATTACAGTTATGGTATTGATTATCATTACAGTATTGATTGATTGATTAATCATTTGTTGCATAATGCTTGCATATAATTAAGGAACAATTAATTTGAAAAGAAAACTTAAATAGATATCCATCGTGTGAATCTTCCCGACTAATTATATGTTTTCTGTTTTCATGGCGCTGAGCAGAAATTCGAATCTAAGGTGAGTAATCGTCGTTTATTAATAACGAAGGGAGAATATGATTTTGCCAAATCGCCAAGTCCGCTCGTACAAGAAATCCTGCGAATTTCGCAATCGCCAAGTCGAGGACGTTTTGATCGAGGGCTCTTGATATACACGGTTCTGGATAATTAATTTTTATGCTCGATTTGCGCGCGGTCTAATTATAGACAAGGTGCAAAACGACACTCGCTCGTTTTACGAACTCGAGAGGACGGGAAATTTTTAAAGCGACCGTTTATCTAAAAATACGATCGTTAAACGAAACGTTTCGCCGTAGGCGCGCAATTTAATGAAAAATTTCATGAAATTATTTTCTATTCCACACGACAATATTCATCACACTTTTGGCATTAAATATCTTAATCATTGAGTTAGGGTCAACATTTGGTCGAATTTAACGTGAGATTTTTCAAAAAGTAAAATTATAAAGTTTATTCAAATCTCTGAGAAGTCTAAGTTGCCGCACAGAAAAAAATTCTATTGCTAAAAAAAGCTATTACTCAATTTACTTTCCTTTTTTTAAATAATAATTATCTTCATCAAAAAATATTTCCTTAATAGTAGTCTTAAAATATACTCATCTAACAAATTTTAAAAAAGCTCATTATTACGTACACCAAAAAAGAATTAATTTCTTTTTCAAGAATATTATACATTTAATTGAAGAAAAGTTCAATTGAGTTAATTTCAGGATAAGTAAACCAAAGTTTGTTTCAATTTAATATTCTTGGTTGAAATATACAAAACTCATACTAGGATTCAAAATATATTTTGAATAAATTTGATGCTTTTATGATGATTTTTCCAAGAAAATATTTCTTATATACAGTCATATATAGAATATGTCCATACATAAAAATATATAATTATATACGATTATATATAATTATATATAATTATATATATTTATATATAATCATATATAACTGTATTACCATACACTTCATATATAAATATATATAATTATATCTAATTACATATGTAAAATTTTATTTCGGCTTATAATATATTTGCGGATATATAAACTTACGAAATACTTGAAACAAATAACATTTACCTGAATGCATATTTGTATTTGCTTGTATGAATTTTTCTGTGTGCGATGAAACTTTTCTTCACAGCAACCTCATTTTTCTCTAACAACCGAGAGAGGCTGTTCCTTTTCTTATTTATCTTGATTTATCTGGATTTTTTATTGTTCATCTGCTTCCCTTGCTCGCGGATTCTGTCGATCGTTGTCATAAGGGTAAACAGTCCATGCAATCGACGCAACGCAATAAATACAACAATCGAGTTTACTTGCGTGGCGAACGCGTCTCTTCTAGAAGCCGGTTTCTGGCACGACGAGATCTGGCAGACCCCCACGGCGTGCAGAATGCCTTCATATTTCCCGTTCTCGCCGAAAAGAGAGAACTCAGGTGTCCCCGCGACCATAAATACTCTCGTTCCACCTGCATAATCGCAATTAACGCGTTTCGCGACCGCGTACGCAGGCGGCACTCACGCGACGGATGAGGGTGAAAGGGGGAGGGCGGAGGGACAGGAGTAATAATCAGGCGACCCGAATCTCGCTTTGGCAAGCGATGAATGCCTCCTGTAATGTGCGATGCCGCGCCCGCGACAGAACTATTTTGGCGGATAAGCGCTCGTATATCACCCTTCTGAAATCTTGCGCGCGCGGCTGGTCGTCTCTCGTCCTCGTCGCCGTCGTCGTCGCCGCCGTGGACGAGGATGGAGAAAACGTCGATCGCTATTTTCGGACTTATTGCGATCGAGCCCCCCGTCGTCCTCGGGCCTGCACTCGGCGGAGTGCGCGATTCGAATCGCAGGGTCAGTCGTAATCGCCTTACGAGCGCGAACGTGTTGTATTATCAGCGCGTTAACACCGCGAGTCTCGGTACACCGACACCCCCTCGGTAAATCCGCAGCCTCGGCTAAGGCGGATGTGCGATCCTCGCGCCCGACGAATTGTTGTAGTCGGGAATTGAGCTGTCGGTTTCTAGGTCGATTTAGGGTCGAGAGCGCGGCGGTTAACGTTGCTCGTGGGTCTCCGGAGACTTCGTCTCGCAAAGGACGAATAGCCTGAAGAGACGTAACTTTACTGTTTATTGAATAAATACGCAGGGATTCGCATTTTGAGCGAATAATCCGGGATAAATGTACATTCTTTCGCGATTGGTGAAACGTACGAAGCTTCTGCAATTCTTCTCTTTTTCTATTATTTGTTCTCTTTTTTTATGATATTTCTGGGATCTCTTTACGGAGAAAAATTGTTTCTAAAATATAATAGCTAAAGACAGCCGATATCGTTTGAATCGACGCCTGAGTCGACCGCGATGACTTTAAGAATCCGCTTCAGCTTGTCGCTCGGGCCGATTAGATTTGACGAGGGAGTGCGTTTGGTTAATCAGTCGACTTTCAACGATCGCAGCCAAAGTTACCGGAGATCAAGGCTCCCGAGGCACCGAAGATCGAAGTTATCAAGGACGTGACACCAGTCGGCAGCAGGAAAGGTTCTTTAGCGCCTGGAAGTGGTGCCAGCAGTCGACGCGGTTCGCTCATACCACCTGAAGAATTGGGTCGCAGACCCAGTCTGATCATCAGTGACGAGGTATGTTACGGAATGTATTGTGTGATCATAAAGGTATATAGACTACCTTGTAGAGGACCAGGCTGAAGAGCGCAACAGAGACTTTCGCGGTGTTACGAATATTATATGTGTTCGAGTATTTTGAGGAGGTTGATGATTTAGTTTCAATTCACTGAATTACCGGGATTATTTTTTACTATTTTTTAGTAGATTTTCAGATAATTAACTAAATTATCCCGATTAAATCTTTCGTTTTAACTAGATACTTGAACACTTTCAGCCCCAATCATCATAACCGTGAAGGTGGGTTTCTGAGATCCACATAAGAAAGATATTTTTTCATGATTTTCCATAAGATTTTAAGGTAGTTTCAAAGGGAAAATAGCAATTATATACAAAAAGTCTTTGAATAAAAATTTTTTTACATTTTAAACGGTTAAGAACCTAATTGTCATTGATCGTCGAATTTTGTACAAAAGTGGAAGTCAAAAAGTCGAATTATTTGCATAGTACGAAACTTTGGAAGTTTTGCAACTCTCTGTCGCGCTCTTACGCATTTACGGGATCACATTGTTCGCTTTACGGAGGTTTCATCAATATCCGAGCAGACGAAGGAGTTACTAAACTTGTTAATTTATCGGAAGGATCTTGACAAATTGCCAGACATTGTTCCAATTAGCTGAATATGCTCGATGTCTAAAAATAAACGGTTTTACGACGCGGTGGGTCTATTTCGGTAGAATATTGAATCACGATTCAATATTAAAGCCTTCTTAAAGAATAGCAACGTATAGAAAAGCAATGCATCGGTAAAGCGAACGTAAAGCGATGATATTCGTAAAACAACAGACTTTGCACTTTGGAATTTAAATCGATCTAATTGCAAATCTTGATAAACCATTATAAGAACAATCGACGAAATTATATGTAATCTTGCGATTAATTTTACCATATTCATTAAATTTTGACAATTTACACACATTATCTTTGTCAAAAGCTTTTGTATCTCAATAACACGAAATCAGAAAATTTCGTATTTTTGAAACAGACACATTTTTAAATCCTTTTTTGAAGAACACTCCCACTTAATATATTTAATAATATGTTTAATATATTTAATCAATTTATAGACTGTTCTTATTTGTATAATATAACATTCTGCGTTGTACGAAATACATTCCAAAGCACAAAGCGTTCGTACGAGTCCTACTAAGTGAACCAATAACGAGTCGCATAAGATACTCGAGGAAACAAGTAGGTAGATGACTGGCTACTGTTGGTTGGCCCTAGGACTTTTTGTAGCTTTTTTTTGGGTTTCGTAGTGACGTCAGTGATAGATAGTGATCGTATTCGTGATGGTATTGGCGATAGATGCACGCCGACGTGAATCCCCGACGAACTCGGCTACGTCGCTGTGAAGCGTCGAGTGTGCACGTCGCGTTTTAGTGTCAGCAAGGCGTGAAATTTAGTTTAGCACTTCCCCGTTCTCCCAAGTGAAACATCCGAAGTTGGCCAGCTTCTGAAACAAACCCTTCCTTGTCTCTCCGATCAAAAAAAAAAAAAAGAAAAAAGAAGAAGAAACGAGTTATCCCCCGCTGTTTTTATCCCGTTATATATCCCCTATTGAACGCGAACGCCGGTGAACGTATTCCTTCAGGAAGGGAAACAAAACAAAAAAGAGAAAAAACGAAAGACGAAATGGAAATCTCTGGTGCATAATGTCGAGGCCATTCGGGACCGGTGCGTATCTGACGCGGAGAACAACAACCTGAAGACGACACCGAGAAGAACCGTCAAAGAAACACGGATAATTGCCGACGTGATGATCTCACTTTGTCTAAGTGCGTTCTAAACGATCGAAAGCGTTCTTAACGCGTGAAATCATAAAATTTTGATGCCTTGTTAATCCGCGACGCGAAATTGAACATTCGTCGAAGAAGTGACGGATCCTCGTGACTCTTTTCTTCTCACTCACTTTCACTCTGAGTTATAATTACTTGTCTCTCTCTCTCTCGTAAAGCCTCAAACGGGTATTTTTAGTTTTGTAAATTCTATAACTAGAACTCCATTTCAGACGGGAAAACACGCGGAACATTATTAATTAGAGAGAGAGGGAGAGGGAAAAAGAGCCACTAAAATTAAGCTGGCCCCTTTAATATAATTCATTTTCGCCGATTTCTCGAGACTTGGTTCGGGTTCAAGATAAAGATAAAACGCGCGGCGGAACGCATTTCGATACGTCTAGTCGGTGTAGGAATGAGAGTCCCGAGCAGAATCGAAACGATCGTGTCAAGTAAATGTAGACGTGTTACAGCATCGTACAGGCGCACACGCACACATACACACATACACACACACCAACCACGCCCACCGTTCACCTTCTCCACAGTAGTGGTTAATAGAGATTTGGTCCATAGGAGCATAGGAAGCTTCGTCCTGGCGAGGTGGTGGACGAGCGCAAGGTGAGATAAATCGCTGAGAACGTGAGAGCGAATGCCTCGTCTGCAACCTTATTACTCGACTGGCACAGTGCACTTTTATATTCTACTCTCACTTATTTTTCTCACTCACACACTCTCTATTTCTCATTCACACACACTCACCGGAGTATCGTGCACCGGAGAATCGAGTTCCAGGATGTTTTGTCGGGCGGAACGTTTCACCGTTCGACACGACATGAAATTTTGCTCTTTCACTTATCGGTCTCTCCTCGATTCTCCTTGCCCGATCATGCCTGCTCATTACTACTATTTTTACTCACTATAGTCGTACCTGATAGCACACAATGCACGAAGCGCACACGCGTCGTCGCGAATTTAATCGCGCGTCTCGAGATCATTATTTCTCCGACGGAGACTTGTCGATTCGGCGTGCATGGACGATTCAATTCCCGACGACGATGCGAACTTGTGTGCGCGAGAGTTCCACTTGCGTGCTTGTTGCACGCAATGCGTTTGCACGTATATGCGTTTAATAAAGCATTTTTATCTTCATTAATCGAGACACTTCTCTCAGAGTGGGACTCTCGCGCGCACAACTTTTCCTCTCTCTCTCTCTCTCTCGATGTTTCGACACACATAATCCAGAACTTGAGCAGCGAATAAACAGCGAATGCACCTCTGCATCTGGCACGGATCTGTTGCAACCGAGTCTATGCACACTCTTTTCTCACGATAATAATAATAATAATATTAATATTAATAACGGGATGAAGGGATCGTTAGTGAGCGGCAGCTGGGGCGTATCGGCGAGTTGCCTCGTCAGTCATTCGCAATACAAGGTTTCGTGTTCTTCCTGGCTTACATTTCGACTCGTAGATCACTTGTCTTGGCAAGCATTGTCCGCCGTAGACAGACATCGACGTTAATAAATGTTCTGAGCGGCGACACGACGTGTGAATCATGTCTCACAACCGTCTTTTGTCACCTCGCTCTGCCAGCAAACGTGCATCACTATCAAGCTCAGCGGAAGGGCCGATCTGAATTATTGCACCCGCATACCGATCCGTGAATCAGGCAGGTTCGAACGTTTCTGCGTTCGAGAAAATAGAGAAGCCGCGAAGATCGGTCGGATGAATGCGCAAAATCGGGACGAGCGTCGGCTGGGAGCTCGAATGAGAAACTTATCGATTGGCTTGAAGTATCTTTCGGGCAGAATTTATCAGAGCTACGCGTGTTATGTCATAACAACGAGAAACGATGACTTCTTGTTAATTTCATGAAATAATAATTCCGAGATTGCGACTTCATGACGATGAAGTCGCTGATACGCTCTTGCTTCTCTTTAGTTGGTTATCTCGAACCTCGACGTGTATTATCTCGATGGTCATCTTTTAAAAGATAATAACGTGAAATATTCTCTATAAAGATATGTAATATAATTTAGACGTACAGATACAGGTTCGAGGGAGCCGAAATGCACACCTCAGATTATTCCTGCGAACGGCGACTCGCCATCCAAGAGAGACTCGTGTCTCTCATGCGATCTGTCATATATGCGAATTCTACGAATTTAATTGTACTCAAGCTCACTGACCATCAGCTCTGATATCGTGCACTGCCCAATCGCACTTTCGTGTAGCAATGCACCGCCGAAACGCAAATGCACAGCTGTCGGAACGTCGGTAAGGCGAGCCTCGATTAAGCCCCATGAAATGCAGTCACATTATGTTTGTCTTCCGCGAGGTTCCCTGTCCTTCTTTCAACCACATTTCTGTCCTTCCCCTTTCTAGCCCCCAAGCAAATAATGACTTAACTCGACGAAGAAGCAAGAAAAGATTCAATACTCTCCGTAACTTCTACTGCGGCTTTAACAGACAGCAAAGCAAACGCGCAGAAGCATTTTTGTCTTTTTTTTGAAAAATATTTTTTCCCCAAGGTAATTGCTTTTTGCCAATCTCGCTCTCTGCAAAAGAAAAACACACACACACATGTACGAAACGAGAAAAGAGAAAAGAACAATTTTGACGAACGTTCTGTATGAACTCGTCGGGAAGGATTAACGATCCGCGTGACAGGCGGTAAAGGGGAAAACCCCACGATGGCAAGTAGTCACTTCAGTCACCCTCATGTGTTCGTCTCTGTGATTTTTGCAGTTGGGAAGGTTACGGCCCGGTGAGGTGTTGGACGCAAAGGTGAGATTTGTGTTCGCAATAACACAAAGCTTACCTGCTAAGTGCCATCACCAGCGATCTTCTGTACCATATGTTGCTCTGTTTTATTGTCTTTTTTGTTTTTTCTTCTACGGTGTCCATGCCCTTTTTTGAACTTTTGGATTTTTTGTGCTCNNTTTTTGAATTTTTTGATTTTTTGTGCCCCCCAGCCCCCCCCCCCCCCGCCCCACTACAATTTTGTAATGTATTTTGCCCGTCTATCACCCCCAATGCCCTGATTACCGCCTAAAGAGACAAAGCAATATATAACCAAACGAAAACTAAAACGTGCCCGGCAATGAAGTTCCCAAAGAGGCAAAAGCAACGCCACACGTTACCACGGGACGGCAAATAATAATAATATTAATATTAATAATAATAACCACAATAATAATGATAACGACAACGATAATGATAACGGATGATGATGATGATAATAATGATGATGATGATGATATGATGACGATGATAATAATATAATAATAATATTAATAAAATAATAAAAAAAGATAATTCTGCGACATTTTTTAGTTGGATTTTTTGGGGTTGCTGCTATTTGCTGCTGTCGCTATTGTCACACGCTAGCCGCTATTTTTTTCAATCACTGCGGTTTAATATCGCGTTTTTTAATATTATGTGAGAGAGCACATTGACAAATAATTCACTGATCAATAATTTGAATTCTTTTTTCTCACATTGGAAGGAGACGACCCCCCACCCTCTATTGGGCAGCGCCCGACAAGCCCGCCCCACTTGTAAACCCCCAAAAAATTTTGAGTTGTAATCTCTCTTGTTTTCACCCCCCACCACATGTCTGTCTCTACCTCTGTCTCTATTTCATCTTTTGTTTTTTCACGCACCACATACAGACTAAGTCCGGCCGACCAGGCGCGCTGCTGGAGAAAGAGGTTAGCGTAATATCTTTGTTATGCGTTTACGCATATAAATATATACGAATTTATGTATATCTATTTATTTTGTGTATGATTTTTATACACACGAACACACGTTATCTCAATATTTTTTCTTTATTTACTACGTGCTTTTCAGAAGAAATTATTTATACAGGATATTTCGGATAATATTCAAAATCTTTACTTGCGATATTACAAGCTAACTATGCAAAGAATTTTAATTATTTTTTTGCAAAAATGCATATAGATTTATTAGAAACTATTTTAATACCTAAATTCCAAATAAAAATTTCGTTGACGGTTATTCGATCGTCGATTAAAGGTATTTTCTTGTACAATACACTAAGATAAAATTTTCTTCTTTAATTTTTTTAAATTTTATTGAAAGAAGAGCTCGTTGCTGGAAAAGATAGATAGGTAAAGTTTTTGCATTATTCGAAACTTGTATGAATCTAAATAATTTGCAAAAGACACTTCCTCTCGCGATAGTCTTGCGGCAATCGACAATACGCTTTCAGATAGTGCTTTTGTATTGCGTCAATTTGTAGTATATACGCGAAAACTCGCGTACTTCTCGCAATTTCAAAGTTCCTTCATTGAAGATTTGAATTGAGAACGTATAGTTCGATTCAATACTTGTCGTCTGAGAAAACTCGTCGCGAAGCGCAGCATAAATTCTGCTTAGTTCGAGCGGATACACCTGTACATTTTATGCGGCTGTAGATGCAATTTAGATGCAATTGTAATGGTGGTAAGAGATTGGTATTAATTTACGATGAATATGATAACTGAGAGAAAATGAAATCGTTGTTGCGTACTGTCAGTTTTTTTGTAAAAACTTGTTCGTGTTACACCTACCACCATTCAAGTATTCAAGTAGCTGCAGTACGACTCGGCTCAGATCTGTCGTAGCAACGCAACTTTATTTCAGCAGCCGAAGTAATCAGACAAATAAAGTAAAATATTAACTGTTTTTCTCTTTTAATTTTTCTATTTTTAGTGTGATTATTTTTTCACACAGATGATATAATTGTCGCATTAATAAAATAATTTGCACATTTTTTAAGTGCATAAGTCGACAAACACGTTTTAAAGTTAATACGAAAAATCAATGTTCGAGAATTTTTACCGGACATTCCTGCGATTTGAATCGTTGCTGCGATAGATTTCAGACTGAGCGGCTTGCTCTTTTATATGTACGGTTTTATATGTACGGATACATATATATGTGTGAAATAACTTATTCGTGTAGAATTCTATGTATAGGTGTAAACATTGATTGTGCTCACACAATATGTGTCAAGTAGACCCGGCCGAAATACTCTCTCATTCTCATCGGTAGCGCACACATCGTGGCATCGTACTTGTGCGTCGTGTGTAATGTGCCTCTTTGTAAATAATCCTAATCATAAAATTTCCTCTTAGACGAGTATTAGAATGGCAAAGTAGTTGAGCTGAGGATCAGATCGGTTCACACGGAGTGAACAATCACAATTTCCGTATTATAGCATCGTAGCTTCATCGAAGCGGTAAAAAATAGTCATTCACGAATCATTCACGTGTCATCTCACTGTTGAACCCAAATTTCTGTTTTTTTTCTCTCTTTCTATCTTCCTGATATTTCTACGTATCTTATTCTCGTCTTCCTTTATGCGCTTTAACTGATACCTTAATACCTAACATCGACAGCACTCACAAGAAGAAGTCGACAACATCGCTAACGAAGTCCACTCTACTATCGAAGATTACTGTAAAATGTGGATTACACTGACAGCGGTAACTGTATATAAATTGAACAATATAATTTGATATGTCATAATAATGACACATAGAATATATAAAGTTCTTTGTACAATTTATGTAATGTATTGAGAAAATGATGAACCTAAATTCCAATCTTGAATTAAATTTGAATCTTGATTCGAAACTCTCCTCTTTACTTATTTTGATAAGCAAAAAGTTACCACTTTTGGCGTAACGTAATCGCGTCCTGTCATTAAAAGTTCTCCGACTGACAACGATTCTATGTAAATAATTATTAACCACCATTAATTTTCCGGTTTTATATTTACACACACGCGTGACTTGTACCTTCGCTTCGCGATTCACGCACTGACACCATGATAAGAGCGTTTGTCATGTTTGTCTCTCCTTCACGCGCGTCAAGCGTGCGTCTTTATCACCATGCGAAACTTGTCGAATGCTCATGAATAACCGCGGGAACATATATTATCATCGAGTAAACGGATCCTCATTCATCTTCAAGGTTGAGAACAGACAGCATGAGAATCTTCGAAAGTTGCTTTTGGATCATTCATGTTTTTCCGTTCCATTCATGTTTTCTTCGGTTCTCTAGCAACTTTGAAGAACTTTGAGTTATTTTGCTGGTTTTCCTCAACCTTTTTATTCAACCAATTAATATACTCCCCGTATGTTTCTCCTCACTGACTATGCGACTATTCAAGGGATTTTTCGCGCATATATGATTCATCGCGTTACATCATAATAATCTATTTATTAATCTTTCGAAATGTCTTCCTTACACGCAAACAAAAAGGAGCGTACACCGATGGAAAATACATAAGTTAATATTGCATCGAAATTTCAGAGATAATTTTGTTTTGATATATTTTTTAAATTTCTTGGAGTAAAATTTCACTCGAAAGGTACAGTGACAGCCGAGTCATTTATATTCGAATGATTTTTATGAATTCTTCACTCTGAATCGTCGAATGAATACTTTTATTCGAGATCGAAAAGTTAATCTGATGCATCCCACCATCGTAGAAATAAATTCACTCTAATCGATTGAAACATTCACTTATATGGAGTCAGAACTACTCTAAAGCTCGAATGAAACAATCACTTTTGCGATTTCGAGTGGCAGTATTGTCACTGTCGCTTCCAGTGAAAATATTTTTACTTCTCATTTGTTTTGAGCGAAATTCCGCTCCAAGAAATTTGAAGAATATACGAGGGTAATCTGAAAAGTTTGGAGCCTTAACATGAAGATGGCGTTACTCGTCAAAACCATTCTGGTACTACAATTGCATATGCTTTGAAAGATATCTGTGAAAATTTCAACCATTTTGGACATTCAGTTGTTGTTTGACAGTCGTTCGTGTCAGTCGACGTCAATGTTTTTGTAAAAATGGAAAAAATCGAATATCGTGCCGTAATTAAATTTTTGCATTTGAAAGTCAATACGGCTGCGCAAGTTAAAGTCGAGCTGTTTACGGGGACTCTGCCCCATCATTTGCCAGCGTGAAAAGATAGGCAGCTGAATTTAATCCGATTTTTTCCATTTTTACAAAAACACTGACATCTACTGATACAAACGACAGTCAAACAATAATTGAGCTCCTAAAATGGCTGAAATTTTTACAAGTATCTTTCAAAGCATGTACGATTTTAGTACCAGAATGGTTTTGACGAGTAATGCCATTTTCAGGTTGAGGCTTAAAACTTTTCAGACTATCCTCGTACATATAAAGTACAAAATAACTCTTATAAATAATTAACGGTAATTTGTGGAGGTCTCCTAAAGTTGTCGTTAGAATTAAGCAAGCAGAACCCTTGAAATCGCAGTGGCCACGTAGGCCATATGGTTGGAGAAGTCACCACGAAATCATCATGCGAAATTACCCATGTATCGATCCCATTTTCTTGCTAATCGATGCATCTTGATAAAGGAACGAGTTGTAGTATCGTCACTAATCCCTCTGAGACTCACCCAATTCTGTGGCTAATACACGGTGAATTAACGAATGAAACGTAACGCCGACTAACGATGTGAATTAACGATTAACTGTAAATAACGATAAGTCAATTTTATACAATAAATGTAAATAAACATAAGTAATGATTAATGGAAATACGCGAAGCCGCATGAGCCTCAGATTTATTGAACGACGATCGCAACTTCCGTTTTTATACTTTTTTAGATTCCAGTTACTTTCGTTCTCGTAGAAAAAATAAAGAATAATTTGAAGAGAAATAAAGTCAAACGAAGATTATTCGTCTATAAATCAAAATCGGGATGCCAGGAAACGCTTCTAGAAGCGGCAATTGAATGTTTGTCTAACTTATTATCTCTGACGTAGTGTTGCACGTATTAACTGTAACCATTCGTAATTTGCGTCACCTTGATCCCGATTTTACGAGCTTGCCAGAGACAAAATCTCAACATTTGAATTCCTGCGGAAGTTGACGCGCGTCGCGCTTCATATTATTTCGCTTTCACTGGAAAGCTTTCCAATGCCTTTTACGTTGATCGCGAGCTGCGTGAGGTGCGTGTATGGATTGCTCACGTCGTTGTTTAAATGGTGCAGCGTCGTCGTCCGAGCACAGCGGACATCAGAAGACCCAGCGTGGCGGACCTCGAGAATAAAATCAATCAGCCTAGTACACCTCTGCGAGATGTCGGACCAGGTGGACCACCCCAGATCGTTGATGTCCAGGAGTCATACTCCGCCGTCGAAGGTACAATTTTGTTGTTATGAGAGATATTAGGTGTACAAATGAATAATTCAAATGTTTTTAAGCAGTTAAAAAATTAATTTTTAAATCAACTGATTTTCCCGCTCTTTTGCGGTTATATAGTGTTGACATATAGCTATTAAAAATGACGTTTAGTATGGCGAAAGGCTCAACATAACTTTCAAAAGTATTCAGTTCAGTAAAGTCAAATATCGCAACAGATAAATTGCACATCCGACATTGTATTCTTCATGAATTCCAACAAGGAAAAAAATTCTTTATGAATTCCAACAAGGAAAAATACTGCAAGAGCATGCGAATCGATTTATTCTTTTCTCGGCAAAGGTGTTGTATCGTATGATGTGTGCGCATTTTGGTTTAAGCGGTTTAAAAGCGGTAATTTTAGTTTGATCGATAAACAACGTCCTCGAAGCCTTCGAAAATGCGACAACGACGATTTGGAACAACTGCTTGTTGAGAATTCGGCACAAACGCAAAAGGAGCTTGCAGAGTAGTTGGGAGTAACGCAGAAAATTGTTTCCAAACGCCTACATGAGATGGGTAAGATCCAAAAAGAAGGAAAATGGATTCGCATAAATTCACTGAAGCCAACAAAAATCAACGAGTGGTAGCGTGTCTTTCTCTTCTTAATAAGCAGCGTCGAAAGTCTTTCTTGTGGAAAATTGTTATGGGCGATAAGAAATGTATACTCTATGATAGTCCGAAACGCAGAAAGTTATGGGTAAATCCCGGCGAACTATTAACATCGGTCGCAAAGCCCAATCGCTTTGAAAAGAAAGTTCTGCTCTATATTTGATGGGATATCAAGGGCGTGCTCTATTATGAGCTGTTGGAACCGGGTAAAACAGTTACTGTGGACTGCTATCAATGCTTAACCCGCTCGAGTCAAGAATTGGAACAGAAACACCCGTATACTGGTAAAGGAGAACGTCCTGTGAAATTGTTGCACGACAACGCCAGGCCACACATTGCTTCAAGACAAGAGACACCATAATGAATCTTGGCTGGGACGTCTTGCAGCACCCGACGTATTCATCAGACATTGCTCCATTTGATTATTACTTCTTCCGGTCGGTGCAACGTCTTGTTCGATATTCACTTCCAATCAGTGGATGAGATCCGAAAATGGCTTGATGACTCTATCGTGTACAAAGGCATAGCGTTCTTCCGAGATGGAATTCATCAGCTGCCTGAAAGATGGCTTATAATTAAAAAAAGCAACGGCGAATACTTGATTGAAAAATTTGTCTTACTATCTTTTAAAATAAATGTCGAATTTAGCTGAAAAATTTTGATTATTCATTTGTATACCTAATATTATATTATTTTTATATAATATATATATATATAATATAAAATTTTATGTGTATTTTATATAATAATTGTATACAACGTATATATAATTATTATATATAAAATATATGATTTTGTAAAAAGATTATGTATTTTATAATAATTATCTAATATAATAAAATTACATATGTTATATAATTATTATAAAATACTTTGTAGTTTTCTTTACTTAAATAATTTGTGTGACTATAAAGAATAACTGATTTGACTTTTCTTTCCGCAGACTCGACGGCGTATCTCACCGTCGCGGTGGAGGGCACGCCCGCGCCAACTTTCAAGTTCTACAAGGGCATTACCGAGATCATCGAGGGTGGCCGCTTCAAATTTCTCACGGATACGGAAACCAACACGATCACCCTCTGCATGAGGAAGACGAAGCCCAACGACGAGGGCACTTACAAGATCGTCGTGAGCAACATCCACGGCGAGGATTCCGCCGAGATGCAGCTCTACGTTTCCGGTAAGACTCGCGTCCAATTCTGTCGACACACGTATAGTCTGACAGTCTGGTAAAAATTATTTGAAGAGTTTTTCTCTTAATTAATAGTTGTTTGAAATGCTAGGTTAATGCTTAATTTAATGTTCAGTGCATTTTGATACTAGATCAGTAAAGATAAAATAAAACGCGAACGTTCTGATCGGTACTCTAATTTCTAACTAACGATACACATTTTATGACAGACGCCAGTGGCATGGACTTCCGTGCTATGTTGAAGAAGAGGAAGTACCAGAAATGGGCGCGAGAAGAGGCCGAACAAGAGAAGGTGGACTTGAAGGAAGTCGAGAAGCCCATGCCAGCGTTGAAGAAAGTGGAAAGGGTATGTGTCTCGTGTGGCTCTATCTATTTGCATACGAACTATGACATGTAAACGGATCTTTGCAGGAATTTTATAACGGATTTTCCGTTACTTTTTGAGCTATTAGGATCATTTTATCCGTATATCACCGAGTTTAAGATAGGTTTAATTGCGGAATGGAATCGTTGTTGCGTAACATTATGATGAACGCAAATTGACTATGCATCGTGTTTACAGTCATCATCGGTGTAATATTCATAACGTGGATGTGAATGCAATTTCAGCACGCCATTAACAGCGTGATGTCATCGTGATGAATGAAAAGAATACAGGTGACGCACATTATCGATATCACGTACGTGATACAAATCGAATCCATTGTCCGCCTATCGAATTGCCCGTCTTTTAATTCTCATTATTCATTTTTAATCGACAACCACATGTGCGAACGAGAAAATTAACACATTGACCGCGGATATATCACACGTGTGATACGTCGGAAGTTTAGTATTACTGGAAATTTCGTGATGCGGGCGTATTATATGTGTGATACGTATTTAGTATTTTTGAAAGAAAATTCCTGTATCATTATAATGTTATAAATAATTATTTGCACAAAAAGTCATTTCCACACGAGGGATGCATTTCCGTGAAAGGGAAGGTCGCGGTCAAAATGCTATAACGAAAGACTTTTGCGACGGTATTAATTTTTTATTTTTTACCAATTTTTAGAGGATGGAATCACAAAACTCTCTCGATGTTTTTGACGAGCGATTAAGCTCGAAGAAGGAAGACACGGTCTTGTTTATTCAGCTCGCATAGTTAGCAGCGGACTTACCGATCTCGCGGCGTGACGTAATTTTCGCTATGATCGGTCAGGATCTCATTCGTACCAGTGCATTTTTGCCTGTTCCTCTCTCTTTATCTCTCTCTCTCTCTCTCTTTTTCTTCTTCTCTTTTTTGTCTACCTTTATCTCCTTAGTCGCTACCAAACGGGATGCATGGACCGAGCTGGTACCAAGACGGCGAGGAAATAGTGATCTTGACGGAGGATGTGGAGATCCTTCGAATTTCCCTAGTCAGGAAGGGTGAAACCAATTGGAGCTGGCTCAAGGTTTCTGAGCGACCCTGCGTAGTGAACCCTGCAATGACGGCGACACTTCGACGATAACGACTTTCGAATACCGACGAAACTCATCGATCGTCTTCTGCCAGTCCTTTTAAAAATTAACGTCGAATAAATCTCTAAAATTAATTACAAAGAACTGCGGAGTGGTGGATTTTGATTTTAACGTGTCACACTGTCGACTGTTAATCGCTATCGGAAAATCTGACTCTTGACTCTCGCGAGACCAACTAAATCTCGACTGTGCCACATATGTTCTCCATTTTTCCCCCCGGCCCGACTTTATTGCGCGAGCAACATAACTTTCTCTTCTTGTCCTTAACGTATGCACCTATACATACATGTATAGTTTAGAGTTAATGCTGCACTTTATACTACATCTACCCCTCGATTCGATCGAAACTTCAATCTTCTTTTGAACTATTAAACAAAGTTGAGATTAAATATTTTCACTCGCATGGCTGAAAATTGAAATTAATTATTATATTTCAAGGTTAGTGTTTTTGTTTTTTATAAAATATTTTTTTAAGAAATGCAAATGAAAGCGTCGGCTTATATTTGCAATATTATTTAAAACTGCGTCGTATATTATCTTACCGTGCATATTGAGGGATAGCTGTATCTTTTTCCATGTTTATTACACACTTGTTTATTACTTATTACACACTTGTCTATTAACAAACAAGCACGATTAATGTAATTCGAGAGCCTACCGCTGGTAGAAAAAAAGAAATAGTCACTTGCTAAGAACATGAACATTATTGGTAAAATGAGTGACGAAATTGGCATCACTTCAAGTCCATTGCATGTGACACTTCTCATATTAGAGAGAAAGCATTATCTCTAGACGCGTAGAAGTATCATAGGAAAGAAGAACTCTGATATGCTTAAATTTACAATTTCAAGTATGGAAAAAAATATTTAACACAGTAAAATATACACAGAGCGTTTTCAGAAATTTATGCATTACGTAAGAATTTAAGAAAAGAAATTAATCTGACGTTAAGAGTAGAAATTATATTTTCATCGAACATATTTCCAAATCAAAGTTCTTCAAAAATTGGTATTGGCTAATTGTATAAGAGTGGCATTAACCATGATGTGTGTGTGCTGGGCATGCAGGACATCTTCGACATTCAGCGCAGGCCAAGTTTGCAGGAGCTAATCGTCGACTGGCCAAAACTAGCGACACGCGCCAAGGAGAAGGTTCGCGAAAAAAAAATCTTAAAACAATACACCTTGCATTAGATTCCAAAACGCTACGAAACAGAGACCAGAACCGCCCCGCAAGGCTTCCATTCACTTCCTCAGCGGTATTCTGGTTAATTAAGAACTTCCCGAATCCAAACGCGTTTGCCCCGCCACGATTATTGTCCTGCCACGTTAAAATCCTTCCATTTCTCTCAAATTATAATTGTAAATCTATGAAATACATCATTGAAACCTCTTTATGGAATTAGCACCTCAAATTTTTGGAGGTACATTGCGATGCCGCTAAAAACGATTATTGATTATTTTTATTTTACGTCCCGATTCTTCACGACGATAATTTGCCAGAATACCCATGTTTTTTTGGATTTTTCTAAACTATGATCCTTTGAGCAAGATAAGAGAGAAAAATGGTGTTGCTGTAACACGGCAAAGAGATCGGCTCTTGCGCGACGCGGGCATTGAAAGTGATCGATACGAAGGAAATAAAAACACAATTGATCTCTTTGCTTCATCAAGACAGGTGTTACATCAATTCGATTGAGGATGTAAACCGAATGCCGATCAGCCAAGAGAAAGAAAAAACAAAAACGTAAGAGAAGCCAGTCAGTTACTCGCAAGAATTTTTCGACGCGGCATCGATCGTACTTTGCGATTAGCCGATGAGCGAGTCGAAAGTCCTTGAGGTTCTTCGCAGACAAATCGCTTGAAAATTCTTGCGACTATTATACGATTGAGAGATCGCTTTGGCCTGCGCTTTCCTAAGAAACAGTCTCTAGAAATTTCGCGAAATGGAGTGAACGCGAATTATGCGAACGAGTGAAATGAATCGTAATTAATTTTACTCTCGCAAACTCGCCGCGGACTCACATTCAATCGGAAACGGAGACTAACGAATCGCGGTTGGATCATCCACGCTTCTCACGCTTAGACGAAGCTTCACCACCCACATACACCGCTTGTCGTCACGCATGCACATGCTTGCGTGAATGTTTTTCGTACTAAAACACGTAACATCACCGTAGATTGTTAAGTCAATCATCACTCCTCGTCATTGCACTTCTCGCCCCGTTGAGTTATGTGACTAGCTCGTCTGTGAAATCACGAAACCATCGACACAGTTAAAAGTGAAACAATAATAACAAAGATAACATTAACTTGGAAGTACCGGTATATCAATGATAACAACTTATCGCCCATCGTATAACAAGCAATTGTAATACACATTGTAATATATTTTGTAATACACTTTGTAGTACGCTTAACAACTTCCGTAACCATCGTTGGATGACGCATAACTCATAATGACGAGTAGCGACGATCCTTCCGGAAATTCTCAAGTAACGAGGAAAAGTACGGTATAAGCTAGATAGAATTAGTAACGACAAGACCGAGTTTCGAGAAAAGAAAAAAGAAAAGAAAGGATTAAGAAATCCTCGTGCTGATCTTTGTTTCCCGCTGAGATCGAGATCAGATGAGCAAGATTGGCGACCCAAGATCGGCAAGACGCTGTGATCGCGGATGCCTTTTGTTGTTTCTAGAGTAGTGGATCGCGTAGGCAATCCCTGGCCGAATTAATTCCCGACTGGCCGACCCTACATCACTTCACCAGGACGGAGGTTGGAGCGATTCTCACGTGAATCAATCTCTCTCTCAGCAGTCTCACGTGATATCGATTGTCTGTTTGCCTATTGTCGCTATATATTGCTCGGCAATCCTCTCGAAATTCTTTCTTTGATTCGCTCCGGAACTCTCTCTCTCTCTCTCTCTCTCTCTCTATTTTTCTGGACGACTCTTCCCACAACGCATTAATCGATTTTTTGCTGCGGACTCTACTACCGTTTCTTCTACCTTCATATATTAATGAGCTCTATTATAATTGAATTAATTTTTTAAGACTCAGATTACATCGCTGTCTCTGGAATTGTTGCAACTTTCAACTCGATCTCTATAGCTTCACTTTTCCTAATTCTTCTATTCTTGTTTCTTCGACGGGAACTCTGTACATAACTATTTAACTCTGGAAGCGCTTAAAGAGGGATTTTAATTTGTGACGTCCCCGACGATGAGAAAGGAAAAAAATTATAACAGCATTACATAATTAAAAAGAGGCAGAAATTTACTTTTTAATTTAATAGTATATAAACATAGTATATCTCTTTCTATATAATATTAAATTTAATATTATATAGAATATGTCTTTTTATTTAACTATTTATTTAAGAGTCACTTCCAATATTTTGGTATTATTGATTTATTTACGAATTTTTATATTTCTCGCAAATTTTGGCGTACACTAATGCATATAAAAGCAATATCCATAATTGGAATCCCTGACAATTAGGTTAACGTCTTCACTCGTCGATGTCGTGTTAAATGTGTCGTCAACAGAGCGCTTTCTCCAGCAACTTTCTTCTCGCGCATCTTGCTCGAGTGGAATGACAATGAATATATCTTTTTTTCTCTCTCTATCTCTTTTTCTCCGAGGAAGCCCACCTATTCTTATTCTTCTTAAGGCTGCATAACGCAACTCTTAACAATCTTAGCAAGCATGACAAGTCATAGGCTTGAAAGTCCGATCAGCTCTATCAACGAACGGTCGATCGAGCTTTTTGTCGATTTTTCCACGTTTTTCTCTAGAATCTTTTTTCTAGAGTCCTTCCCGAGGTATTCACGGAGACTCCGTCTTCGTCCCATTTTCTTTTTACTTTTTCTTTTCCTTTTTTTTTCATTCTCGCCCTCCTGCTCGCACGGAGAGGCAGCGGCGTCTTTTACGATTTTTCTACCGATTTTCTTTTTTCTACTACCTTTTATATCGCCTAGCATAGCGACCGCTGTCGATGTTGAACGATATTATTGGATTTCTACCGGTCGCATTCGCGGACGTGATCCACGGCTGATCGGTGATTCTCTTTCGCAGAAACCGGAAAGCTTTCTGAAGCCACTGGTGGATCAATACGCTAAGGAGGGCAAGGACAAGAAAGTCACATTTGAAGCGAACTTTACGAAACCGAACTGCAAGCCAAAATGGTTCTTCCGAAAGGACGTGAGTGATTCACGAAAATTGTTACTTATTTGATTAGATAGATTTAACTTTTAAGAAAACTAATTAAACATTTTCACGTAATTTTCAAAATAATATTCAATGCAACGTATTTATAATTATAATAGAAAAATGAAACGACACGAAAATGTGAATGGTGATATATAAACAATTAACTTTGCGCGCAGGAATTGTTCCCGTCGGCCAAGTACAAGTTTAAAAATGAGGAGGACTGCTACCAACTTATCATCCTCGGGCCGAAAGTTGAAGATACCGGAAAATACACGATAGAAATTAGCGGTGTATCCAGCACAGGCTTCCTCAATGTGGACGGTATGTATATTTTTATCAACTTTCTTTTTCCCTTAATCAAATTTTTTATTAAATTAATCAAACTTTTTCTTTCCCAGAACCGGATCCAACGTATAGCTTCACGAAACCGTTGTCGAAAAAGTCCAGTGGCTTCACCAAGCACGAAGCTTACATGGAGTGCACGGTCAGCTCCAATATGGCGCAAATTACCTGGTACAAGGACAAAACGAAACTCGAGGTAATTCGTCACATCGAAAGTTCGAGTAAACCTACATTTGTTCATTCTTTTCTCGTGCTAATCGAATTGTTGTTCCTCAGGATGGAGACGTGTACAGTATCTCCAAAGACATGTCCGGCGTCTGCCGACTGACCATAAAGAGTGCAACTCTTGAAGACAGTGGCGAATATTCTTGCAAGATAAACAAACAGTCAGATAAGACCGAGACGACTCTCACCGTAATCGGTACGTATTGCTTTCCGTTGATTGTGACAATTTCCTAAGTCGAACTTTTAGTTCTACGAGGGTGGATCAAATATAAACGAGCCTTTTGCAAAATAACCATATATTTTTCAAAATCAATTCTAATTTACATTTTTCTTATTTTTCTACATAGTCCCCCATCTTATCTATACACTTCCTCCAACGGTCTGGTAATTTTTTAATTCCGGTATTTTAAAAGGGGGAGTAAACGGCGCCGAATTTCAGCAGCATTTACATTTTCGTTGACGAGAAACTTAGTAATAACACGTTGTGCAACAGCGGGGTGTACCTCTTTCTCACTCATCGTGATTGCTGCTGAGAGTAAGAAACACGTGGCGCGCCAACGTTATTACTGCCTTCCAAATTGATCCCCTTCGACTGTTCAAAACGTTGCAGGCCCCTCACGCCGCCGAGGGGCGCGCAATTAAAAAAGGCTTGTTTATATTTGACCCACCCTCGTATGTTAAGTCTCCATATGGAGAATATGACAGTAACTCTCATTTGTAACATTAAAATAGCACTATTATGCTTCTTTGAAGATTTAATGTAAAACTAACTAGACGTAATGTAAAAGTTCTACTCGGATTGTTTCAAACATATATAATATAGTATTTCGTAAAGATCGAGTTCACATGATATTTCAAATAATGTTTTTTGCAACATCGAAATTCGTTAATTAACACAATAAAGAAGGGATTTACATTAATATTGAAAAAAGGATCTAAAAATTGCAACAAAAATGGCATGTATAAATCATTTAATAATACGATAATATAATAAAAAATTAAGAGGGGAAATTATTTAAATGATGTCTCTTTTCTTCTTTAGAATATCCTTACAAATTCGTCAAGGTGCTGAAACATCAGCAATTGATTGAAAAAGAGACGTTGACTTTGCTTTGCGAATTGGATGATGCCGCGGGTGAAGTCCAATGGTTTAAAGGCGACCAGGCGATCACGCCTGATAAGAGGTGCGTGTTCTGATATAATAATATTTTAAACGTCAAATTATTAAATTATTATGTATGTATAATTCATTTATTACATAACTATCTCGTATCTAAAAATCTCGTTGTTTATCTATCTAATTAACTATCGTTCTACTAATCCTAACTATCGTTGCGCTAGGGTACAAATCAAAGAAGAAGGCAGGAAACGAAAACTCACTATTAAAGACTGCAAAGTCACCGATGCCGGACTCTATTCTTGCGTGAGCAACGCCGACAAGACGGAAGCCGAAATCGTGATAAATTGTGCGTAATGAAAATTTATCTTCAAATTAGTTCGACGTCTCAGGGTTAAGACAATCACATAATAACGCTCTTCTGTGAAAATCACAGACGCCAATCGCTTCAACAAGAAGCTGAAGGACACAGTCGCGGTGGAGAGAGAGAAGTTGGTGCTGGATGTCGAGCTGCAGGATCAAACCGCACCGGCCATATTCTACTTCAACGGCCAGAAGATTGAGCCGAACGAGAGGGTGGAGATCAAGAACCTGGGCGGTGGCAAGCACCAGCTGGTCTTCAACCGAGTGGAGATGACGGACGATGGCGAGATCATGTGCGAGAGCGGTCAGTTGACCAGCAGTTGCAAGCTTACTGTGAAGAAGGGCGAGAGCAAACCCATAGTTGACTTCCCCGACAAAGTTGAAGGACCTTGCAGCGCACCATTGGTCTTTGTTGTGCCTTTCAAAGGTAATGTTTACCTTCTCAGAAAATAAACGAACGATTCCATTAACATTTTAAAGTATTGATTTTACACATATCTTTTGACAAAAGCTTAATGAATATATATATATATATATATATATATTCATTTACAATATTCAAAATTCTGCCGAAAATAATATAATCTATCCGAATTTATAAAAATATTTTAGAAATATTAAAATGTCAAAATTATTTGTAATGATGTCGATACAACGTTAATGATTACATATTTAAAAACAGCACACACTATTGAATATTATCGTGATAACATTCTATCAATGATTTTCTCATCGGACTGTCGTTCAACTTTACGAAAAGTTTATACCTAATTATTATAACGGAAATGCGAAATTGCAAGTTGTGAAACTTCATATTTGCGATTGGTACAGTCGCTGGCACCAAACAGAGTCAAGTGGAAGCGAAGCTGATGAAAGATGGCAAAGTACTGCCTCTCAAGGACGTCGAGATTGTCGTGGGCGAGGATAAGATCACGTACAAGATCAAGAAACCTCAACGCGAGTCGTCTGGAATTTACCAGATTAAGATAGGTAACGCTCAAGGCGAAGAAGTGAAAGACGTCAACATCGTTATGCAAGGTTCGCATTGCTTATGTTCACATAAGAAGCGCTAAGAATTTTGCGTATCTTCGCAACTTCTTTTTACTTATGATTCGTTTTTCTCAGACGTTCCGTCTCCGCCGACCGATGTCGACGTCAACGAGATCTTCCATGACTCATGCGTCGTGTCCTTTAAGCCGTCGAAGGACGACGGCGGCACACCAATTACAAAATACATCATCGAGCGCCTCGATCTCAGCCTAAAGGCGCAATGGGACAATGTGGGCGAAATCATGCAGGGCGAGAAGTGCGTCTACAAGGTGACCGAACTCGTGGCGAAGAAGGAATATAAATTCCGCATACGGGCGGTGAACAAACTCGGCTCCAGCGAGCCGGCGATGTTCGCCAAGCCCGTCTTAGCTAAAGATCCATGGGGTAAGTTTCCTGAACCAGAATTAATTGGAGAAAGATTGTAAATGAGCGAACAAATTTGATATTATTTTAATGTTTTTTTTATGTAAATATTACAAGTAATTTATTTATTAAAGCGACTTCTTTTTAATTTACAAAATTACAAAATTTTCTTTAAACCCTTTCGGTACATTTGACGAGTGAGACTCGTCATCTGCTTACTTGGGCATAAAATGTATTACTTTTACATATTAATCCATATAGCGACAAATTAAATCCGTCCCATGGGCATAAAAATCTTAAAATAATTCAGTACTCAAAGGGTTAATTAATTTTCTTTTTAATTAATTTTCTTTTTAGATCTCTCAAAATTAATAAAGCAATTTGCTATAAATAAAATGGTCAAATCTAATTTTATCTCGCCATTTCTATTAATTTTCTATAATATTCTGGTTTCATTGTTTAATTTTACTTCACCATTGAGTTATTGAGAGATAATGTAGGAAAAGAATGAAGTCGAAAGGAAAATGTTCTTGATTCCAGATGAACCAGGTAAACCTACTAATGTCGATGTCACCGATTGGGACAAGGATCACGCTGACCTGACGTGGACGAAGCCCGACGATGATGGCGGTGCACCTATCACCGGATACGTCATCGAATTCAAGGAGAAGTTCGGCAAAGAGTGGGTCAAAGGCAAAGAGGTCGTAGGTGATGTCACTCAGGCGACCATTGACGGTCTGAAGGAAGGCACGCAATACGAGTTTCGAATACGTGCGGTGAACAAGGCCGGTCCTGGTGAACCGTCCGACGCCACTAAGCCGATCATAGCGAAATGCCGATTTGTCAAGCCGTACATCATCGGCGATGGACTCACCAATTTGGTCGTTAAGAAGGGACAGGTTATCAAGTATGACATCAAGTATGCTGGCGAGCCGGAGCCGGAAGTGCACTGGTTCCTGGGTCAAAAGGAGATTTTCCAAGACGCGGCAGAAAGGATCACGATCGACAAGTACGAGAGGAACACCGTGTTGACGGTCAGGAAGACCACAAGGCCCGATTCCGGAAAATACAAGCTAGTGTTGACGAACAGTTCCGGTACCTGCGAGAGTATCGCCGACGTCGTCGTTCTTGGTAAGTTCCTTGATCAAATTTTGTTAATATAGAATTCGGCAAATTCATTTTTTATCAGATTTTATCAATACATAGATCCCTTTTATAGAAGTTATATGCATCTTTCAGACTGTATCTTCTCTCATAAAGTTGAAGGAATATTTTACAAAAATCTTTCGCATGACATATATTGTTGGACAGATTTTTAATTTTTGTTCTAATTCGGTGATCTCGTTTCTTTGCAGACAAACCATCGATTCCATTAGGACCTCTCAAAGTGGAGGAGGTCCGCAGCGATCATGTCAAAGTTAAATGGGACAAACCCGAGGACAACGGTGGTACCGAAATCACCGGCTACGTGTTAGAAAAAATGGACCTGGAAACTGGACGATGGATCCCAGCTGGAGAAGTCGGTCCTCACGATAAGACCTTCACGTTCTCCGGCCTGACACCCAAAAAGAAGTACAAGTTCCGTGTCAAAGCCGTCAATAAAGAAGGCGAGTCCGAACCGTTGGAGGTTGAGGAAGCCATTGTCGCCAAGAATCCTTATGGTAAGGACACAAGAGATGGAAGCATTTTATATCGATTTAAAAAAATAATTAATGTACGATGATGAGAGAGAAAACTAACTTAAAGATATTAAAGATATCAAACTAAAACAGAATATTTTTTATATTATACGAAATTTAATATACAAAATTTAAACAATTATTAAAATAAAATTTTCTGACTTATGCAAAATTTACATAAAATACCTTTTTATAGACGAACCGGGTAAACCTGGCAAGCCTGAAATCTTCGACTACGATAACGTTAGTGTGTCCCTGAAATGGGAAAAACCGAAGAACGATGGTGGGCGACCGATCACGCACTATACTGTCGAGATGAAGGACAAATTCTCTCCCGACTGGATCGAAGTGATGAAGACCACCGACTCAACGCCTGAGGCTAAAGTAGAAGGTCTCAAGGAGAAGATGGTCTACCAATTCCGCGTTCGTGCTCACAATAAGGCTGGTCCTGGCGAGCCTAGTGATGCTACAGACAACCATCTCTGCAAGCACAGAAATCGTAAGTTAAAATATAAATTGTTTTCTGAAAGATACTCTGCAGATGCGAATCAATTAAATAACGAAGCCTGTTAGAACTAGCTCACAGTTGTAAGTACGTAAAATTATTTTATTAATGTAACTAAAACTGAAAAAAAATATCTTCAGTGAGACCGAGAATCGACCGAACGAACTTCAAATCGGTCATCATCAAGGCTGGCCGCACACACAAGTGGTCGGTGGATGTTAGCGGTGAACCTCCGCCAGAGATTAGATGGGTCTGGAGGGATAACATCCCGCTGACCACTACCGAGCGCATCAAGATCGACAATGTCGAATATCATACTGATTTCACAATCGTCAATGCAATGCGCAAGGATACCGGAAAGTACACCCTGATTGCCGAAAATGCTAACGGCAAGGACGAAGAAACCGTTGAACTCACAGTATTAGGTAAAGGAAACTGTATATATATATTAGGTTGGTGCAAATGAAATAGCCGTTTATAAATATAAAGTTGAAATTTGTATTTTTCAAATTTAAAACTTACATAACTAATCAAAATAGCTTCCACCTACTTCAATACACTTCTGCCAACGTGATCCAAATGCATCAATGCACTTTCTAAAAAAATCTAGAGAGCGTGAATCGATAAACTCCTTAATTTCATTTTTCACACTTCTTTCTTCTTTGAAACACAACTTCTTTCTTCATTGAAATTTTTGCCCGCCAAAAACGCATCCAGATGCTTGAAAAGATGATAATCTGTTGGTGAGATGTTTAGAGAATATGGAGGGTGAAGGAGAACTTCAATGTTCACTCGGCGAGTTTTTGAACGGTTTGTTTTGCAATGTGTGGTTTAGTGTTATCGTGCAACAGCAATATGCCGTGTCTGTTGACCAATGCTGGCTATTGAGCGCACAGTTTTTGGTGCATGGTGGCAATTTCCTGACAGTACTTATTAGAATTGATAACCTCACCTTATTTAGTAAATGAATAATGAACGATATCTTTGCTAGACCACCATACGGACACCATCATTTTCTTGGGATGAAGATTCGATTTTGGAATGTATTTTGGAGCCTCATTCGCATCTAACCACTGCGCAGAACGTCGGTGGTTGTCGTACAAAATCCATTTTTCATCACAAGTCACAATCCTGTGCAAAATTCCATCTGTATTCTGTCGCAACCGTAAAGAAATGTAGATCTCCAAACGTCTCAATTTGTCTCTCTCAATGATTTCATGGGGGACCCATTTATCCAACTTTTTCACTTTTCCCAACTTGTTTAAATATCGGACGGCAGTTGAATGATCAATTTCGAATCTTTTGACAATCTTTCAGACTGTTAACTTTGGATCTGTTTCAACCATCTCTTTCAAAACAACGTCATCAATGACGGAAGGTGCGTGTCCGCGAGATAAATTGTCGAGGTTTGTGTCCCCAGAACGAAATTTTTCAAATCAACGTCTCGTCGTTCTTTCACTTACAGTACTTTCATCAAATGCAGTATGAATGTTACGCGTTGCCTCGGCTGCAGTATGACCAAGTTTGAACTCGTATAAGTAAATTATACGAATTTCTCTATTTTCCATCACAGCGTTAATGCAAACTTCTATGACTAACAGTACAATATAGAAATAAAGTTACGTGCGCTAAATCACATGTGGATCATGTATTTTTCACACAGTATATATACACCGTTCTCTGTATGAAAGAGAAGTAATATTTAGGGATGGGAAATTCAAAACACTGAAAACGGCCATTTCATTTGCACCAACATGATAAAATAATCATATTAATTCGTATAAATTTTAAAATAATAACAATTTCAACATTTTTCGTATCATTCTATGTAAATGAAACGTATTTAATTCATTTGATATTGATTTGGTATTGATTTGGATCACGAAATATTGTAAATTCAAACAAATTTCAGGAAAAGAGAAGAATATGTATTATGTTTGGAACCGAGGTCTAGATAGAACATTTCTTTCCGCAGGAAAACCGAGCGCTCCTAAAGGACCTCTGGAAGTTAGTGACGTCACGAATACCACGGCTAAAGTGAAATGGGAAAAGCCTGAGGACGACGGTGGTGTGCCGATTAAAGAGTACGAGATCGAGAAGATGGACACGAAGACCGGGAAGTGGGTCAGAGTGGGCAAGGTACCTGGTAACTCGCCCAATACGGAATTCGAAGTCACCGGCCTGAACCCCGGAAGCGAGTATAAGTTTCGCGTGACAGCTGTCAATGACGAAGGCGATTCAGAGCCGTTGGAAAGTGAGCGTGGCGTCGTTGCCAAGAATCCATATGGTACGTCGATATTTTGTAGACATTTTCTCTGATTATTTCAGGATCTAATTTACCAAGATAAAATATAATGTTTGAATCTCACGCACGAGATATCTAGAAACCACCAACTCTATTAATAATTTGTTTTAAATTGATAAAATGCTGAAAATAAACAATTCAATAAAGAATTCAAAGAAATTCAAAATTTTTATGATCAAAATTTAACTATGTTAAGATATTAAATATTATAAGTTTCAAAAGCGGCAACTCTCTTTTTCTTATAAAAAGAAGAAACACACAATAAAACGTTCAGTTTAAATATATTAATATTTTTAATATCATTAATAATATTATATAATTCTCTTTTTCAGATGAACCGTTGAAGCCCGGAACGCCGGAAGTCACCGATTACGATAACGAATCCATAAGTTTGAAATGGACCCCGCCCGAGTTCGACGGAGGAGCGCCGATCGAGAAATATATTATTGAGAAGAAGGATCGGTACAAGCCTGATTGGGAGAAGGCCATAGAGGTGCCAGGAAATCAACTCGATGCTAAGGTTCCGGATTTGAAAGAAAGAGGGGAGTATCAGTTCCGTGTCATCGCCGTGAACAAAGCCGGACCTTCGCCTCCATCAGATGCATCGAAGATGCAAATCTGCAAGCACAAAGCTCGTAAGCATCATCCACTTCTTTATATTTTTATGATATTCATTATATATATATCATATTACATTATATATTACATTTTTATTATTATTATATTATGTTATTATTATATTATATTATTATTATTATATTACATTCATTATCACTGTATATATTACATTTTATTATTATTATTCTGACATTGAAATTTCATTGGCTTCAGTGAAACCGAGAATCGATAGAACAAACTTGAAACCAATCATTGTGCGAGCGGGCAAAACCGTCAAGTACGATGTGGACGTGCGCGGTGAACCACCACCCGAGATTAAGTGGTACCACGTCAACAACGAGGTGAAATCCGGCGAGAACATCGAGATCGTCAATGTTGATTACAACACGAAACTTACCATTATTGACAGCTTGCGCAAGAACACTGGCGTGTGGAAAATCAAGGCTGTCAATCCTCACGGCGAGGACGAGGCAGAAGTCGAAGTGACCATATTATGTAAGTTACAAGCGTCAAATTTGTTTTTTTTAATTGACTATATAAATTATAGATTTTTGAGAAAGATTTTTTAGCTTCTTGATTATTTTTTATCTTATAATTATGTTTATCGTATGGTTATATTTGTCATTTACTATTATATATATTATAAATTATTCTTACTGTTATGATATTATTCATTTATTATTTTTTGTTATTGTTGTATACTTTTATTATTTTGTTATTTTAACAAAATTATTCTTTATCTTTATTATTACGTTTATCATACGATCTCTTTTTCTATATAGCGGCTCCTGGAAAGCCAAAAGGACCGCTCAAGGTGGCGGACGTTACGAAGAACGGCTGTAAGGTGAAATGGGGCAAGCCAGAAGACGACGGTGGCAAGCCGATTACTGGCTATCAAGTGGAAAAATTAGACAAAGCAACTGGCAGATGGATACCTGTTGGTCGCACTGCGGATACCGAAATGGACATAAAGGGTCTTCAGGAGGGTCATGAGTACGAGTTCAGGGTGAAAGCTTTGAATGAAGAAGGAGAGTCTGAACCACTCGTGTCGGATGGCTCCACGCTTGCGAAGAACCCTTACGGTAAGTTCAGCGTTATATTAAACTAATACAGAATTGTTGGATGATTAATAGATAAATTATTCAGTTTAACATCATTACATTACAAAAATAAAACATATATAAAATATTAAAATACGTAAATCAGTAAATGAAAAAATAATAAATGAGAAAATAAATTAGTAAATAAAATACGTAAATTAGTAAGTGTTATCTTTCTGCCTATCAATGTCTGTGAAATTATATTTGACATAATATTCTCTCTCGAAAGACATAACCAGCAAGCCTGGAGTACCAGAATTTGAGGATTGGGACGTCGATCGTGTGGATCTCAAATGGGAACCTCCCAAGGACAATGGTGGTGCTCCAATTACTGGGTATATCATTGAGAAGAAGGAGAAACCGTCCTCGCAATGGGAGGAAGCTCTCGTCACCGACTCGCCTCAGCCGAAAGGTCGCGTTACCGGCTTGAAGAAAGGCTCCACTTATCAATTCCGCGTTCGCGCAGTTAACAAGGCTGGACCGTCGGAGCCTAGCGATCCGACCAAACCGCACATTGCTAAGGCGAGATTCCGTAAGTATATTTTATCTTGTATTGACAAATAATAATTATTATATGTATTAACATCGACAATTCACACATACAGCAACACATTTAATGATTGTCAATTAAAAAATTAATCGCATTAAAATTTGATTTAGTATAAATAAATGAATAAATGATGGATTTGTGATAATTACACTTGTACATGTGTGTAAAAATTTTAAATAATGGAAAATATTGCTAATGTTTGTAGTAAAACCACATATCAATCGTGACAAGCTGCAAACCATCAAAGTCAGGGCAGGTCAATTGGTTAAGCTTGAAGTTGACATCGAAGGTGAGCCTCCTCCAACTGTCACATGGAGCTTTGCCAATACACCGCTCCAGACCGGAGCCAACGTGAAGATCGATAACGAAGACTACCTCACTAAAATCCAGTTGACAAACACCAGCCGCAAGTTAACTGGCAGATATACTATCAAGGCTGTGAACGATTCCGGACAAGATGAAGCTGACGTGGAAATTAATATTCTCGGTAAGTGAGCGTGAATAAACCGTAAGACTTTTAGTGAATCTCCATTATTCTATAATATTTGATGATCTCTGCAAATATCAGCTTCCATATAATCTTAAAATTTCTGGATGTATTTCAGTAGATTAACAAATTTTACAGTTAAAGAACTAAGAAGCTACATTATGTATCCACATGTATCCACGTGCGAAACTTTGGGCAATTTTACAGATAAGCCTGGAAAACCGGAGGGGCCATTGGAAGTGACGGACGTGCATAAGGAGGGCTGCAAGTTGAAATGGAATAAGCCGAAGGACGATGGTGGTCTCCCTCTCTCCAGCTATATAGTGGAGAAGATGGACGTGACAACGGGTCGTTGGGTACCAGCTGGTATTGTGGACCCTGACAAAACAGAACACACGCTCACCGGCTTGGAGCCCGGCAAGAAGTACGAGTTTCGTGTCAAGGCTGTGAACGAGGAGGGAGAATCGGAGCCTTTACAGACTGATACCGCCATCATAGCCAAGAATCCATACGGTATGATATTGCAAACTCGATTATAACTTTCACATTTCACAAATTCGCACGTAATTATTAATATATATATTTAGAGAGATATTAAATCATTATATAATTATTATAGAAAAATCTCGTGTAATTTATAGAGTTCTATTTTATATTGGTGACAAAATTAATAAGCAAAGAGAAATAATAGTGTTTTTTATAATAAATTTCTATACGCTGACGGTGTGTTCTCCAAAATTCAGACGCTCCGGCGGCACCGGGACTTCCAGAGATCATCGATTGGTCGGAGAATATGGTGAAACTCAAATGGGAGCCGCCGATAAGAGACGGTGGTGCACCGATTAGTGGATACATCATCGAGATGAAAGACAAGTTCGGCACCAGCTTTGTCAAAGCGGCTGAAACGGAGGGGCCTATGTGTACTGGGACAGTTCCCAGGTTGGAAGAAGGCAATCAGTATCAATTCAGGATACGTGCCGTCAACAAAGCCGGCCCTGGTGAACCCAGCGAGGCCACCAATCCGCACACTGCTAAAGCCCGTTGGCGTAAGTGTCGTTTCGTTTTAATAAATTATGATAATCTATTATAGGAATATAAATTTATTGTAGGAAGCGTGTGTAACATACACACAAATATGCCACGATAAAGAGAAGAGAGAGTTTATTATATATAATAAATATCATTTAGAAATCCGTGTGTTAAAATTGATTTAAGAGTTTCGTGGAATTGTATCGTTTCTTTATAATTTCGTCGTCATTTGATTTAATATTAATTTTGCAGTGAAACCGTACATCGATCGCACGAACTTGCAAGCCCTGACAGTGAAGGTTGGCCTTACCGTGAGCTTGGACATTAACATAATTGGCGAGCCGCCGCCAAAGGTTACTTGGACCTTTAAAGACAAGGAAGTCGTATCGGATGATACGATACGCATCGACAATATTGACTATAACACCAAGTTCTTCATTCTGAAAACTAAGCGCGCGCATACCGGCAAGTATGTGATCAAGGCGAAGAACGAGGTCGGCGAGGATACCGCTGAAGTGGAAATCACCGTGCTCGGCAAGCCGAGCAAGCCGAAGGTAATTAATAATATAGTATTCAATTTAGAATAATCATACCGACACACATTAATATGTGATATAATATTAAAAAATTGAATGACATTAAAAAGTAAGTGAATTTAGTTAAACCTTGTATTAGTAAAACTCGTTTTATTTTTATTAGATTTTTTTCATTAGATGAAAAATGAATAACATTTTTTTACTAAATTCAGTTCAGTAAATAATACGATTTTAAATAGAGTACAATATTAACTGTGCTTCTTCTTGAATTAATTCAGGGTCCGTTAGAAATAACAGACGTGAACAAACATGGATGCAAACTCAAATGGGACAAACCCGAAGACGACGGTGGCGCCCCGGTCGACTACTATGAGATCGAAAAGTTGGATCCTCTCACGGGACAATGGATACCCTGCGGTCGCAGCACCGAGCCGGAAGCTACCATCACCGGGCTGCAAGAGGGCAAGCCTTATAAATTCCGCGTAAAGGCGGTCAACAGGGAAGGAGAGTCCGACGATTTGGAAGCAGACAAATCCATCATAGCCAAGAATCCATTCGGTACGTGTTCAGAATAACACATAATTGAAAATTCCAATTTTTTAAATTATTTTTCGTATCACTTTCGTTCAGCACTGGATATCGAAATTTGAAAAGATACATCTTTCTTTCAATCTCATATTTTACGTCCCATCTCGGTTTTAGACGAACCTGGCAAGCCTGGTCGACCAGAACTCAAGAATTGGGACAAGGACTTCGTGGACCTAGAATGGACTCCGCCTAAGGACGATGGCGGTGCACCGATCGAAAAATATATTGTGCAGATGCGAGACAAAGAGGGTAGACAATGGGTGGATGTCGCCAAAGTGCCGGGAGATCGCACCGCTGCCAAGGTAACCGACGGTATCCAGGAAGGACACGAGTATGAATTCAGGATCGTAGCGGTGAACAAAGCTGGACCCGGTGAACCCAGCGACAACTCAAAGAGTGTTATTGCCAAGCCCCGATTCCGTAAGTTCGGCAATCTTCATTTTATGTAAGTTAATTTATTAAGTTCAGTTGTTCGGTCCAGTATTCGCATTTCAATTTATTGCTATTCTACTTAATAAATGTTCAAATTTTAATTTATTAAATTCGATTATCAATTTTATCTCATATTAAATTCCCCACAGTCGCTCCGCATATCGATCGCAAGAATCTCCAGAAGAAAGTTATGCGAGTCGGTCAGATGCTGCGGATTGAGGCCGACATTAAAGGTGAGCCACCTCCAGTCGTCACGTGGAAGCTTAAAGATACGGTGCTGAAGAGTATGGATCGTCTCAAGATCGAGAATGAAGATTACCACACTATGTTCATCATCAACAAGCTCAAGCGCTTGGACACCGGCACATATACCGTCATTGCCAAGAACGACAGCGGCACCGATCAAGTCGATGTCGAGATTCAGGTCCGTGCAGTAATTAGTTCGCAGCAATTTAACTATGTGCAACTATTCGATGAAAGATGCAAAGTCACAATTATTGGCACTCGCCTGATCGATTATGATTGATTTATTTGACAACCACCAGGTACTGAGCAAACCCGGCAAGCCGAAAGGTCCGCTCGAAGTGTCCGACGTGACGGCGGAAGGCTGCAAGTTGAAATGGGATAAACCCAGCGACGATGGTGGCGAACCGGTCGATCATTACGTCATCGAGAGGATGGACACGGATACCGGGCGTTGGGTACCATGCGGCACCAGCAAGACTCCCGAGGCAGACGTGTCTGGCCTGAACGAGGGCAAGGATTATCAGTTCCGTGTCAAAGCTGTTAACTCCGAGGGCGAGTCCGAGCCTTTGGAGACCACTATACCAACCACTGCCAAGAATCCTTACTGTGAATATTTTATTCATTTATATCTTTTATTATAATCACTATTAAACGTACAACTGATCGCTCCAGACAACTTTCTCCATTCTTGTCGTACAAAATACAATTCAATTTGAAGCTGAAGTTATTAAATATAATTTAACAAAATTAAGTTATATACGTCGCATTGTATTGCACTTTTTGGTACTGTAATTTTCCATATTGTAACTTATCTTCCCGTTTAAAATTATATATATTGCATTCTTTTATCATATTGCCAGATGTTGTAATTTTTCATGATATTATAACACTTGGCCTCTTGTCAACGATAATTAACATTTTTTCACAGCCGAGCCCGACGCACCTGGCAAACCTGAACTGAAGGACTGGTCGAAGAATCATGTGGACTTGAAATGGAAGGCCCCGAAGAATGATGGCGGTGCTCCTATCGAAAAGTATATCATCGAGAAGAAAGACCAATACGGCAAGTGGCAGAAGGCCGCCGAGGTGCCGGGCAACAAGACAGAAGGCAAAGTGCCGGATCTCATAGAAGGTCAGAAGTACCAATTTCGGGTGAAGGCCGTCAATAAGGGCGGCCAGAGTAAGCCTAGCGAGGCCAGCGAAATTTTGACCGCCAAGGATCGTTACGCCGCGCCCAAAATCGATCGCACCAATCTGAAGGACATTACGATCAAGGCTGGTAACGTCATTCGGCTGGACGTTAAAGTGACGGGCGAGCCTCCACCAAGCAAGACTTGGTTCCTGAACAAGGCCAAACAAGAGTCCAGCAATGGCTTGACCATCGAGGTGGAGGAATACAAGACGAAGTTCGTGGTCTCGTCGGCGACCAGAGCTCACTGCGGCACTCTGACCTTGAAGGCGGAGAACAGCTCCGGCAAGGATGAGGCATCGATCGAGATCTTGGTGTTGGACAAACCCAGCAAGCCGGAAGGACCGCTCAAGGTCTCGGACGTGCACAAAGAGGGTTGCACTCTCAAATGGAATCCGCCCGTGGACGACGGCGGTGCTCCCCTGGACCACTACGTGGTCGAGAAGATGGATACAGAGACTGGCAGGTGGATACCGGTCGGACGCACTAAAGAACCTAATATGGTGGTGGAGAACCTGGTGCCAGGACAGGAGTACAAGTTCCGTGTCGCGGCTGTGAACGCGGAGGGCGAGTCTGAACCGTTGGAGACCGAACATGGAATCGTCGCGAAGAATCCGTTCGGTAAAATCTGGCTCTTCCTGATTTTCTCCCTTTACATGCAAATTTACTATCTCTTTTCAAACTCTTTAAATAAATATACTTTGTATTGCAAGAAACATTAACGGTTCTATTAGAGCCAGCTTGATCGTTGCGAATAAATTACTTTTGAGATTGTCTTATTGAAGAAACTTTAATATATTATTTTTTTAATATCAAAAGAATAATTTTTAATATGCCAAAAGTTATTGTATGATTCGAATTTTTTTGAATTCTGTGATATTAATATATTAATATTAATCTTCCTTCCTCCTTAATTTTTTAGTGAATTATGGTTTTGCGAAAAAATATTACCCCAGTCAGGGGATATTTGTCGCAGAAAGTTTCTATCTAAGTTCCTAAGATGTATATAAGACGACGTCGATTTCGTTTTTGCAGATGAACCTGGCGCACCAGGACGTCCGGAAGCGACCGACTGGGACAAGGATCATGTGGACTTACGATGGACCCCACCGTTAAAGGACGGCGGATCTCCAATCACCGGATACGTGATCGAGAAGCGAGAGAAGGGTGCGCCTAAGTGGATCAAGGCGTGTGAGATTGGGCCGGATTGCAAGGGCCGCGTAGACAATCTCGACGAGGGTGTCGAGTACGAGTTCAGGGTCAAAGCCGTCAATGCTGCGGGACCTGGTGAACCGTCCGACGCCAGCAAACCGATCACCGCCAAGAGCCGAAGACGTAAGTCCTCCAATTTACGAAAATGTGTGAAGCTCAAAAATTATAATTCCTAAAATTTAATTATTAATTAAGATTTAATTTTTAATTATAAATATTTTTATTTTATTTTTTTCACTCGATAATTTTTACGAACGAAAAACGCTTCAAAATTTAGTCTTTTTATTAGTTTTTTTAAGTTTATTTCGCATTCAACAAAATGAAGTTTTTAAGAACAAAATTTCCTTTTTCCAAAGGAGAGAAGGATTTCCAATAATATTATGTGAAAATATTATGTATGTGATAGAGAAGGAATATATTTATTAATTTTAACTATTCTTTGATTATCCAGTTGCACCGAAGATTGACAGACGAAACCTGCGCGACATAACTGTGCGCGAGAACGAGGCATTCCACTTTGACGTGAAGATTATCGGAGAACCGCCGCCAGATGTGACATGGGTGATCAACAATAAGAGTATTCAGCAGACCACTCACCGTAGGATACAGAATGTACCTTATAACAGCAAATTTTTCAACGATAAGCCCGAGCGCAAGGATAGCGGTACTTATAAGATCACGGCAGTCAATCAGCACGGATCGGACACTGCTGAAGTCGAAGTTACCGTTATTTGTGAGTAATTTTTACGCACTATAATACATATACGTGAAAAAATATAATAAAACTTTATATAATTCGAGAAAAGTATTATCGACATATATAAGATGACTTAAATAAAACTGACTAAAATAAAATTCCCATTGTCTATCAGCCAAACCTGGCAAACCGGAAGGGCCATTAGAGGTGTCCGACGTGCACAAGGAAGGATGCACGCTCAAATGGAAGAAGCCCAAGGACGACGGTGGAGAGCCGATCGAGGGTTACCTCGTGGAGAAATTCGATCCAGAGACCGGAGTCTGGCTGCCAGTCGGTAAAACTACCGGGCCTGAAATGAAAGTTGACGGACTAACGCCTGGACATGAATACAAGTTCCGTGTAAAAGCGCTCAACAAAGAGGGAGAATCTGAGCCATTGGAAACCTTTAGCTCCATCATAGCCAAAGATCCGTTTAGTAAGTGAAACATTATTTTTCAGAATCTTCTGCAATCAGTAATGATTTTTTTCGATTAATTTTAAAAGTTAATTCGCTTACTTTTACTTTCAATTTTTGGTTATATTTCTCGTAGAAAAAAAATTAATTAAATTAATTAATTAATTTTTGTTAAATAAAAGTAATTATAAGTTTTGTGTTTAGTTATGTTAAGCTAGTCCCGTTATTACAATTTTTATTATTTATTTGAAACAACGCTAATTACATTAATTTTATTTTTGTCTTCATTGTTTTACAGCTGTACCAGCAGCTCCTGGAGCACCGGAGCCGGTTGATTGGACGGCCAACCAGGTAGAACTTGCCTGGAAAGAGCCTGTTAGCGACGGTGGTTCACCCATTACGGGCTACATTATTGAGAAGAAAGATAAATACAGTACCATGTGGGAGAAGGCCTTGGAGACTGATACACCGGTTACTAAAGCTTTAGTACACGGGCTGGTAGAAGGCAACGATTATCAGTTCCGCGTGATTGCTGTGAACAAGGCCGGTCAATCGGACCCAGGTGAAGCCAGTAAAACGTTCACGGCTAAGCCACGCTTCCGTAAGTATTTGTCATATTGCCAATTCAATATTTGCAATCCTAATTTTAACGCTAAAGCTTTCCCTTATAAGAGTCAACAACCATACGAAGAGATCGTGGAAATTAAATAAAAAGTGTAAAAATAATAAAGTGAAAAATTAATTAAAGCTATCAGCAACATGTACATTGAAAAGCTGTCAAAATTATATTTTTCTGTAATATAATAGAGTTCTACTCTTTTATATTAAAGAAATCATTTTCTTTTTTGGACCGTTATGGGAATTTAATTATATTTGGTTTGATCTTAAATTGGATAATTCTATGATATATGTTTAGTATCATCATAATATTAACGCATTCAATGAAACTTGAACCGAACGCTTATTTGTTCCTCCCGAAGGAATGCACTGCACTCTCCCTGTCTCCTTACTGGCGCCCATATCTGAGATATTAATTGCTTGCATAATTTTTCTATAGACATCGTCCTTGCATCGTTGTCATCGTGCACGTGCACGTTCCAATAATAATCATAGTGTATCGCGTGCTTGTCTAAATTAATATTGGCACCTAATCGCCGTCGATCATTCGTCACAGTGGCTCCGAAGATCGACAGGCGTAATTTAAGGGACATTACCCTGTCCGCTGGCTCGATGCTGAAGTTCGACGCTAACGTGATCGGTGAGCCGCCGCCGCATATCGAGTGGCGTTACGGCGCGATACCGCTGCATTCCGACAGGAAGGTACAGATCGACAACACCGACTACAGCACCAAATTCAGCATACGGCCGGTGTCGCGGGACGACAGCGGCGATTACACCGTTACGGCGAGCAACTCGTCGGGTAAGGACTCGGTAACAGTGCAGGTGATAGTGACGGACAAACCGACGCCGCCTGAGGGTCCGCTCCAGGTGACAGATGTGCACAAGGAGGGATGTAAGCTGAAGTGGAAGAGGCCTAAGGACGACGGAGGCACACCCATTGAATACTACCAAGTGGACAAGATGGACCCAGAGACCGGATGCTGGGTACCTTGTGGACGTTCCACCGAACCGAGTAAGTAATCACAGGATTAATTGTGGTGTAATTAATGTGTTTCTTCAAGATTTATAATTTATTTTAATATTTTTTTAATATAATAATTTTTTATATTAATTTATTATATAAAAGTGTTATATCATTATGCCATTTAATGTGTTTAATATTTTTCTTCAATTTTAAGTTTAATCGTTCAAAGTTTGTAATATTGACGTAATATTTACAATTATTTGATGAGATAGAAAAATGTCGTCATCATGCCATCCTCTTGTTTTAAAACCTTTCTCATTAAGTTTTTTTCGTTTAAGTTCTTTGACTATAAATTCAATTGCTCGAAGCTTGCAAATTTATTCACGATTCAATTATTTAATAAGATATTATTTTTTAACAGAAAGAGAGAGAGAGAGAGAGAGAGTATATTAATTTTATTACTAATTAATTATTATTAATTTTATTACAGATCTCGAGGTAACAGGTCTAACACCTGGCAAGGAGTACCTCTTCCGTGTGGCCGCAGTCAATGCTGAAGGAGAATCAAAGCCTTTGGAAGCGGAGCAAACGATATTAGCGAAGAATCCGTTCGACGAGCCCGGCAAACCAGGCGATCTCCGTGCCACCGACTGGGACAAGGACCACGTGGATCTCAAATGGACACCGCCCGAGAACGACGGCGGTTCACCGATCACCGGCTACGTGATCGAGAAGAAGGACAAATACGGTGAATGGGAGAAGGCGCTGGAAGTGCCCGCGGATGAAACTTTCGCCACCGTGCCTGACCTGATCGAGGGTCAGCCGTACGAGTTCCGCGTGCGAGCGGTGAACAAGGCTGGTCCGGGTGAACCCTCGGATGCCACACCGACCATCATTGCCAAGCCGCGCAATCAAGCGCCGAAGATCGATCGCACGAACCTGATCGAGGTGAGGATCAAAGCCGGCCAGAACTTCAGCTTCGACTGTAAGGTGACGGGCGAGCCACCGCCGACCACCAAGTGGATGCTCAATGGCAAAGAGGTCCGGCCAATTGAACGTGTCAAAGTGAAACACGTGGACTACAATACCAGCATAAGTGTCAGAAATGCCACGAGGGCGGAGTCCGGCAAATACTGCGTCACCGCCGAGAATATTAACGGCAAGGATGAGGCCTTCGTCAAGGTGACCGTCTTGGACAAGCCGAGTCCGCCGCAGGGCCCGCTCAGAACGTCCGACGTGCACGCCGAAGGATGCAAGCTCACGTGGAAGCCACCCGAAGACGACGGTGGACAGCCGGTGGAGAAATATGTCGTGGAGAAGATGGACGAGGCTACTGGTCGCTGGGTACCGGCCGGAGAGACGGACGGGCCGGAAACGAACCTGCAGGTGGAAGGTCTGACGCCGGGACACAAATACAAGTTCCGGGTGAGGGCTGTCAACAAGCAGGGCAAGTCCGAGCCGCTTACCGCAATGCAAGGCATCGAGGCAAAGAATCCGTTTGGTAAGAAAATTCTTGGCAAGAATTTTGAAAAATCTAAAAGTTAAAAGAGGTTTTTAGAATTTTAATTAATAAAAAATATTTAATTTTTGGATCTATTAAAAATATTTAGATTCTATTATATATAATATTATATATAAATTTGTGATATTTTCTCATTAGAATTTGAAAAATTCCAAAAATTGGAAAAAATTAAAAAGTTTTAGATTTTAAAATATATCTAAAATTCATGGTATTTTTAATGTGGTTATTTATATTACATATATAATATTTTTGCAGACGAGCCAGGAAAACCTGGTACGCCATCGGTGGTTGACTACGACACAGACTTTGTCGAACTCCAATGGAACCGTCCCGAGGAAGATGGTGGATCACCTGTTACTGGTTACATCATAGAAAAACGCGACAAGTATAGCCCAACGTGGGAGAAATGCGCGGAAGTCGACGGTGACGTAAACCGCGGCAAGGTTAAGGACTTAGTCGAGGGGACTCAGTACGAATTCCGTGTAAGGGCTGTCAATAAGGCCGGACCTGGTGAACCATCTGATGCTTCGAAGTCCCATATTGCACGACCTAAGAACCGTAAGCGTTTGCAAATATTTGTCCAAGATTGTTTTATCGCGTTTAAAAAAGAAAATATTGCCCTCTTAATTGTCACATTTTGCGTATATCATTTTCATGATGTCTAGAAATTTTCCTATATAAAAAAGGCAAAAGTTGTTCTTATTATACTTATACAGTCAATTGCAAGAAATAGTTGTTTGAAAAATTCTAATACTGAAATTGTGAACATTTTGTAAAGCTGCTCGATCTCTTTATCTATAAATTAATTATTAATAAAGCATATTTTTGACGAATATATTGTGTATTTTAAATATTTACATTTTACTTTGGAAACAAAACAAATTATATGTTAAACGTGTGTTATGCATTTTGTTTTCAGTTCCACCAAAGATCGACAGAAAGTACATGCTGGACGTGAAAGTCCGAGCCGGCGGCTTCTTCGACTTCGACGTGCCGGTGATCGGCGAGCCACCACCGAGTAAAGAGTGGTCGCTGAAGGGTGTCACAGTGATGGCAAGTGATCGCATCAAGATCACCAACGAAGACTACAACACCAAAGTGCGCATTATAGAGGCGAAACGCTCTGATTCCGGTGTCTATACGCTCGAGGCCAGGAACGTGAACGGCAAGGACAGCGCCACGTTGAACGTGAACGTACTGGACATACCCTCGCCACCGGAGGGCCCACTGAAGGTGGATAACGTCACCAAGAGCGGATGCACGCTAAGGTGGCGGCCACCGAAGGACGACGGCGGCTCTGAGATCCAATATTACCAGGTCGAGAAGATGGACACGGAGAACATGCGCTGGGTGCCCGTGGCCGAGGCTAACACTACTTCTGCTCAAGTAAATCATCTCATCGAAGGTCACGACTATCAATTCCGTGTGCGCGCGGTCAATAAGCAGGGCGAGTCCCAGCCGTTGACAGGCATGGACACCATCACCGCCAAAGATCCCTTCGCCAAGCCGGACAAGCCGGGAGCGCCGGTAGCCACTGACTGGGACAAGGACCACGTGGACCTTGAATGGGCGCCACCCAAGAAAGACGGTGGCTCGCCTATAACCGGATACATCATCGAGAAGAAACCTCGTTTTGGACAATGGGAGAAGGCCGCCGAAGTATCTGGAGACAAGACCAATGTTAGGGTGCCGGATTTGACAGAGAATCAGGAATACGAGTTCAGGGTGATAGCTGTGAACAAGGGTGGACCTGGCGAGCCGTCCGACGCGTCGGCGCCGATTGTGGCCAAGCCACGCTTCAGTAAGTTTCAATAGAACTTGTACTTGAGAAGCAATGCGTTACTTAACACGTTCGCTGCCACGTTCCTCGGGCATAGCTTGTTCTACTAAGCCACCACGTGTGTTCTCCACTTTATTCATAAACCAAGAATCCAAATTAACGTACTTATATTACGAATTAACTCGTGCTTGGCATAGAAGGTCGATAATCAATGTTCGAGTATACTTGAAGTTGGCAGCGAACATATTAACACATGTCAGTTATATTTAACTCACATTAATGTGTTAATCTGGCTTCTGGGTTGGTGCCGCGTCCTTCGTGGATTTGTTTCTGACGTTTTGTGAAAATTTCAGTTCATTTCTTCAGGAAAAGGAAATCTAACGCATTATTTTTTGCAACTTACAACATTGTTTTCGTTACAAATTACTTTTTCAGTAACTAGTGACATTATTATTTTTTTTTTTGTATTAAATAATTATATTCCGGGGAAAAAATGATTATATATGATTATATATAATTATATAAAATCACATATGAAGTTTGTCTATATATGTGGTTACATATATGATCATATGTGTCCATACGAAAAAAATTATGTTATGTCATTTAACCCTTAGCTGACACACGGGGTTAAAAGCACCCCAGAGTGTTTTTGAACGCAAATTTTTCATAGCTGCGCGCCAAATTTGGGATTCTGTGGCGCCTAGTATCAGTCGAGGCTTGACCCAATATTGATAAATAAAACAATTATACACATTTTTTCTCGCTGGGATCCAAAATACCCCCTATAGCACGTACGTTATTATTTTGACGTGTGACAGCTAAGGGTTAATTAAATGTCGATATTGTGTACTATCAGAAACATAAGTAGCCAGAAGCATTTACTTCGATTATATTTGCATATAACTTGTAAACAAGTATTTCTTCGTTGTGGACCATATATGGGCAAATTTCATGTATGATCTTTCTTTTCCGGGTTTTTTGAGTAAAGGTAACGAATATTATTCATGTTATCGTTATCTTTTATTACAACCCTGCTTATATTTATCGGAGGACTTGTAATACGGTATTTCCTATTGAAAGATATTTAAATTTTGATCGTTTTAACTTATTACAGTTGCTCCTTCGTTCGACACGCATTTGCTGAATGACTTGGTAGTACGCGCTGGTCAGAAGATCAGCTACATTATCCCCATCGTTGCGTCGCCTAAACCGAAAGCAACTTGGACTCGCGACGGAGTTCAAATCGTGGCTGACGCTCGTCACGAGATGTACACTACCAACACCGAGACATCCTTTGAGATTCCGTTTTCTGTTCGCGGTGATACTGGACGTTACACTTTAACGTTGGAGAACGAGCATGGTAGCTTTAGGTAAAGAACAAGTTTCAAAGCGATAAGTCAGTAAAAAATAGTGTAAGGTATAATATGAGAGAATAATAAATGATAAGAAATTCGTAATGAGAGGAGGGAAACTTTTTTTGAGAAATTTGTAACATAACATTATTTAATTGTGCAATATAATTTTCCATGGTTGTAGTAAACCTCCTCCTCCATATTTTTAATAACTATGAACTAAGCTACGATGATACAAATTTCCAGCGCCAGTGCGAGAGTCACCGTCCTTGACAGACCGGCGCCACCGGAAAAACCGTTGGAGGTCAGCAACGTCAACAAAGAAGGTTGCCACTTGACTTGGGGTCATCCTCTCGACGACGGCGGCAGTCCCATTCTGCACTACGTTATTGAGAAGATGGACCTGTCTCGAGGAACTTGGTCCGATGCTGGAATGAGCATGGTGCTGAGTCACGAAGTCAGTCGCTTGACTCATCGCAAGGAGTACCTGTTCCGCGTCAAGGCTGTCAACAACATCGGAGAGTCCGATCCGCTTGAGACCACGAAGAGCATAATCGCGAAGAACGAATTCGGTGAGTAATTGTACAAAATTTCGAGTCTAAGCGGAAGTTTCCAATATGAAGAAATCAGAATTAAATTATTTTCGTATACAATATAAATTTTTATCTAGAGGTCTCCCAAATACAAAATATAAGATGCTACATCTGTTGTTATTTTCATCAAGTTATATATATATCATACTTTTTCTCGTACTCAAAACTGCTAACAAGATATAGCAATATGAAAATAAAATTATACGACTGAAAAGTATATGCGTACTGCTTAAAAAGTATTCTTACAATATCAATTCTCATTGTTATCTGCGGTTTATAGATGAACCAGATGCGCCCGGCAGGCCAGTGATCACAGACTGGGATAAGGATCACGTGGATTTGCAATGGCCGGCGCCGAAGAACGACGGTGGATCGCCGATTAAGGGATACATCGTTCAGAAGAAGGAAAAGGGCAGCCCTTACTGGGTCAACGCAGTACATGTACCTGCGGATCAAACCAACACGACCGTTCCGGACTTGACGGAAGGTCAGGAATACGAGTTCCGTGTGATCGCTGTCAATGCTGCCGGTCAGTCCGAGCCGTCTGAGCCCAGCGACCTCGTCACTGCCAAGCCTCGATATCGTAAGTTATTTTATCTTCATGTATATATAGAATTCAAATTGTATTTTTCTTTTTATAATATATTGTTTTATTATCATTTTAAGTATAAATATGTCACGTCGTATTATATAAATTTATTGTAAATTTATTATATTAATTAAATTTTTTCAGTGGCTCCGAAGATCAAAACACCCTTACAAGATATTCGTATCAAGGCTGGACTCATCTTCCACGTGGACATCGACTTTATCGGCGAGCCGACGCCGGAGGTGATCTGGAGTATCGGAAGCAACGAGATACAGACCAACGATAGGACAACGGTCACGTCGATCGGCTACCACACGATCGTGCATATCGTCAATGCCAAGAGAACCGATTCGGGACTGTATCATCTGTTGCTGAAGAACAGCAGCGGCATAGATGAAGGAAGCTTCCAAGTGACCGTTTTAGACAAACCTGGACCACCGGAGGGTCCTTTGCAATATGAAGAGATTACCAACCAATCTGTCACGCTTTCCTGGAAGCCACCCAAGGACAACGGTGGCAGCGAGCTCACGTGAGTAAATTCTTGATATATTTTTTCATAAATCTGTTCACTTCACATTAAAAATACAATTAATAGAGATTACAGTTTTTATTTTATAAATTATAATTCTACATTACAGTTACAATTATTACATTCAAATTATAAATATTACTGTGTCATATATACTAATATTTAAAATAGTGCAATTGTTAAAAAATAATTTATTTTTCTTGTTTTATCTTTACAGTGGATACGTTATTGAGAAGCGCGATCTTACTCACGGTGGCGGCTGGGTACCAGCAGTTACGCACGTTAATCCAAAATATAATCACGCCACAGTACCAAGGTTGCTCGAGGGAACTACGTACGAATTCCGTGTATGCGCAGAAAATCTTCAAGGACGCTCCGAGCCATTGACCACCGACCGATCTGTAGTTGCCAAGAACCAATTCGGTGAGTACTTCTTCGACGAGATATCAGTTGCATATATATACACATTCCATAATAAATACTTTTTAACTAACTACGGCAAAAACTATTTGAACACCTTTTATAAAAGCATTTAAAATCCATTTCCGTCACTTCAACATTTAATAATCTAAATTATTTTGTGCAGGCAAAGTACATCAAATAATAATTGATTAACATAGCTATGTATATCTGCGTTAAAGTTGACATCAATTCACATTAAAACTAATAAACAATTTTTTTCAGTTTGTTATGCAAAGTATCGTATTTTACTTTATTAACGGATCTAAATCAGTGCAATTTAAACGAAAAGAGAAATAATAATATTGGATTCTTGTATATTTGAGAATTAGTCTGTTAGTAAATTTTAATGTTAATTTATTTTATAGAATTATACATAAATATAATAATATACAAAAATTAAACAATTTACATATATAGGATGGCGTTGGATTTTTCTGTTCAATTTGTTGTGCTCTATTTGCACATGGTGGGTGTTGCATTTAAATTCAGATATTCTGTATAATATTAAATTACGCTAGTACATAATAATGTTAATTATAAATTTGCAGACGTATTTACGTATGCTATTTATATATTTTATTTACATATGCTCAATTGTTAATTTTTCTTCATGACACTCTCTCATCATTTATTACATGCTATCACGTTTAATATCAACTATTTAGTGGCTCCTGGACAACCTGGCAAGCCGGAATGCGTGGACGCCGACAAGGATCACATCAAGATCAAGTGGACTCCTCCAATCAGCAATGGCGGCTCTAAGATTATCGGCTACGACGTGGAACGTCGCGATCGCGCCACTGGTCGCTGGATAAAGCAAAACAAGGAGCCTGTCAGATATCCCGAGTATTACGACGACCATGTAACCGAGGGTCACCAGTACGAGTACCGAGTATCAGCTATAAACGCTGCCGGTGCTGGAAAACCGAGTGAGACTTCATCCGTGTTCACGGCTAAGCCCATGAAGGAGAAGCCGAAGCTCCACCTAGATGCTTTGATAGGTCGCAAGATCAAGGTCCGTGCTGGAGAACCAATCAACGTCAACATACCGTTGTCCGGCGCGCCTACGCCGAAAATTGAATGGAGCAAGTCTGGAAAATCGCTCACAGAAACCCTCCGTCTGTCGGTAAATTCAGTTTTTTTAAATAAATATAAGAAATATAATAAGGAAGAGAGCCTACGTTTTTATTCTTCTTTTTTGTTTATCGGGAAGGCTACTCTGATAGAAATATTGAGTTAAAAATTTTGTTAAAATTCTTTTTTAATTTCTTTTTCAATTGATTTCATTTCATTATTATTCCGTCAATATACACAGTTTTAAAAAAATGGCCGCGGCATAAGCTCATCCTCTGTAATCACTAATGAACTCTGATGTCCCCTGAGAGGGGACATCCGAGTAGTTCACTAGATTTGCGATTTCCCATCAGAGGGGACATCCGAGTGTAAAGGGTTAAATACCATGTTTGCCTTTATTTCTCATGTTCTTATCGATCATCTTTTCATATTAATTTTTATATGGTTTTCTACTCGTATCTCAATTGTATTTGATCATTTTATTTTTTTTTATTTCAGTCTTCATGTCTTCCTTCATATTTCAACATTTAATTATTTTTATTTGTTATGTTTATATTTTCTTTCTCATGTTATACCTCTTCGTGTTTCTTTTATTTTTTTCTACACATAAATCACGTTTTTAGAGGATTGATTCTGGAATGTTAATAAATGTTTTTATTCGTTTATCTATTTATTTATTTCTTCTCAGACCGAGACGAAGAGCGACCGAACGCAGTTGTTGATTGACAAGTCCGTGCGAGATGACAGCGGCATTTACACCGTGACCGCGACGAACGAGCACGGAAAGGACTCGGCCGACATCGAGGTGATAGTCGTGGACAAGCCTGGACCACCTCAGGGTCCTCTGCAATACACCGGTACGACGCAGGAGTCCGTCGCGCTCTCTTGGAACCCGCCAGTAGACGACGGTGGATCCGACATCACCAACTATATCGTCGAAGTGTCCGATTACGGCTCTGACAATTGGCGGCAGGCACCTGGTTACTGTCCCAGAACGAGCTTCACGGCGAAGGGACTAACTGAAGGCAAGAAATATGTCTTCAGGGTCCGCGCTGAGAACATGTACGGTGTCTCGGAGCCCTTGGAGGGTAAACCTGTAATTGCCAAGAGTCCTTACGATCCGCCAGATGCGCCGAGCCAGCCTGAGATCCTCGGTTACACTCCCAACAGCTGTAGCCTCACCTGGAACCCGCCTATCAATACTGGCGGCAAGCCTATCACTGGTGAGTTAACGTAAAGTAATTTCGCAATCATATTCGATATAAGTTATTTTGATTGAACTTGATTTGTTCTATTCTTTTAATATTAATTTCATTTAATATTAATTTCATAATTCATTAGATAATAATATTAATTTATTTATTAATATTGCGCATAGAAATTCTCTTATAATTAAATTTTGTATAATATTTATAATTATATGTTTTTTTAATTCCACAAAAGTTTTTCTTTGTGATTAAATTTTCTATAATATTTTTTCATATAATTCTCTTAACTGTCCACAAAAATTGGTACGTTTACTTTATATATTTCATGAAAGATTTAAATACAAGATTTTCGGAAATTTGAGAATGTTTCTTACTGTTTCATCGGAACACTGCTGGACATTTCACGTACGATTAATTTTAATTATTTTCTTCGTCCTTAGGTTATTACGTGGAGAGGCGCGAACGTGGCGGCGAGTGGTTGAAGGTGAACAATTACCCGACGCCGAACACAACATTTACTGTACAGGATCTTCACGAAGGCTCGCGATATGAGTTCAGGGTGATCGCTGTCAATGAAGCTGGTCCTGGTAAACCCAGCAAGCCCACCGAACCCATCACAGCCGGACACCAACGTTGTAAGTATACTTCAATAGACCAGCCGTCGCATCACGTCTAAATGTAAAAACGTTCTTTTATTGAAAATTATAAATTAAGAGCAAGATCTTTGAATAAAATTTACTGTAACTCCTGTGTGATTCCAATTATAATTTCAATGTAACTTGGACTGCTGATTTTGTTCTTAATATTTCCAGATTTAATTTGAAAATTACATTTTATATATTTCCTACATATTTTACATCTTATTATATTATTTCTAATTTCACAGGTCGCCCTGACGCACCTGAGCCGCCTAAAGCGGACAGGATAACCAAGGACTCAGTGACGCTGAGCTGGCGACCACCGCGAAGCGACGGCGGTGCGAAAATCAGAGGTTACATCATTCAGAAGAAAGCCAAGGGTGAAGATGAATGGTCAGACGTGAACGGTGCGCCCGTACCGAGTAACGTGTTCACCGTGCCGAAGCTGAAGGAGGGCGAGGAGTACCTCTTCAGGGTGTTCGCGGTGAACGACGTCGGCAGCAGTGACCCAAGCCGACCCAGCAATCCCATCGTCATCGAAGAACAACCCAACAAACCGATCATGGACCTCGGCGGAGTTCGCGACATCGTCGTTCGCGCTGGCGAGGACTTTTCCATTCATGTGCCCTACGTTGGCTTCCCCAAGCCGACCGCTACGTGGTTCGCTAACGACGTCGTCAAAGATGAAACTGATTCGCGTGTGCATCAGCAGCTGGCCGATGATTTCGCCAGGTATGTTTTCTTGGAATTGAAAAAACTTTATGAAAGCGAACATCGAGCTGAGATACTTTAAAATTCGAGTTATACTGAAATCCGGTATTTTAAATCTTATAGATTAATTCAGATTTAGTTTATTTAATTTATATGTTTATTTTTAATTTGTATTTGAAATTAATTTAACTTATATATTTTTTAACTTATATATTTATACATTTAATTTAATATATTTTTAAATTTAAAATATGTATGAACCCAAACTGCTGTAACCGTGAGTTTCAATATGATTGCATGAATAGATCGAGAAAAAATCATTTTTACATTTCGCAAAATATTTAAGCTGGAATCAAATTTCTTCTTTTCATTATAATAGTCAATTGTGAAATGATAATTGATTTTTCGTCGCAGTCTTGTGGTAAAGAACTCGAAACGTTCGGATGGAGGGCAGTACAGACTCCAACTGCGCAACTCGTCCGGCTTCGACACGGCGACCGTTAATGTGAAGGTCCTCGATCGTCCGATGCCACCCGAAAATCTTCGAGCTGACGAGTTCGGCGGCGATGCCCTCACGCTCTTCTGGACTCCGCCTAAAGACAACGGCGGTGCTGATATCACTAACTATGTGATAGAGAAGAGAGAACCGAAGGCCGCTACGTGGTCTAAGGTGAGAGATACAGAAAGATTTAAATAAAAAAGGAAGTGAAATAGAGAGTAATTATAGAGAATTGTAAAAATATATAAATATTGTTAGATATATCAAGATATATCAAGTAATATCAAGTATTTAGACGTGAATGTTAGACTAATATCCAAAGAATAAAATTTATAGGTGAGCAGCTACGTCACGACACCGTTTGTGCGAGTCAGGAATCTAACAGTCGGTCAAGTCTACGAATTCCGAGTGATGGCTGAGAATCAGTACGGTACTTCGGACCCGGTGATGACGATCGATCCGATCAAGGCTAGACATCCCTTCGATCCTCCAGGCGCTCCCGGTACACCTCGCGGTGTGGAAACGACGGAAGACAGCATCACCATCACATGGACCAAGCCTCGTCACGACGGCGGTTCTCCGATCATTGGATACGTTGTCGAGAAACGTCTCCTAAGCGAGGATAAGTGGGTCAAGGCCACACCGGCTCTGGTGCACGACACTACTTACAGGTAAGTATTGTCGATTTATGCTATTAAGCTAATTTCGAGAAGACATCTGACTTTAGATAGATATGTTATTAATTCTCTTTGTGGATTTCACAGGGTCACCGGGCTGATCGAGAATCACGACTACGAGTTCCGCGTGGCCGCGGAAAATGCTGCGGGCCGCGGACCTTGGAGCTCCAATTCCGATGTTATTCGGGCTAGTGCTGCACCATGTAAGTGTATTCTCTCACCTGTACACATATCAGATACGTAAAGATTAAACACAATTAAGTTTAGAAGATTATAGAATATATATATTCTTTCTGAAATTTTTTTAATTTAATTTCATCTCAAATTTAAAATTTTTAATTTAAATTTAATTTAACTTTTTAGTTTTTAATTTATAACAAACAAATATTAGATTAATATTAAATATTAATTTAGTATTAAATAGGTTTTAATTTATGAAATACATATTACATATATGTATTAAAAAGTAAGAATATACAATTCAAAATGTCTATTATCTTTTTTTTACAGTCCCGCCAAAGATCACGAGCGACCTCAGTATCCGTGACATGACTGTGATCGCTGGAGAACCATTCACTATCACGGTACCGTACACGGCTAACCCCAAGCCAAGACCGAACTGGTCTATCAATGGTGAGGAAGTACTCACCGGCGAGAGAATCAAGTTTGAGACGTCCGACGTGGCCTCGCAATTTATTAACAAGAAGGCGAAGAGATCGGACAGTGGAACGTACACGATATACCTCACGAACACCGTCGGCACAGACTCCGCCTCATGCAAGGTCCTCGTGGTCGGTAAGTTTTTTGCAGGAAATCAATTTCGGGGAATTTATTTTGGAATAATTGACAGTGTATTTCCTACGAGAAAAAAAAATTGTTTACATGTTGCGATATAATTATACTATCATTATTAGTCAAATTAATGTAATTTTTCTGCATACACACAAAAATATTTTAGTTTTACAATTATATTTAATTTATGTCAAAATTATATATAATATTTTTAGTTTTAGTTATAGTAAAAATAATTAAATTATGAGAAGTTATGATAAATTATGATAAAAAAGTATGACTACAATTTACAATATAAAATTATTTATTTCGTAGATAAGCCATCACCGCCATTGGCACCTTTGGACATCTCCGATATCACTCCAGAAACCTGCACGTTGACGTGGAAGCCACCGTTCGATGATGGTGGTTCACCAATTACAAATTACATTGTTGAGAAGCTGGATCCGGCTGGTGTAAGTTACCTAAAGATAATCATCTAAGGGATGAGATATGATATCAGACAAACATCAAGATGCATCAAAATAACTCAGTATCCCCATTAATTTGTTGAAATTTTTTCAGTTCTGGGTGAAACTTAGCAGTTTTGCGAGAAACACGCATTACGACGTGATCGGTCTGGAGCCAAATCGCACGTACAACTTCCGCGTAAGAGCGGAGAATCAGTACGGCATATCCGACCCGTTGCAGGCCGATGAACCGATAACGGCTAAGTTTCCATTTACGGTACCAGATCCGCCTGGTCAGCCGCGTGTCATCGATTGGGACACCTCGAATGCCACCGTGGTCTGGACGAAGCCATTGTCCGACGGTGGATCCCGCATTCAGGTGCGTATAATGGATTAATAACAAAAAGGCTCAAAATTCATAATTGCAAAATAATAAATCGTGAATGCAAGGTTCGAAACGTTATTTGTTTTTTCACAAAAAGTCGATCTTACGCGAATCTTTGAAATTCTGAAATTTTTATGATGAAATTACATTTCTCGTTTATATTGTTTATTTTATACTTATTTAAATTTTGGGTTATTTTTCGTATTACATTTTATTTTCAATTGTTCAAATTGTCAAAATTCTGCATCGATTTCATGCCTTGTAGGATCCAAATTTAAACTGAAAATATCTCCGATTATACAGGGCTACAAGATCGAGTTCCGCGATCCCGCTGAAGACGTGCAATGGCGCGTGGCGAACGACTACCTCTTCAAGGACACCACGTACGTGTGCTACAACTTGTTGAGCGGCCACGAGTATGAGTTCAGGATCCGCGCGAAGAACGCGGCCGGCTTCAGTAAACCGAGCCCGCCGAGCGCGCCCTTCAGGCTCAAGAGCAAGTTCAACGTGCCGTCGCCACCCGGCACGCCGCAGGTCACCAAGGTCGGCAAGAACTACGTCGACCTCAGGTGGGAGCCGCCCGTATCTGATGGCGGCAGCAGAATCACTGGCTACGTGATCGAGAAGCGCGAGGTGGGCAGCGCGATGTGGGCCAAATGCAACGAATACAACGTCATGGACACCGAATACACTGTCATGCACCTGATCGAGCGGGGCGATTATGAGTTCCGCATATTCGCGGTCAACGCGGCCGGCAGGTCTGAGCCGAGTTCGTGCACCACTCCGGTGAAGATCTGCGAGGTCGAGGGCGGTGAGAAGCCCGAATTCATCAGAAACCTACCCATTAGTCAGATCATACCGCTCGGCAAGACCCTTGTCCTCGAGTGCGAGGCCACGGGTAAACCCTTGCCGACCGCCAGGTTTGTCGAAATGACACTTTACATACTTTCCAGAAATGTTCAGAGACTCTAATGTTATAAACAATTTTATTTATTATTTATAATATTATAATATTATTTTCACGATATTATTCTGATTATTAAGGCTCCTTAGATTTTCAATAAAATATAAGAAATTTTAATAGGTTAAACATAGCCGACGCGGGTTTATTATTGCGAGTGGTTGATTTATGCTTCAGCAAAGAATATGAGTTTTAACATTTTTTAAATATACCAAACATTATTGATTGCGACTTTTGGATCCTCTAATGATATTGGTATTGGAATGTTAAAGACCATTTTTGTGAGTTTTCAAACGAACTAAAGATGAAACGTTTTAATTCATGTTCAAATTTCATTCAGTCTCAAAGAAAATTTCAAAAAAAAATTAACGACCTATAATATATTAATATCACTCCCTTTTCATTTATTGTATTACTCTAACTACTTTAATTTCAGTATTATAAAATCATTCGTTTCTTCTGAGTCGAATAATTACCATCACCCTCCTCTGTGTTCAGGTGGTTGAAGAATGGCCGGGAGATCACTCTGGGCGGTCGTTTCCGCGCGGAGGCGCTGAATGGCATTTACAGGCTAGTGATCTCGGAAGTGTGGGACGCGGATGACGGCGACTACAGCTGCCAGATTTCGAATCCGCTCGGCATCGACACGACCACGTGCAGGCTGAAGATCGGCACGCCGCCACGCATCGAGCGCATGCCGGGCGACCTCTACTTGCCGGAAGGCGACAATACGAAGATCAAGATCTACTACAGCGGCGACCAACCGATGGAGGTGATCCTGAAGAAGGACGGCCGGCAGATCGTGGAGACCACGCACATCAAGTACACGGTCTTCGACGAGTACCTCATTATCTTCATCAAGGACATCCAGAAGGACGACGGCGGCACTTACGACTTGTCCATTTCAAACGACAGCGGCAGCGTCAGCGCGTCCTTTACCGTTTACATCACCGGACTGCCCGGGCCTCCGATTGGACCTCTCGATGTCTCCGATATCGACAAGCACACCTGCACTCTATCCTGGCACCCGCCCAAGTACGACGGCGGCCTCAAGGTCACCCACTACGTAGTGGAGCGCCGCGACGTCAGTCACACGCACTGGATCATCGTGTCGTCCTTTTGCAAGGACACCACTTTCGTCGTGCAGGGTCTCACCGAAGGTCAAGAATATCTCTTCAGAGTGATGGCGGCCAACGACAACGGCATGGGCCCGCCATTGGAAGGAACCAATCCGATCAAGGCAAAGGCACCCTTCGATCCACCGGGACCGCCCGGCACTCCCAAGGTCATCGAGATCGGCGGCGACTTCGTCAATCTGTCATGGGAGAAACCGGAGACGGACGGAGGCGCCAAGATCCAGGGCTATTGGATAGACAAGAAAGAGATCGGCAGTCAGGCTTGGCAGCGGGTGAATGTCAGTATTTGTTTGCCGACGCAGATCAACATCAGCAACCTCATCGAAGGCAGGCAGTACGAATTCCGAGTTTTCGCGCAGAATGTGGCCGGCCTCAGTCCAGAGTCGCAAGCCTCGACTTCCGTGAAGATCGTCGACCCGCAGGCGGCTAAGCCTCCGGAGATCATTCAGCCTCTTCACAAGGTTTGTATCTCTTCAATTCGCGTCTTAAGACAGTTCAAGATTGAGGAATTTACTTTCCAGAAGCAACTCGTTTCCATTCTCCTATTTACATTCAGTAAATGAGAATGGAGTGAATGATAATTTTAATCTAATATTTGTGATAATTATATTTTAATAATATTATCAAGAAAACATATTCTTCGTTCAAGTTAATCATTATTTAAAGTAAGAAAAATAAATCGAGCAATTGTTTTTTTCTTTGCTATATAATAATGTTTTTGCCTGTATACAAAGTAACCATAAAAATGACGACGATTCTATTCATTTTACCGTTATCCGAAAAATGCAACTGTATTATCGTCATTTTTGCTGACTAAAGAAGAAAAAATAACATTATTATTATGTCGTTATTGATAAGAATTTGTACCGAAAATGATGTTATCTCTTGTACTCTCGATTACATTCTTTTGATCACGCTCGAAGCAACAACAAGATTAAATTGCCGCTCTTCGTCATCAGGTGAACTGCGTGCAGAACCATAACGCCCACTTCCAATGTAAGATCATCGGCACGCCAAAGCCGACCATCACCTGGTTCAAGGGAGCCCGCGAGATCGTAAGCGGCAGCCGCTACAACATCTACTCGGAGGGCGAGGTGCACAACCTCATAATCCACGACGTGTTCGGCGAGGACGCGGATGAGTACTTCTGCCGCGCGGCGAACAAGTGCGGTGTCAAGTCCACGAAGGGCGAGCTCTTCATCAAGACGCCGCCCAAGCTGAACGTGCCGCCACGGTTCCGTGATACCGCCTTCTTCGACAAGGGCGTGAACGTCGTCATCAAGATCCCGTTCACCGGCTACCCCAAGCCGAAGATCACGTGGGTGCGCGAAGGCGAGGTGATAGAGTCCGGTGGGCATTACGCCGTCGAGGTGAAGGAGCGGCACGCCGTGTTGACCATCCGCGACGGCAGCCGCATCGACTCCGGCCCGTACCGCATCACCGCGGAGAACGACCTCGGCCAGGACTCCGCCATCATCAAGATCCAGATTAGCGACCGTCCAGACCCGCCCAGGTTCCCGCAGGTCGACAACGTCGGCCATGACTCATTGGCGGTCAGCTGGAAGCCGCCGGTCTGGGATGGCGGCAGCAACATCACCAACTACGTTGTGGAGAAGCGCGAGCACCCGATGAGCACTTGGATCCGAGCCGGCAACACCCGATTCTGCACGTTGGCGGTGACCGGACTCAGCCCCGGGCACCAGTACGACTTCAGGGTGTGCGCTGAGAACGTATACGGGCGCTCGGACCCGAGCGAGGTAACGCCGCTGATCACCACGAAGGGCGTGATCAAGCGGGAGTTTAAGAAGAAAGAATACGAAGTGGACGCGAGCGGCAAGAAGATCCGCGGGCGCAGCGACGAGAAGCCGCACGATTATGACCAGTTCGTGTTCGACGTCTACAGCAAGTACGTGCCGCAGCCGGTGGAGATCAAACACACCTCGGTATACGATAAGTACGACATCCTCGAGGAGATCGGCACAGGCGCCTTCGGTGTGGTGCACCGTTGCCGTGAGCGCGCCACCGGCAACATCTTCGCTGCCAAGTTCATCCCGGTGTCGCATGTGATGGAAAAGGAGCTGATTCGCAAGGAGATCGACATCATGAATCAACTGCACCATCCCAAGCTGATCAACCTGCATGACGCCTTCGAGGACGACGACGAGATGGTGCTGATCTTCGAGTTGTAGGTATCCACTTCTGGCCGCGACGCGTCCATTCGCGTGTCGTCCTGCTAGACGAGACCGCATCGCGTTATCCTTAATCTCTTGATCATTTGTCTCATCAGCTTATCTGGCGGCGAGCTGTTCGAGAGGATCACGGCCGAAGGATACACCATGTCCGAAGCGGAGGTCATCAATTATATGAGGCAGATCTGCGAAGGCGTCAAGCACATGCACGAGAAGAACATCATCCATCTCGGTGAGACATCGATATTCTTCGTTTCTTTTTATTTCAAGCCTTCTAGTATAATGACGCTTATAAAATATATTGAGAATCTTTTTTTTTTTTTTTATTAAGAAGACTATCGTCTTATTTAAGCAATAATAAGATAAAAACAGATTCAGCGAACATAATATGTTCTTGTAATTAGTTTATTCTTAATCAGAATTCACCGTTCTATTAATCTATCGTTGTTCAATTTGTTATTAATTATTATCGTTATTCAATTTATTATTAATTATGCATGTTCATTGTTATGTTAATATTTATTAAAAATTTAATATTTATTTGATATTTATTAAATATTTATTAAAAATTTAACATTTAAGGTCTTAAAATCAGAAAATCAGCAAACAGAAACTTTTTATTTCTTTTTTTATTGTGAGCAGTCGATTCGTGAAAATTTTCATCGAATATAATATGATCATTTCCAGACATTAAGCCCGAGAACATTATGTGCCAAACTCGCAATAGCACGAACGTGAAGCTGATCGACTTCGGTCTCGCCACTAAACTCGATCCGAACGAAGTAGTAAAGATCAGCACAGGCACGGCCGAGTTCGCTGCTCCGGAGATCGTCGAGCGCGAGCCAGTCGGCTTCTACACCGACATGTGGGCTTGCGGTGTACTGGCTTATGTCCTGTAAGTTTGTGCATCCAGTCTCTTTACAGAGTTATAATAATTGCACATGTTACATTTACACTCTTCAGTCCTCACATCGCAGACCGACCATTTTATAATTACAAATTACATTTCAAAGTCGTGTGAGAGAGGGATTCTTTCACTTACCTTCATGAGAATTTCGTGATGCATTTCTCATTGCACGTAAACGCTGCAAATTATTTGACATGAATACTTATCAACTTTGCATATCGTTCTCATGCAAGGCAAGAAGAATTTGAAAGGGAGAAGAAAACAATCGCTATGCATTGTTTGCGCAGATTGAGCGGCCTCTCGCCGTTCGCCGGCGACAACGACATCGAGACCCTAAAGAACGTGAAGGCGTGCGACTGGGACTTCGACGAGGAGGCGTTCCGCGACGTTTCCGAGGAGGGCAAAGATTTCATCAGACGGCTACTTGTTAAGAATAAAGAGTGCGTATTACCGCGACAAGAATCTCTATCTATTGCCGCTTTCGTCATTTTAATCTCGTGTGTTCCCGTTCATTCTAGGAAGCGCATGACCGCACACGAGTGCCTTCTTCACCCGTGGCTGACCGGGGACCATAGCAAATGGACCAACCCGATCGCCAGTAGCCGCTACCTCAGCATCAGAGACAGACTACGCGCCAAATACGAGAATTGGGATAAGTACGTTCTTCCCATTGGCCGTCTAGCCGAGTATTCGTCGCTCAGGAAGCTCTTGATCGACAAATATAGAATCTACGACTCCTGCTTCGGTGAGTAATTAATGTACGATCACGAATAAGTAAATGGAATGTTTCACCGATAATCAATGAGTGTTCATTGACTTTCAATAGAAACACTTCGACTTCATTCCTCAATTTGATCCCTAATGGAAATATTATGCTAAAAATTTTACTGAAATTATCTCTCAATTGATCCCACTTCATTATTATTCCGTCAATATACGCAGTTTCAGTTAAATTCAGTAAATTTCAACAGTATACTTTAACTTTCCTTATATTTGAGTACTGATATATTGATATATAAGAATTTGATGAACAGTGAGATGAAAGTATTGAAAAATTATTGAAATATATAATAAATATTTCAAAATAAATCAGAATTTTTATCATAAAATTCAACGTAATGCTGTGAAATATAATGAAAATTAAAATATAATTCTGAAAAATAATAAAAGCATTTTTGAAATGTTAGATATCGTGAAATTTACCGAATTAAACTGAAAACTGCGTGTATCAATGAAATAGGGTCAATTGAGAGAGTATTTCAGCAAAATATTTCCATCAGGGATATCTTACTGATTTTGACCAGTAGAAATAAGAAATCACCGCGAAATCTGTAGTATACGAATTCGTTATATGTGTATTGACTTTCCAACCTTCCGAGCTTTGCGGCGATGGAATTAATAGTTTTTATGCATCTTGCGTGCAATGATATTGTTTATATTTGCAAACTGTGTCAATAATGAGAACAGTCGCTATCTCGCTATTAACTGATCCTTTCAGTGAGATTTTACGGGATCACCAATTATAAATATAGCATTTCAGAACACGCTGATTGTATTTTGGAGAGCACCGAAACTAAAAGAATGTAGACTAATTAGAACAGTAGGCTAGGAGAAATAGTATAGCTAGGAGAATAAGTATTTGATAAGCTAACATAAGTAAAGTCTCACTGACATGTTCAATATGTAACAATAATGGATATTTTTTTTCCAGATCGTCGACAAGCGGCGCCCAGATTCGTCATTAAGCCGCAAAGTGCGTTTGCCTACGAAGGGCAGAGCGTGAAGTTCACTTGTCGTGTGATCGCGATCGCGGCACCTACACTGACTTGGTCGCATAATAACCAGGAACTGCGACAATCTGTCAAATTTATGAAACGGTACAACGGTGACGATTACACCTTTATTATCAACAGGGTTAAATTGGAAGACAGAGGGGAGTACGTTATACGTGCGGAGAACCATTACGGCTATCGCGAGGAGGTCGTCTTCCTTAACGTGCAACGTGAGTATTCTCTTCTCTCATTACATAGTTTCGCAAAAATGTATCGTATATATTTTTTAAACTTTATCATACAATATTATATAATTCTTTAGATAACATTCTTTCGATAATTATGTAACGATTACGAAAATATCACGCAATTTCATTCGTACATCGGGAAACTTATCACGATTTATTATTATTCAATTATGTCTAAAACATCAGTATTGCCCAATATCAATAAAATATTCCATTTCTATCCACGATACGTTTTTAATTTAGAGGAGAGATTTTTGTATCCCGTACAGCACGTTTAATCGGAGGGACGTCCTGTGGACATCTTTAGGACGTAAGATTGTCTTCCGGGCGTCTTTAGGACGTCCCTTGGAACTGTTCGATACTACATAGATGTCATTGAAGAAAACTTTGCTATACATTTCATATTTTGACGTGATCACACATACATACACATTTATTTAAACAGATATTTATTTTGACATATCCTAATATAAGAATTAATTATTTCGTAAAAATCCACTTTTATACTTCATTTTATACATCTAATTTATATATATGTTATATTTTTATATTTGAATATATTTATTGGTATATTTTTTTATTTTTTGCAGTTATATTTATTTTTTTATATTTATTTGCGTGGAATTTTCAGCATTGCCCAGAGAAATTCCGGCATACAGGCCAGAGGTGCAACCAGTACGCAGACGAGAGCCGCTCGGCTATAACGTGTGGCTGGAGATGATCGAGTCGNTTTTCTGCTGCGATCTCGTGTCATTCAGATCAGGCAGACCTGCAAGCTGCTCTGCTGCCTGAGCGGTAACCCACCACCCACTGTGAAATGGTACAAGGACAGGGAAGAATTGTCCAAGCATAATTATCCTATGAGCAACGCCGACGGCGTCGTCACGATGGAGATCATCGACTGCAAACCGGAGGATAGCGGCAAATATCGCTGCGTCGCTAGCAATAAACACGGCAAGGACGAGACCAGTTGCGTGGTCATTGTAGAAGGTACGTCTCGACCGATGAATCGATCCGTCAAAATCGAACATAAATAGACGAAATATTTCTTACATTGGAAGATAAAATATTATGGGAATATTACAAACGATTGTTACACATTACGATCGAAGGTTTTCCAGTGAGCAAAAAATCATGGGCAGATCGTTATTGCAGTAT